TTCAGCTCTCCTGCAGCGTTTTCTACCTGGATTACCCTCTCCAGCCTGTAATTAATTACTTCCTGGTATTATTGTTCCCTGTGCAGCCTGGGTCATGTGACACAGCCTCACTCTCAGTAACATCCTCACGTTTACATTTTTCACTTTTTTACAGGTGCTAATTTTGCATTTGATTTACAATTCAGGACAAGAATTTGTATCACTCAGAAAATAGAACCCACTCTAGGTCGTTCTAACAGAAAGGTTTCCATGTAGGAAATTGGTTACACAGGTGTTTTAGTTATTTATTGCTGTGTAAAAAGTAACCCAAAAACTTCGTGGCTTAAAACAATAATAATCATTATCTTTCATAGTTTCTGCAGGTCTGGAATTCAGGGGCAGCTTGGCTGAGCAGTTCTGATACAAGGTCTCTCGTGAGCTTGCAGTCAAGAGCTGCAGCCGTCTGAAGGCTTCCCTGGGGCTGGAAGGCCCACTTCCAAGACGGCTGTCACCGGCCGTTGGTGGAAGGCTTCAGTCTGTCTCCATGTGGGCCTTTTCCAGAGCTGCTTGAGTGTCCTCACCACATGACAGCTGGCCTCCCCCAGCAGAAGTGATTGAAGAGGACAAGGTAGAAGCAACAATGCCTTCTGTGCCCTAGCTTCAGAGGTCACACTCTGTCATCAATCTGCCACATTCTCGGAGACAGAATCTTCCCAGTGCAGGGGACACAAACTGGGCTCCACCTTTGGAAGGGAGGAGGGAGGATCAAAGGATTTGTGGATACAGTATTCTGAAACCATCACAACAGGTGATGTTAGAGCTGAAGAGACAAACCAGGGATGATGAGATAACCCACAAATTAACAGCAGCAGAAAGATCCTAACTCACTTAGGACTGGAGGAGCAAAGCGAGGAAGTGGGGTTACCAGAGCCCAGAAGCCAGATCACCCAGTGGAAGCTGGAACCTCAGAGGAGCTGGAGTCCTGCAGATTCAGCAAGATTCAGCCCGTAGCAGAGGTGCTTCCCAAAGCAGAGAGGGAGACACAGGCCCTCGCTTCTCCTTTCCTCCACCTTCCAATCTCCTGTCAGTACTTGCAACTGGCTGAGCCTACCAGGAAGCAGAGTGCAAGGGAGCCTGTGATGCAGAGAAGAGCAGAGAGAGCTGGGATGGTTCCGAGCTCAGATGCACGGAGAGCTAGAACAGCTGATGAGTAAGGTGGTGAATTGTGGTTAAATCTGTCTTGAGTTCTGATTATTTTTATATATTAATGTTCTCAATAAAGTGACACTTTAAATCTGAAAAAAAAGTCACCTGAAACTAATATTTAAAAAATTAAATAAAAAAAAGAGGATAAAACCAAAAACAAAAAATCTGGAGGGGTGAAAAAAAAGAATGATGAAAGAAAACCCCCCAGTCTCCTTTAATCTTACCTAAAGAAAAAAAAAAAAAGACTTCCATGGGACCAGAAGGGAAGGCGAGCGTTAACACCCAGACAGCAGAAAGCTGATCTAGCCTTTGTGTGGAAACAGCCTTTTGTTTTTCTCTTTAAAACTTGCCAGCATTTGAGAACGGACTGATGCGACTGATACAAACACCTCATCAATTTCTAATCTGGTTGCCTAGTCCCTGCCACAACAAGCTTCTGATTCCAAGCAGAAATAAATTATTTTGTCCACTCTTGGTATACAGCCAAGAGAACTGAAAACACGTCCATACAAAAATGTGTGCATATATGTTCATAGCAGCATTCTCCATAATAGCCAAAACGTGGAAACAAACCAAATGTCCAGCAAAGGGTGAATGGATACACAAAATGTGGCCTCTCCATACACACAATGGAATATTATTCAGCCATCAAAAGGAATGCAATACTGATACATGCTACAACGTGGATGAACCCAGAAAACGTTATGCTAAGTGAGAGAAGCTGGTCACATAAGGTCACATTGTAGGATTCCAGTCTAAATCCATAGACAGAGAAAGTAGATTAATGGTTGCTTGGGGCAGGGAGAATGGCGAATGAATGCTAATGTGTCTGCAGTGTGTCTTTTTGGAGTGATGCAATGTTTTGGAATTAGATAGTGGTGATGGCTGAACAACTTTGTGAATATGCTAAAAAACACTGAAGAGTTTAAAAGGGTCAATTTTATGGTATGTGAATTATATCTCAATAAGAAGGGAGGGAGGGAGGGCCCATTTTTTGTTGCACCTCATTGACCGCTAATCACCGTTCATCATTCATCAAATATTTTTTAATCATAAAACTTATTTTAATGATACAAGCAATTTCACGGAAATTAAAAACTTATGCTCATCAAAAACCCCACTCCGCCGTCTTGACCGGAACTCCCATCATATATTTTTTTGAGTACCCACTACGTGCCAACTGTTTGTGGTGTCGGATATATTCACGCACACCATGGCACAGTAGCTCATGCCAATCTGTGCCGAGGACCATAGACGTGCACACTTACTATGGGTGACCTGGCAAGTCTCGAGAGCCCGGGGTTCTTCAACTTAATTTGTCTTCATCCTGCAATAATGTTGAAAAGACACCTGATGAGTAATTATGACAACGATGCTAAAAGAAAAACCTGTACAAAGAAGGAACTATACCGAGTGGCGATACTGATTATTTTACAGTCCTGTGATTAGAGTTACTCTGTCTCTTTTCCAATTATTAGATAGTGCAATTACTTTTATAACATAAAAAATAAATTTACAGATGACTTCTGGCTGCATCTTTGGCCTGGCTACCACTGTTTCCAAAAATTGGAGTCGAATTTAGGTATAGCGTCTGGTACAGTTTCCCACAGTCCTCCCTACTCCCTATTGCCTCAAGCTAGTGCTGGCTCTCATTCACGTAAACTACCTGATTGCTCAAGGCATTTGACCTTGGGTCCTCTGATTTATAAACTAAAACCCCCACAATGTACAATTCATTGTCCCCATTTTAAACCCCTGATATGTGGAGCTAGAATATTATTTAATTAGTCCAAAACAACATTTAATTTCTAGATAAAAACAGAATTGTTCTGGGTTGGCCAAGAGGCTCAGGTGGTTAAGAGTTGGCTTGGGAGTGTAAGCTCTGAGCAGCAGGGCCACCGGTTCAGATCCCACATGGGGGCCAGTGACGCTGCATCCTCTACAGCTAAGATGGTGAACAACAGCTCAACCTGGAGCTGGGCTGCTGTGAGTTGCTGGCAATGGTGTAGGCTGCAGTGGGACTGCAGCAGGCTGCCATGAGCTACCGTGAGTGGCTGGCAGCCAACGTGAGTGGCCAGTGGCCGACTGCCTCACCCGGGAAGAGCGCAATGATAATGTCAACATGGGCCAGTGAAGCGATGTCCTTCACAACTAGACTGAAGAACAAAAGGACAGCAACTTGTCTGTTCCCCTTCCCCAATTACCCAACGCTGTCCCCTTCCCCGATTCCCTAACGCTATTCCCTCTCCCAATTCCCCAATAAAATCTTAAAAAAAAAAACCCCAAAAACAACAGAATTGTTCTTGGCAATCTTCTACAGAGCTGGGTTGCTTGGTAAGTCAAAAAGTCCCATCCATCAGTTTAATAGGATACCTCTGTAGGTATTTTAAGCAGAAAGAGATTTAATACAGGGAAACAGGCATATAAACAGGTTGGTGAGGCTGGTAGAGCAGGCTCTAGGCTGACCCTTCCTCCAACGATGGCTCCCAGAATAATTCTACAGAACTGACCTGCCAGGACAAGCAGGGTCATTGCCACAGTCTGGAAGGTGGGGAATCAGGGGGCCACTACTAGAACTTGTGGGTTGAATAACACTGTCATCGCCAGGGAGCTTCCATCACTGGAGCTGCACCTGTTTTCGTGACACCTGAAGTAGGAAACTGGATGTTGGGCCACGACTGCCCCCTATTGCCTGATGCCTTTAAGAACTGATCCCTCAAACTTGCACAGCACATTCACATACATGTGTCATCTTACCCTCAGGACTTGACCAGATAAGGAAAACCTAGGGTGCTCATCTCCCTGTTGTACAGATAAGGAAAGAGGTGACGTAACATAATTAAGGTCACACAGCAACGTGCAAAGCTAGAGTAACAACTAGGTGTCCTCATCCGCTGGCCTGCTCACTGAACTCAGCTACCATGTCATGAGTGAGGTCTTCGGTGGCCCTGGTAGGGCCTGAGAGCACAGCATGCATACATATGGTGCCTCATGAGTGACGCAGACTGTAAATATATCTCGGTGGGCACAAATCTGTGCTGTAAGCCCAGAGCAAGGGGCTGGTATTCGGCAGAAGGGATGTTTAGGAAGATTTCAGAGAAGAGACAAGGCCACATTTGACTTCTGAGGGTTGAGGAGGAGTATGTCAGGAGGCAAACGGCAAGGAAAAGACTGTCCTAGCAGCTGGCAAGAGCTAAGGGGGAATGGTGTGGCGGCAAAATTTCGGGGAACCGAGAGAATTCTCATTTTGGAAGATTTGGACAATGTTAAAACGATTTTTTAAACAGTAAAATAAGGTGCATTCGTCTTAAGGCTACATCTTCTTGATTAAAACAAATATATGTCAACCCTCATGTACCCTTCATTTAGGTGCAAGTATACAGCGCTTCCAACATCTCAGGAGGTTCCTTCGTGTCCCCTCCCAGTCCGTACGTACCCGCCTCCATTCTTCCCGCCCCCGGCGGTTTTTGAGGGGTGAGGAATGGCCACGACAAAATCTCAGAGCCCCTGGCTCGGGCCCCCATCTCCCAGTTCTTCCAACTCCTGTGGTTGCCTCCAAATCTTTCGCCATATTTCTGAACAATCCTAAGAGGGTATTGCAAACCGGTCAGGGGAGGGAGGTTTCTTGCTTCTGTCGTTTTCTTGCGTACTCCCGTGAACTTGAGGACGCGCGCGAAACGGGGTGGAGGGTGGGGACGAGGTTTTCTGGTCCCTCGGAGCCACCGTCCAGGTCCCGGCCGCGCGGAACCGCCATGTCCCTCGGCGGCCGCCGTGCGCTCGTTACGTGGCAGTTGCCAGCGCCCGCCAATCCACGGCGCACGCATCAGCCCCCTCGGGTGGCGCAGCCGGAACGGGCGGAGCCGAGTTGGCGGCGGCTGAGGAGGTAGCAGTGGCGGCGACGGCGACGGCGGCTCTGGAGGCCGCAGTCCCGATCCTGGCTTCGGCCCCAGCCCCACCATGGTGACGCTTGCTGAGCTGCTGGTGCTCCTGGCCGCCCTCCTGGCCACGGCATCGGGCTACTTCGTCAGCATCGACGCGCATGCCGAGGAGTGCTTCTTCGAGCGGGTCACCTCGGGCACTAAGATGGGCCTCATCTTCGAGGTGGCCGAGGGAGGCTTCCTGGACATCGACGTGGAGGTGCGGGCGCGCTGCCCGCGGCCGAGGCGGGGTCGCGCGTTCGCTCGGGGGGTTGGTGGCGCCCGGGGCCCGCGAGGGGCCTGAGGAGGGCGCGGGACATGGAGGCCGCTGTCCGAGCCCCGGAAGGGACCCAGGCTGCCGCCCGGCCCCCGCCACGGCGACTCCCCAACGGCCGTTTTCCCCGCGGCCCGCCGGGGGTTCCGGGCCCCGGGCTCCCTCCCCCAGGATACGGAGCGGTTGCTTAGTTGCGTTGGGTTTGTCACCTTGGGGTCCCCCCTGGAAACCTCTCGCCGAGCTTTCCCGACGAAGCGCCGCGTGTCAGCTCCGGGCCCGGAAGGCGCATCTCGGTGCGGCTTAGCTGGTGGCGGGACTGGATGCGGTCAGCAGCTGCATTCTTTCGTGGGACGGATTAATGTTGGGACGTGGTGTGAAAAGTTTTTGAAAAAGGACACCCAAAGTTACAGAGGACTGCTCAGCAAACGTTGGCGTTGTGTTTTTCTTTACTTTTCATGGAAACGACCCCCAGTGTTTCAGTTTTTACACGAGCCTCCGGATATTATCGTTTAGCCATCCCTTACTAGGGGAGAGGTCGAGCTGGGTCTTGCATTTTAGGAGTAATGATGGCAGTGAAGTATCTGGGGAAAACGGGAAATTATTTTAAGAAACGAGCCGTCCCTAAATTCCCTCCTATATCTTTCTTAAACCAAAGGATTGGGTCACTTAAAACTTTTTTTTTGGGGGGGGGGACCAGATGTGGTTAATATTCAAATGCATCTGTTAGCATGATTGATCGGGTTTAAGGCCTTTCCATTTGATAGCGCACATTAGCAGAGTTGGGCACAGATTACATAATCCATGGAAGGAATGACTGTTAAAATTAGCAAAGACCTAAGGGATCAACTATTCCAGTGTCCAGGGCTTTATACACTTGAGCTGAGCCCAGCAGCTGATTTGTACAGATCGCAATGAGAACACCGGGCTCCTGATTTCCAGTTTTGTCCCTTCAGCCTTCAGGCTTCTCCAATGAAGCGGATTCCTTCACTGGTTGGCAGTAATGAGGAAAGCCTAGACATGCACCTTACTCAAAATTCTTAGTTTTAAAGAGGTTTCTGATTTTGATGTTAACGGCTACATGTTTGCGTGTTTGCTGGAGGTGTTAGGACACTTGGAGACAACATGTAAGGTGCGGTTTCTGTTTCTGAGGAGCTTGTATTTGAGTTGGACAAGTGAGGCAAGCTCTGTAGTCAGAGTTAAAAGGTGTTTGGAGAGCCTGGTCTCCTAAGAGGGAGCCCAAAGAGATTACTGTTACCAGCTGATGTGGAGCTCAGTGAAAATCACATTTTCTTAGCAAATATTCTGCTACTGCCTGCCAATAGACACCATTTACGAAGCTTATGATTTGAACTCTTTTTTTCGTGATGTCTCATGCGTTTCTCTCCTGTCTCCAGATTACAGGGCCTGATAATAAAGGAATTTATAAAGGAGACCGGGAGTCCAGTGGGAAATACACATTTGCTGCTCACATGGATGGGACATACAAATTTTGTTTTAGCAACAGGATGTCCACCATGACTCCAAAGATAGTGATGTTCACCATTGATATTGGCGAGGCCCCAAAAGGACAAGACATGGAAACAGAAGGTGAGATGAACATTAGGAAGATTTATATCACATTCCAAGAGTTAATTTTAATTCTGTACAGTTTTATCCATCTGAATTGAGTATTTATTGTAGTTTTTTTGTTTTATTATTTTTTTAACTGAGCCATTCTGCTGCCTGTTGGCAGTTTAGCGGCAGCTCAGCTCAGGCTGGGAATCGAACCGGCAACCCTGTTGCTTAGAGCTCACACTCTTGAGCGAGCTCTTAATCAACTGAGCCACTCGGCCGGCCCTATTGTGATTTTTTAAATTCTAGGTTCATTCATTGTCTTTAAACTCAAAAACCTTTTGTGAAATATACTTTTTATTTATCCAAATCACCTAATTAACAAAAAGAAGTTTCTGGAAGTTCATGTTTATATTTTAGTTCTTTACAGTTGCCCCTTATGGCAGCTTAGTAATTTTGGGCTCTTGTAAGCATGTAGATTACATGTGTCTTAGGTTGTGTGTTCTGTTAATTTGCAAATTCTGGTATACACATCTTTATCTGCTCATTTGTATACTTGACTAGTTTAGCTAAACTTTTTGTTCTTTTATTCTTTGTGTGTGTTTATATCTTAAACTTTTCTTTAGGTGGTGGAGATACCTGGGATGGTATGTGGATTGATTTTTGACAGCATCCTGTCTTTTTGCATATTTTTTGTTTGCAATTATCTAATTTCTGCTTTCCTTCTAACCTCAGTGTGTTAGCATGAGAGTGTTTTTTGTCTTAAAAAAACCAAAACAGCCCTACAACTAATTAGAGTTTTAGAGCGATTGTTTTTGGTGGTTTTTATTTGGTTGATAGGAGGTACAGATTAGGTCATTTTAGATGAATAGCACTGGGAACACAGTCATTGACTTTTTAGTAGTACCGTTGTACTTTTTTTTTTTTTTAATGAATGCTGAAGCGTGGAAAGAGTCAACCATAACTGGACAAGCAAACATCTTAATTAAACATAGCTAATAGCAGATGGTGCAGTTGACTTTGTAGGAAGTGTGTTATAGGCTTGTTTTAACCATTTTAAGGTCTTCTAACTTGAAACTTGGGTGTATATGAAATCCAGTTCTAGGAGCCATGTCTAGATATGGTGACAAAAGTTCTTTTCAGCCATATGTTGTAGCTAGATTAAATTTTATTCCTCAACTGACCAGCATTGAACCCTGAATTGATTCTCCTGGATAAATTGCTTACTAGAAGCCAGCACATTTGGATTTTTTGGGGGGGTGGTGGTGGGGGTGTTGTCACAGTATATATTAGGATTTCTGGAAAGTAGCTATTCAACACATTTCATGGTATTAACATGATAACATTTGTCTTAGATATTGAGCAGTTAGTAGAGCACTTACCGTACATCAAAAGAAGATGAAGTGTTTGTTAGATTCGAAATCTATAGGATTTAGAGAATCATGCTACTTAATAATTCCTGTGCTGCTTTTCAGGGTCATTTACAGGTAGAAGTTGGCTAATTTTCAAGAAGAATTGAGAGTTTTGAAGGGCTTTGTGTTTGTTCATGTTCATTTTCTGGAGATTAGTCCTTTCTAAGTAGTTAGAAAATGTTGGCTGATGAATGTGAACATTGAACTATCCTTAAATAATCCTTTAACACAATATCTAAAATTCTTGCTTTTGCTTGTTATTGTCATTGAATGGCAGCTGTCAAATCAAGCCTTCTTGTAAAGCAGTGGTTCACATCAGGATGATTTTTGACCCCCACGGAACATTTGGCAATATTGGGAGACATTTTTGAATCTCCTGGCTTGGTGCGTGATCCTACAGGGCATTAGCTAGCTCACCGCAGCAAAAGAATTATCTGGTCCAAAATGTTAACAGTCTGCCCCTCGGAAACCCTGATCTAAAGGTACCACGTAGTGCATGGGGCTTCCAAAGTGAAGCTAGTGAGGGAGGACTTGAGATTCCAGCCCAACTACCTTAAAATGGGAGGGGCTCTTGGCCTCTCTCAAGAAATTCCAGATTATCTGTGGCCATTTGGAATTCTAGATGAGGCCCAATCTTGGGCAGTGTAAAGCCACGACTCCAGTGGGAACCTTCCCTCGTGGTATGTTTTTTCCTCCCTGTTTCTTCACTGTCATAGCACTACCTAGAAGCACACATTTACTCTTCAGAACTCTTACCTCACCTTGTGTTCATTTTGGGCCAAGGAGAATACTGGTTTTAAGCCTTGTGCAGCTGAGAGCTTGTCTTCACCTTAAGAGTAGATTTTGATTTTAGTTTAAAAATTGTTGTTTGTAGGTTATTGTTAGTGTGTTATTAGGACTTTTGTTTGTTTTATATTTTACGCTTTCTTTTTACCCCCTCAGTTTTTTTCTCTCTCTGGTTGGCAGTCAGTATAGTGAACTTCACTTAGTAGCAGTTCATTAAAAGAAATTTCTTAGGGATAATTGTGGGTTTTTTTAGTTAGTAAAAATTGTGTAATGTATTTTTTTGTTTGTTTTTAAATTTTATTGGGGAACAGCCATGGTCATTGGTTACACATTGCTTTCATGCTACAATGGCAGAGTTGACTCTCTTAAGGAGGGCGCAGCTCACAGTGGCCCATGTGGGGATCGAACCAGCAACCTTGGTGTTATTAGCACCACGCTCTAACCAACTGAGCTAACTGGCCACCCCCGAATAGTATGTTTTCTATCCTGAAAGATGTTTCTGTGCTGTGACGGGACTTTAAAAACATGCTTCGAGAATTCAGTTGTCATCAGTGGTCCAAAACGATTTCTGCGCCATTTCTAAACATAGCTGCTTTTGTATGTCTTCTCTGAGCAATATTTTTATTTCTTGATAAGTATTTTTCAAAAATAGATTACCAAATATGTGCCACTGTTTTCAAACCCTTCTGTAGCTCATCAAAACAAGCTAGAAGAAATGATTAATGAGCTAGCAGTGGCGATGACAGCTGTAAAGCACGAACAGGAATACATGGAAGTTCGCGAGAGAATACACAGAGCGAGTAAGTTAATGAGCCGGCTGACCCTGCGGCGTTGTGTGTGGTGCCCACCAGCTCGTCTCCATTCTCCTCACTGGGAAGTTTCGCAGACATAATCATACTAAATCATTGGCTTCAAAAAGCACCCTTGCAAAGATATTTTTGAGTATACGTGTTTGTAGAGCTTTGTACCACACTAGTTTATTATTGGGACTCTCATTCTAAGCCAATAAGTGCTGTTAAGATTCAGCATAAGGTTTTAAGAGTTTTTAAAAAGTATGGTCAGCTAAGGAATAAGCTAATGGTTTTCTGAAAGTAGAAAGGAAAAACATTGTAAAATGGGTATTGCATTGGTTTATATCTAAAACTTTTGTACCAGTATGATTAATAATATATGCTGAGGCTTGGCTTTTCCCCCTAAAATGGAAGATTTAGCCTAGTTAAAATAGAAAGCTGAGAAACATGAACATAGCCAGTCACCAAGTAGAGACCAGTTTGGGCTCCCAAATTTGTAAACTGGGAACTGAGAATGTATTTGTCTCTGGAAACAGTGGCGATTGCAATCCAATGTTAGGTTGCAAAAGCCTGTTTAGCCCATAATATAACCTTAAGTATTACGCTTTTGCGTATAAAGTTAAGAGGTAGCAGGTTGACACACAGACCAGATCCCACCATATTTTACATCCAGGTCCACATCTGTGGTTCCAGATAGTTCTTAGGGATAGATCTTAGTGGGAGCAAGCTCTTGTCTGTAAATATAAAGTGACTTTTGTCATGAATCTTTGTTCTGAGGTTGGGGCAGGGCAGAGAAAGCAGCAGCACTAAGAGACAAGCACAGGTGGATTTCTTCAAGACGTAGTTCTCGCCACCGTGGGAAAGGAGCCTCCAGGACCTAGAACGTGGACTTCCCCTCTCCTTGGCAGAATGAGTAAATGTGGCAGATTGGAGAAGCGCCCCCAGTCTTGCTTTTTTTGGGGTGGAGTGGGACCGAGGCTTGTATACACACACTCGTGCCTCTTCCACCATGATGCCTGCTCCTTGCCACCACATGCATTTCTTTACCCTCTGGGATCGCCACCTCCTGTCCCATACCTGACAGGGACCTCTTTGTGGGTTACCTTGCTCCCAGCTGGGGACCAGTCCATTACTGGTCGAGAAGAGCACTGAACAAAACTGAGGACGAAGAGCCTTCATGGCTTTGCAGATTTTCCTAGTTCAGACCAGATGGCTTTACAGGTGTAGGAGGTCCTTGGAAACGGCCAGAGAAAGCACGGTGCTTCCGGTCTGTGGGGGCGGCCAACCTTATTCTTCCACCATGACTTTGACTGGAGAGACTTGCACAAACAAGTAGAGTTTTAGGCATTCAGTTTAAGTTTGCAAATGAGATAGCTCCCCCAACGCTGTTGGCTTTTTGTACGTCTTCCTCCAATCCTCCTCAGAGATGAACATGAGACTTATTTATTTATTCTTTTAACTACAGTGTTCTACTGTGTTGCTTCTAGATCCGGCTAATATGTGAATGGCACGAGGACAGTGTCTTATATACACACTTTCCCAGGTGGCTACTTGCCCACGTTATTATGCTTCATTGTGTTCAATTTAAACTTAAAGATGCATTTTCTATAAGTGAAGGGAGAGAAATACTTTTTTTTTTTTTAAATTGGAGAATTGGGGGAGGGGAACAGCCAAGTTGTTGTCCTTCAGTCTTAGTTGTGGAGGGCGCAGCAAGCTCAGCTCCAAATCCAGCCGCGCTGCTCAGCTCCAGGTGCTGTGTTCTGTTAGTTGCGGGTGGGCGTAGCCACCATCTTGAACAGGCAGCCTTGTTAGGAGCATGTGCTCTCACCAGCTGAGCCATCCTGCCACCTGTTGGCAGCTCAGTAGCAGCTCAGCTCAGGAGCAACTCACTGGCCCATGTGAGAATTCAACCGGTGACCCTGTTGCTCAGAGCTCGCACTCTTGAGCAAGCTCTTAACCAACTGAGCCACTCGGCTGGCCCCAGAAATACTTCTTTTTACATGATTGCTTAATTTGAAGTATTTACTCAGCAGGTTTTTTTTTTAAGATTTTTATTGGGGAATTTGGGGGATGGGAACAGCACTGGGGAATTGGGGGAAGGGGAACAGACAAGTTGCTGTCTTTTTGTTCTTCAGTCTAGTTGTGGAGGATGTTGCTTCACTGGCCCAAGTTGGCACCATCATTGCGCTCTTCCCAGGCGAGGCAGATCAGTCGCCGGCTTCTGGACAGCCGCTCACTGTGGCTGCTGGTCGCTCACGCTGGCTGCTGGCTACACACGGTAGCCCATGGCAACCCACTGCAGCAGAGGCTGCAGCCTACGCCATCGCCAGTGACTCATGGCAGCCCAGCTCTAGGTTGAGCTGTTGTTCAGCATCCTAGCTGTGGAGGGCAGTGTCACTGGCCCTCATATGTGGGATCTGAACCGGGGCCCTCCGCTGTCCCAAGCCAGCTCTTAACCAACGTGCCAATTGGCCAGCCCCAGACACAATTTTTAAATGCCGTCATTCAAACAGTTATGCTAGAAATTGGTTAAGCTTTCTTTTCTTTATTCTTTTTTTTAATTAAAGTGTATTGGGTGACAATGGTTAGTAAAGCTACATAGGTTTCAGGTGTACAATTCTGTGATAATGTCATCTATATATTACATTGTGTGTTTACCACCCAGAGTCAGTTCTCCTTCTATCACCATATATTTGGTCAAATTGGTTAAGTTTTCAACAGAAGTAAACTTCATGTGGAATTAGCACTAAAATTTCAGTATTGGTGGTTTTTAGAGTTCTAGTTAATGTTCTTGGGCATCTGCCTATTCCTCCTCTGGTAAGTTATCCTTTTGGAAACATGCTAATTGTTTTCACTTTTTTTTGAGTGATCATCTATCCAGTAGCTGTTACAGTTCTAGTTAATCTTTTTACCCATGGTATACATATGGCACTTATTCAGCTGATTACTATGTTACTATATTACTAATTGTAATTATTTCTAATATAGGCTATTTGTAGAAAAATTGGAAAACTACCTAGTAATTTTAAAAAGTTAAGGCTGTAGAATTTAATCAGAAACTTGAAAGAGTGATACAAATTGAGCAGAATAAATTAATATAGTTATAGCAGCTACTTTAAGGATCAAATCCTTAGCTTAAGCATGGGATAAAGAATGAGATTTATTCCAGTTTGATAGTAACTGCCAGTACTGGTCCGTGAAACTGAGAAATCTCCCCCACTGAGAACAAATGCCAAGTACATAGTAGGTGCTCCATTAATATTCACTGAATGAATGTTTAAAGAAAAAGACACTTAGACTGACACATTTTGACTTGGTAGATAGTGGTTTTTGGGTAACTGTGATCTTGAAATAATCTCTTAATTGTTTTAAAGTCAGTTTTCTGATTCAACAGAAAGGATTATAATGGAACATTTCAGTGTGAGGGAGACAGAATGTTGGATTGAGTTTTCCCCTAGAAGTGTGACCTTGGGCAAGTCACTTTTCTTTTCTGTTGCCCATTCATAAGCAGTGTGGGCTTGACAATGTGAATCATTAAGAGCCCATTGAAATCTAAAATTCTCTGCTTCTAAGTTGAGTTACTTGGGGACAAAAGTATTTAGAGTACTATGAATGGTGTGCAAGCATTGCTTTCACACAGACTAAGAATAGGGGTAGTTTGTGATGCTTATGTGGCTGTTTGGTTTTTTTTGGTCGTTAAATTTTGTTTGTTTGTCTTCAACAGTCAATGACAACACAAACAGCAGAGTGGTCCTTTGGTCCTTCTTTGAAGCTCTTGTTCTAGTTGCCATGACATTGGGACAGATCTACTACCTGAAGAGATTTTTTGAAGTCCGGAGGGTTGTTTAAAAAGCCTTTTCCTGATGATCCGAAACTCATAATTCACTGTTTACCAAACATCTTGGTCGTAATAATGTCATGAGTTTGTATGTTTTTATTTTCTTAACTGTACATTCACAGCTTATGTTTCTTTGTGATGAATAGATATGGGGGGAAAACACCTGTTTAGGGAAGTTATAGTGAAAATTTGACATTTGATTGGCACAGTTTCTTATTTGAATCCTGCCTCCATTATATAGGTCCTTCCAGAGCTCAAACACTGTAAATGAAATGTAGACGTATAGTCCTTATATCTTTTTTGTTGTCATAATAAAATGCAGTTTGTTCAGGATAGTACTTTACTAAAATGACTGCAGTTTTTAGACCCCTTATCCTGCAGTTCAGGTCATTAAAGATTCATTTTGTTGAGTCCTTATGAGAAAAAACAGCCTGAATCGTGACATTTTCTACCCCCAATGGCAGAGCTCTGTGACTTTGGAGTATGCTTCCAGGTCGGTACTTTTATACTTTGTCTATCTTGTTTTTGCTTTAAAGATAAGACCATAACCCAGTAACATTTTTCCCCCTAAATTTTTACTTTGAACCTTAGGATTTCACCTTTACTTAAACTGATGACACAAGCAGCTAATAACCATTTTTTGGTTTGAGCCTGACCTTGTAAGAAGTCTATTAAAGCCAATTCTGGGTGTTTCAGCTGGTAGCTCTTTTTATTTCTGTGCTGGCAATCCACTTTCTCTACTCTTGGCACGTAGGAGGTATGCATTCACGTAATTGAAAAAATCTTGGTTTCTGATGGCAAAGGGTTTAAAGCCTGTTTGATTTCATTGCAGTGATATACAGCCACTATTTTAATTTTGATCAGTGGTATTTGGCCACTCATTAATTAGGGTACTGCACATCACTGTCAGTACTAGGGTTTTTGTTTTTATTTTTCTTGGGGTTTTTTTTTGGCACATGTGAATTTTGTTTTGTATAAAACGAAAAGAGTTTCTCTTGGTCTCTGATGATGGGTTCAAAATTTAAAAAGCAGCATCTGGTTTTGGTGTAGGGATGATCCAGGATTATGTTGTGACTGATGCATATCAGTTACTTGTACTTTTTTTTTTTTTTTTGATCTTTGCAAGGGTAAAACTACAAGTAACGAGTTTTATATAATTAATTTAAATTTGTTACAGGTTTTCATGTTCAGGATAAACAATTTTTTCAACGTTGGGTGAAAACACTTGGCAACAGTTGAAGGTGACTGTGTTACCTTAGGACAACTGTTGCATGCCAATTTTTGTGTGTGTGTGTGAGAAAACACTTTGAAATTGAATTAAAATATGTAAATTTAAAATCGGTTGTGTATCTAATCTGCCCCAGGTTCCGTAAATAAACAATCCTTTTTAAAAACAGTCTTAGTATTCTGTGTTTCGTATGTTAATGATTAATTCACATTTGTTATATATCAACTTCCTATTCACACTTGAAATGAGGCATGTCCATCTTTTCTAAGTAATTATGTGCCTGTTAAGGGTCACTTTTTATGTCTGTAAACTTTAGGATAGTGAATAGGAACCCAGTTTTAGGTTTCCCTCTGGTTTCTTTGATGGGTCAGTGTTAACATCTTAAGTATTTTTTTCATTTGCAAAAACACGTTTTAAGTGATTTTCATTCAACCACTTGGTTTATGGATGTTGAAATTATATGAGGGATTAATGATCTGCCCAAGGCTCCCAGATGGAGAATGGTGGTGGAACCAGAAAGTAGATCTCTGTCTTTAGAAACTTTGTCTTCCTCCATTACTCCAGGGGCTTGCTAGTAAGAAGGCGACTACCATTTATTAAGCACTAATATCCTGGCAGTGTGCTGAGCACGTTACACCATCTGTCTCATTTACTCCTCAAAGCCGCTGTACACTGGGAGCTATTATAATTCTCATTTTGGAAACGAGGGAACAGACCTGGAAAGGGCCCCAAATTCAGAAAATAGTAGAGCCCCAAATACACACGCTGCTGTGATCTTGCCTTCTTTGCTTTCAGAGCTGTCTGTGGAAGTCCCGTTGTATAAGACACTTGTCAAAGGTGTTTCAAGGACATGATGAACTTATTTCAGTGAAAATGTTGCCTTGGGCTTTTATTTTTCAGTTTTTTGGTTTGAGATGACGAGTCTGCATGAGTACCATTTCCATTTATTCCTCCCAAAATGTTGACTGGGCTACCAGTTGTAGCCACTGGGATAACGAAACTATAGAAAAACTCCCCATTGTCATGGAATTTACCTGTTAGCGGGGGAGATGAAGTGAATATGTCAATTGTCGGCACGTCAACATAAGTGCTATGGGTAGTTGGTCTTAGTGATTAGGAAAGGAAGGCATCACTGAGATGACATCTGTAAAAGTCCTGATGGATGTAAGGGAGCAAGCCATGCACGGAGCTGGAGAAGATACGTGCTGACAGAGCCCAGCACATACCGTGATCGGTAAAACCTTGCTGAAGGAGCGTCAACAAACGAATGGCCCAAGGCAACGGTGAACACAGAAATAAGAAGATGGTGTACTTGTTAGGACTCTGATCGTAACATTCTTGGAAGCAAACCAACGTTATGTATCAGGCACTGGATCCCCACCATTAACCCTATTTTGCATTACTGTTAACCTGGGGCGCCGGGGCTGGGGTACATTTCTGCCCACTCCCTCCACTGTCCTTCGGTCAGCACGCGGTATCGTGCTGCCATCTGCCACCAATTAGCGGAAAAAGTGAGAGCCGGGGCAGAATCCCTCCCGCCGAAATGCTTGCTGGGTGTGGAAAGGCGCCCCTAGTCAAGGTGGCCACGCCGGACAAATGGCACCACTCTGGCCTGGCCCCCGCCGCCCGCATTCTCTCAGCTGCGGTTGGCTTTCCGCCCAAGTACGGCGAGGGCGCCTTCCCCGCCCTCCGGAACTTAGCTGCTGGAGCAAGGTTCCTGGCCGGCCCGGTGGGCGGCCGGAAGCGGAAGTGCTTGCTGGAGGCGCTCCTGGTTCGTCCCGCAGCAGCTGGGCGCATCATGGAGCACGTGACGGAGGGATCCTGGGAGTCGCTGCCGGTGCCGCTGCACCCGCGAGTGCTGGGTGTGCTGCGGCAGCTGGGCTTCCCGTACATGACGCCGGTGCAGGTACCCGGCGTGCCCCGGGGAGGAGGGTCCTCTGTGCGCAGCTGGCAGTGGGGCTAGGCAGGCTCAGAGCGGGCCCGGCACTCGCTGAATGGGACACGTCCGGTCGGTGTAGCATTAGGGCTTGCATCCTGGCGTTTTCACCCTTCCACCTGGGACGTCTGCCGCGTCTTCAGGCAGAGTTATGGACTTAGGCAGAGGCGGCCGGCGGCGGCGCACCTGTGCCAAGGTCCTCACACCCCTACCCACCTCCGCCTTTGGGTGCTAGGGCCTAAGTGTCTGGTTCATAGCCTGGCCCTGCCCCCTCTAGCTGTCAGACCTGGGGCAAATGACTTAACCTCTCTGGGCTTCATTTCTCGTGAAGTGACAAAAATCACATTGCCTGCTTCATGGGGTTGTTGTGGGGATGCCTTCAGACAGTGATGGGCACATAACGGGAGCTAGCTCAATAGATGTTACCTGTTGTTATTATTGCTGTTATTATTATTGTGTGGGTTAAGTGAAGTGTCCTGGCCCAATGTATTCTTTTTTTTTTTTCTTCAAGAAATTTATTGAGGACATATCAAGTACTCTTTCTGGGCTCTGGGGATTTTGTAGTGCTGGCACCCTGCTCATGGGCCATATTTTCTAATGCAGAAGAGAGAGAAAGGAGTCAAGGAATAAGATAATTTCAGTTGCCGACAAGTATTATGAAGGAACTAAAACAGACTGATGTGATGGACGGTGACAAGGAGATATAGGTAGGAGGTAGGATAGGGTATTAGGGAAGGCCTCTCTGAGGGGGTGACATGGAGCTGGTACCTGAATGAGAAGGAGCTGGCTGTGTGGCGACTGGGGGAGGGGTGCGGATTCTAGCAGTGAAAAATGCCAGTGCAAATGCCCTGGGGCAGGAGGACGTGGGCTTGAAGCAACAGAAAGAAGGCCTTTGTGGCTGGAGCATCAGGAGCGGTGTCAGAGATGAGCAAAGCAGGGTCCGGATGGTGGCTTGTAGGAGCGTGGATTGTGTTCCAAAGGCAGTGGGAAACCGTCTTCTATGGGAAGCTGTGCAACCAAGGAAGGGATGTGACTTCTGTGTAGGGAGTGGACTTTAAAGGGGTAGGAGGAGAAGCAAGGAGGTCAGTTAGGCGGCCATTGTCAGTGAGAGGTGGTGGCGGCTTGGAGTAGAGAGGAAGCAGTGGATATTGGAAAGTCACGTTCAAGATAACTTGAGGGTTGCTGAGAGGGACATTCGAGAGAGTTCTGTTTTGAAATGTTGAGTTGAGATGTCCATAAGCTCCCCAGGAAGGATGTGGAGGAAGCAGGCAGGGCTGGAGATAAAACTCAGGGGTGCCGTGTGCCATGCTTTGGACATGTAGTGCCTGTGAGATCCAATCTCTGCCATCAGCGCTGATCGTCTACCCGTGCTGCCCACTAAAGTCGTCACTAGACACAGGTGGCTGTTGAACACTTGACATGTGGTGAGTCCCAGTTAAGCTGTACTCAAGGTATAAAATGCGCAGTGGATTTCAGAAACTTGGTGTGAGAAAAATAGAAAACATCTCATTAATTTCTAAAATATTGATTACACGTCAATGTGAGAAGAGTTTGGGTGTGTTGGGTTAAAGAAAATATTATAATTCATGTCACCTCTTTCTTTTTACATTTCTGTGTGGCTTACTAGGGATTTGAAAACCACCTATGTGGCTCACCTATTTCTGCTGGACAGCAGTGGTGTAGAGCCGAGTTTCTCAATCCCTGCACTGTTGCCATTTTGGACTGGAGGCTTGTGCAGAGGCCGTTAGAAAGACCCGACGTGCTGCGCGGGGGTGAGCTCAGGCTCAGGGAGCAAGGAGTGGGGTCCTGGGCGGGTGACCTCGAAGCCAGGCCCCGAGTCTGCTTCAGGTTTAGCCTCTGGTTGCTGAAGCCAAAGGGCCTGGCTTCTTGTAACACCTGGAGGCCCTGCATGGTGTTTAACATGAGAGGGTTTACTGGAATCATGGCTCTCTGATACTAGAGCTGGGAGGGACCTTAAAACCCAGTGTCTTCAAAGCCTTCCTGGTCCAGAGAGGAAAAGTCAGCAAGGCAGGACTAGAATTCAGGACTCCGAATCCCAGCTCAGCTCGGTCCCCCTGCACACCCCTTTGTGCAGACACCGTTGCCATGGTATCTTTGAGCCCGCCCCTCTAGCTGCCCGGTGGGGACTCTGCTCAGAGTCCGCTTTGGGTTGGGGCTCATCGTCACCCAGGACGTTCCTAGGGCTTTGGCCTCATCTGTGGAGTCGTGCCATTCTCTAACCAGTGCTTTGCCGTCTCTGTTCAGTCCGCCACCATCCCTCTGTTCCTGAAAAATAAAGACGTTGCAGCTGAAGCGGTGAGTACCTTGTGTCCGTGCAGTGTGTCCCCCTGTTTCCCTCCAGAATGAACTGTGACGGAAAGCCACCCAAACCTTCTCCCCTTCCAGGTCACAGGCAGTGGGAAGACACTCGCTTTCGTCATCCCCATCCTGGAGATTCTCCTGAGGAGGGAAGAGAAGTTGAAAAAGAACCAGGTGAGGATGGCTAAGTGATCTGTTTTCACTTAGTCCCTGGAGAGTTCACAGTTGAGTAAGAAGCTGGTCAAAAGCTTGAAAAAATAAAAATACAGTCTATCCTCATAATTCGCAGATTCTGTGTTTGTGAATTTGCCTACTTGTTAAAATGTATTTGTAGCTCCCAGATCAGTACTCACCGTGCTTTCTCGATGTTATCCGTGGACGTGTGCAGAGCAGCGAAAAATTTGAGTGGCCTTCTGTGCACGTTCCCAGCACAGTTTTAACAAGGCAACGCTCCGTCTTGGTTTAGCTCTTGCAGGGTAAACAGGTGTTCTTGTCACGATCTGCTTACTGACATGATTTTTGCAGTTTTGTTGGTGATCTCGCTGTTTAAAATGGCCCCAAGCAAAGTGCTGAAGTGCTGTCAGGGTCCCTGAGCGCAGGGAGGCTGTGACGCACTCGCCTCGGAGAAAACACATGTGTCAGATAAGCTTCGTCAGGCGTGGGTTATAGTGCTGGTGGCCGCGAGGTCAATGAACCAGCAATACACATATATTACCGTATTTCCCCAGGTGTAAGACGCTCCCAGGTATAAGACGCACCTTAATTTTGGGGCCCAAAACTTGAAAAAAAATGTATGACATCAAGTTATTGAATTTAAGTTTTAGTCATCATAAAATTCATACAACTCCTCATCACTGTCAAAACCCCCAACCATTAGCTTGTCCTCACCTGTGTCTGGTGACGAATCACTGTCTTCATATATTGCCTCGTCCTCAGTTCCATCTATGGCATTTGAAATCTACATCACTGTCTAAGACGCACCCAGTTTTTAGACCCCACATTTTTCGAAAAAGGGTGCGTCTTATACATGGGGAAATAATGGTGAATAAGATGTTGAAACAGAAACACAGAAAACAAGCTTACGTACTGATTGGTTGACAAGCATGTGACCAGAAGCTCAGCGGAACCTCACCCCATATTTCCCCTGGGAGAGGACGTTTGGTATTCACTGATTCATGTTCACGTAACTTTATAGAACAGAAGGAACCGCTGTGAATAATGAGAACTCACTGGGATTCAAAGTAGTTGCTATGCACTGTGAGCGGACGCTGTTGAACAAGCCCAGGGAGTGCTGTTGCTCTGGGAATTCCCTCCGTGAGGTGGAGGGTATGGGCTGTATGTGTGTATAGCTCATAAGCCCCATGCGCTGCTTACTGTGTCCCCCCGACGTGGGCAGGTTGGAGCCATAATCATCACACCCACTCGAGAGCTGGCTATTCAAATAGACGAGGTGCTGTCGCATTTCACGAAGCCCTTCCCCCAGTTCAGGTAAATGGATGCAGTGTCCTTGTTGGCCATGGCCGTGATTTTCCCTGCCCTGCTCAAAGGCCTGCTTATGTTTTAGCCAGATTCTCTGGATCGGAGGCAGGAATCCTGGAGAAGATGTTGCTTGCAAGGTTTAAGGAACGAGGGTAAGTTTGCTTCGGCTCATTTCTTTGCTTGCTCTTGGCACTGAACCCAAGAGGAATCGATGCGTGATCTGGGCCTAACCAAAAGCTCCCCCTTTCAGCAGCCACCTTCCTTCCCAAAAAGGGTTCCTCTCCAGGCCCAGCTCCCAGTGTGCATGCTGGCTCCCTGTGGCCCTGATGGCCACGCCCCTCCAGCGAGCCTTACCCCTGCAGGAGAAGGGAGATTGAGGTGTGGCCCCCGACTCTCCCCAGGCAACTGTGTGGGGCTCAGGACCCTTCCTCTTCTCTGGGCTCTACCTGCTCTCATCTTTCCTGGGGTCCTCTCTGACCTCGCCCTGAGCCCCACACCTACAGTCATCTGTCTGCCTGGCATCTCCCCAGCATCTCACAGCTGTTATAAACACATCTAAAATGGGGGCTTGGAGTTTTCTTTTTATTTTTTTTATTTTTTAGTTTCAGGTGTACAAAGCAACATAACAGACATTTACACCCCTCACAAAGTGATAACCTCGCCCCAATAAGGGGGCTTGGAATTTTCCTCCCCAAACTTCTCCCCACCTGGAGTTCCCCGTTCACCTGTCTACCCACGTGGTACTCCTGAAGTCTGGGAGTCAGCCTTAACCCCTCACCATCCCCGCCAGCCCCCCTCACAGCTCACCTTCACCACGCCCTTTGCATTTTCTCTCCACGGCGTACCTCTAACCCATCCACTTTTCTCCATCGTCCCTTCCTCCCTCTCATTTCTCTCCTGGATCCTGCAGTGGCCTCCTGTCTCTCTCATCGCTGTGTTTCTACTCTTGCCCTCTTATAACCCACTCTCCACATAGCAACCCTAAGTGGCCTTTTCAGAACACCAGTCTGATCATGTCACCCTTGAAGACTCTCTAGTGGCTCCCGCTGGCCCTAATGTTAGTACAGGGCCTACGAGGCCACCGTTCTCCACTGCCATCCCCTTGCCACCCCACCTGCTGCAGTGACCTGACTTCATCCTGGGTCCTGCGTGGGCAGGCACTTCCGTATCTCCAGGAGGCTTTGGGAAGTCGGGATGGTGTCTTTGCACCCAAAAAAAATGATTGCAGAATTTTATTTTTTTTTAAGATTTTTATTGAGGAATTGGGGAGGGGAACAGTGTTGGGGAATTGGGGAAGGGGACCAGCCGAGTTGTTCTTCAGTCTTTGTTGTGGAGGGCGCCAATTGCCATCTGGCAGCCCAGCGGCAGCTCGTGGCCTCTAACCTCAAGGTGCTGTGTTCAATCTTAGTTGCGGGTGAGCATAGCCACCATCCCATGTGGGAGTTGAACCAGCAGCCTTGTTAAGAATGCATGCACTGGGCTGGCCGAGTGGTGCGTTGGTTAAGAACTGGCTTGGGACGCCAGAGGGCCCCGGTTCGGATCCCACATATGAGGGCCAGTGACACTGCCCTCTGCAGCTAAGATGCTGAACAACAGCTCGACCTGGAGCTGGGCTGCCGTGGGCGTGACGGCATAGGCTGCAGTCCCTGCTGCAGTGGGTTGCCATGGGCTACCGTGTGTAGCCGGCAGCCAGCGTGAGCGGTGGTCCAGAGGCCAGTGACTGATGTGCCTCGCCCGGGAAGAGCGCAACGATGGTGCTAGCTTGGGCCAGCAAAGCAACATCCTCCACAATTAGACTGAAGAACAAACCAACAGCAACTTGTCTGTTCCCCTTCCCCTGATTCCCCAGCACTGTTCCCCTTCCCCAATTCCCCAATAAAATCTTTGAAAAAAAAAAATGCATGCACTATCCACTGATCCATCCTGGTGGCAACACAGCTCAAGGTGCCGAGTTCAGTCTTAGTTGCGGGTGGGCGTAGTCCTCCATTGAACAGGGAATCTTGTTGTTACACCAGCTGAGCCATCCTGCCACCTGTTGGCAGCTCAGTGACAGCTCAGCTTGGGCGCAGCGTCACTGGCCCATGTGGGAATCGAATCGGCAGCCCTGTTGCTCAGAGCTCGTGCTCTTAAGCCAACTCTTAACCAACTGAGCCACTCGGCCGGCCCATTTCTTTCTTTTTTTTTAACTCTGTTGTTTTTATTTTTTATTTTTTTAGTTAAGTTTATTGGGGTGACAGTGGTTAGTAAAATGTGTCGTGCAGCATTTTATCTAGCGTGGTGCTGCGCGCACAGCACGTGTTTAGTAAACATTCAGAATGTATGTTTGAGCACGCAGTGGCCTCACCCCTTTGGATTTTATTCAGTCCCACCGTGAATAAGGTTTGTGAAGAGCAGTGATAGGTTTTACGCCCAATTTGTTAGTGAATCTTTGTAAAGAGAACTATCTATTATTGAGTGTCCCCAGTGTTCCAGCTATAACATGAGATACTGTCGAGCAGGGGTCACACACTCAAGTTCGTCCAGGGTCAGAGGAAAATGTAAATGTGAACAGGGGGCCAGGTGAGGGCTGGCTAGGAGATGCCCGAACACTCACCTCCTGCCAATAATTGCCATGTGGGACTCTCGCTCAGAACTCCCACATTTTGAATTTTTAAAAAGAATATGGAATTCTAGATTTTTGTGTGTCTCCAGATTTTTTTCACTGTTGTCATGTAATTCCCATTTTTAAAAAACTCCTTGCAGGTTAGCCACTCTGGGGGCACATTTGGCCTTCAGCCTGCCAGTTTGTGCTCTGTTCCGAAAATTATCTCTACTTCTGTGAACATCCTTGCATGTTATGAGAATGCTCATGTTATGAGATGAGTTACCTGGGGCCTGCAGTGGTTGAGTGACTTGCTCTAGGTCAGGGGTCTGCAATGTCTGTAAAGGACCAGATGGTAAATATTTTAACTTTGTGGGCCACACAGACTGTCACAACTGCCAGCTCTGCTGTTATAGTGTGAAAGTTGCCAGAGGCCACATGTGAATGAAGGGGCGTGGGTGCCCACCAGTAAAATGTCACAGAAACTGGCGGAGGCCATTTTGGCCGAGGGCCTGGAGTTTGCCGGCCTCTGCCCTGGGTCTCAGCCCGGAGCCATGCATTTCCCACCCTGCAGCACTGTCTGCCCCTCTCCTGCCCCCTTTCTCTTTACTGGGACCTAGGTGACCTTTGGGGGTGGGGTGGGAGGAGGACACAAAACTTGGTTTTGGAATCACCAGTATCCCCGAGATCAGAGAGTGCGTAGATGTTGACTTTAGATGTTGACTTTGTTTTCCAAGTGGGAATATCGTCGTGGCGACGCCAGGCCGCTTGGAGGACATGTTCCGGAGGAAGGCTGAGGGCTTGGACCTGGCCAGCTGTGTGAGGGCTCTGGACGTCCTGGTGTTGGACGAAGCGGACAGACTTCTGGACATGGGCTTTGAGGCAAGGTACTGGATTTGGGGCTTTACTCGCTTTGGGGGATGCTGGACGTGGAGAGGGGAGCAGAATTACCTCAGGACTGTCCTTAGCAGCCACATCTGTACATCAGGTCATTAGGGTGCCTGGTCCTTCAAATCCCACCATTTAAATTCCAGTTCTTTCTTCTTAAGATGCATTTTCCTTTGTGGTTTCTTGTAAGGTGATTTTTTTTTTAATAAACAGCCGTTTTGGGATGTAATTCATATATCATAAAATTCACCCATTTAAAGTGTACAGTTCAGTGGTTTTTAGTCTCAAAAAGTTTTGTCTTAATTTCACTCAATTGCCTCATATTATGAAAGTATCATTATATGCTTATATTGGAGAAACCTTGGAAAAAATACGACAAAGAAGAAATGAAAATCACCTATAATCTCACTTCTCAGTAACACCTATTGTAAATATTGTGATGTTTTCTCATTCAGTCTCTTTAAAGGCCTGTTTAGTATCACGATGCACTATTTGTTGGCTATGCTGATAAATGAGGGGTTAAGTTTACAACCTCTTTTTTTTTTTAGCATAAACACCATCCTGGAGCTTTTGCCAAAGCAGAGGCGAACGGGGCTTTTTTCCGCCACACAGACCCAGGAAGTGGAGAACCTGGTGCGAGCAGGCCTCCGGAACCCTGTTCGGATCTCGGTGAAGGAGAAGGGGGTAGCAGCCAGCAGCACCCAGAAAACCCCGTCCCGCCTGGAGAACCACTACATGGTGAGCCCTGGCTGCCGTTCTCACTGAGTCCTGTGGTTTAGTGGGATGATGACTGGGCCTCACACACAGCTTGGCGACCGTGGCTAACAGTACTGTGTTGTGTACTTGAATTTGCCAGGAGGGGAGATCTTAAGTGTTTGCACAAATAAAACAACAACAAAAAAAACCCAACAAGCTAACTATATGACATGTTACATGTGTTAGCTACCTTGATTATGGTAATCATTTCACATTGTATACATATATCAAGTCATCACATTGCACACCTTAAATATATACGACTTTTATCTGCCAATTATAGCTCAGTAAAGCTGGGAAAAATAAAACAAATATTCTAGGCAATGTAATGAAACAAATTTTTTTACTTGAATTGCTGTCAGTAAGCTTAGTTCTTTCCTTTTAAATGATCAATTGTAATGATTGTTTTAGTAATTTATTAGATTTTTGTGTTTCTATTTATTTGAAAAATGATTCTTTAATTTTTCTTAACCTTTCCTGTCTATATGTTTTATCAGTATGATATAGTGCTCTCACTAATACCCATTAAGCACTTAAAGCAAATAAGCAAAAATGAACAAAGATGAGTGTTCTAGGGATTATCCTGCAGTTTTCTAGGAAAGTAAATCTATGAAAGGATACCCTGTGGTATATTTTAAAATGCATTTGGGGACCGAGCAGGACAAGCGATGTGGGTGGTCATAGTTGCTGAATGAGTGAATAAGTTCATGTGGGCATAAGTGTATGTTAAGCAGCCTCCAAGGACAGTGCGTATGGCTCTCCTGCCCCCAAGCCATCGAATGTCCTTAGTACACGTGCGTGGGGCGTGCTGGGTGTGGGCACGGGAAACGCTGGGGTCCTGGGCCCGTCAGAACGAGCCTGAGTCAGAGAAGGACACAGCCAGACACGCAGGTGACACGCACAATCACATGATGGACCCGCTCTGAAGGCGACTGTTGGGTGACAGTGGTCTGCTGCTTTGTAACCTAAATGTTCACTGGTTTTGATCTGCACCTGGGAATAGCTGAATCTGTAGCAGTAAACCCTACTACAGTACCTGGAGTTCCCCATCAAGGTGGCGGGAGGGATTGTGGAAATGTGATTGTTTGGTAACGAGGCCGCCCCTCATCCTGTTCTCTCCCGTCGCTGGGATGGGCCAGGAGGCAGCTGGAGGAACCCGCAGGCCAGTGCCACTGCTTGAAAGGCCCGTCTGCATCAGCCAGGGGACAGGCTTTCAGGCTTTCCTTGAGGCTGGAGGGCTTCCTCAGCCCATGAAGGTTCACAATGCAGTGGGCTGGTTTCCAAAGCCGTGTCCCGGTTGCTGGGGACTGTTAAGGGCGGCAAGAGTTTGCAAATCAGAAACTGCCTCTGGCGCAGCTGTCTGGAGGATGTGGTGGAGATCAGATAGGGGGGTAAACTTGGCCTTCACATATCTGCCCGAGGCTGGGCCGGCAACATCTGGAGGCCAGCTTTTCCCAGGTGAGGGAGGGGTTTGTATACTGTGTCGTGATTAAAAGCTGGGTGCATATCTCACCTTTGTCCCTTACTAACTGAACTGGATGAGCTTACCAGTTCATCACCTGTAAAATGGGGGCTCTAGTCATACCCACTTGATGGGGTTGCTGTAAGGATTAATTTAATACAGATGAAGGTGTTTGGCCAGTGCTGGCTGAACACATAGAAGCACTGGTGAATGCTGTAGCTTTGGACACCACTGTGCCTACTCCTGCCTTTTGCCATTGTACGTTCATTACAGTGATTGCATTTTGCGGTGCCTGAGTACAAGCGAAGAAATTCCAAACTGAGATCTGGTTTTGGTAAAAATAGGGGAATCCCTTCCAGTGGGTTTAAATGTCCCCAGTGGAGGGTCCTGAATGGAGCACTCGAGTGCATTTTTCAGGGAGACTGGAGCCTGTCCGTGGAGGTCTGTCTAGTAATTGTGTACATTCCTTTCTGGAAACCCGTGTTTACCTTAGAGCAGTGACTCTGAACTTGGTTATACATCAGAGTCTCCTGGGAGCTCTTACGTAATATGGATTTCTGGTCCAATCCTGGACCTATGAACCACTATCTATCTGTATGCTGTGCCCGAGAATCTGCATTTTAACAGCCTTCCCTGGAGGTGGCGTTAGGCCAGCATGGTACTGCCTGTGTGTTGGCATTTGGGAACTACTGGATTAGGTGACTCTGTCTCTCAGTTCTGTGTTTTGTGATTTATGTCTGACAGCAGCACATCCTGATGTTTATTCTGAGCTGGGGGGGTTGATGACCATTCTAACCAAAGTGCCCTATTCATGCAGGAAATTAGATTCCTTAAAACTTAAGGCTGACCCTGAAAAGAGCTGTGGGGATTATTATTGTCTATAAATCTGTTTTTATTAAAAGTTTCCTTGTTATTTTGTAGGTATGTAAGGCCCATGAGAAATTTAATCAGCTGGTACATTTTCTTCGAAGTCATAAGCAGGAAAAGCACCTGGTCTTCTTCAGGTAATGCTCCGGGACATGGTGGGAGAGCTAGGGGTTCAGCCTCACCCACAATGTGCAGATGTGTGCAGGCCTCAGAGCTGGCGTTCCGTTTAGGATGGCCTCTCAGTCAGGAATGCTTTCGGCTGCAAAGAACTGAAAACCCAACTTCTGTGGCTCAAACAGGAGGGGTTTATCTTTCTCCTGTAAAAAGAAGTCCAGTGGTAGGCAGTTCCTGACATTGGTGTATGTCTCAGCAACGTCAGGGTCAGTGTTTCTGTGGTTGTCTTGGCCTCTCCTTCCTGTATGTAGCCCTTAGTGTCAAGATGATCATTGTCATACCCGCCGTCCTGTCTGCATGGAAAGCAGATAAAGGAGGAAAGGCAGAGGGAGTGGGAAAGGCAGTGTTAGCTGTATCCGTCCCTTTTCATCAGAACGGAGAATAGCTTTCTCAGAGCCCCCTCCTCCCTGGCTGACTTGGCTTTCATTTCATGGGCCAAGTCAGCCCCTCACTTCAGGGGAGGTGGAGAAAGTGAGCATGCAGCTAGCTGCGGGGAGGGCGGAGGAGGCTGGGAATGGCAGCCGGCCCAGTGTCTGGCACAGTGGGGCTTGTCCTGTTGTGGGAACGCAAGATAGGAACGGATGTGTGTGTTCTTGGCCACCCCCTCCCCCATCCTGCAAGTACACCTGTGCTGGTGTTTTTTGGCAATACTAAAAGAATTTTTGTTCGTTTCCATCTGTCATTCCACCAATAAAATGCTTATCTATATTGACCCACAGTTAAATATAAACTGGCACACACGCACGAAACTGATACAAAGATTGCACAGAACAGAGTGCACTGAATCAAGTGGGAGGCATTCCGATGTTTTTTATTCTGGTCCAAAATCACTAAATTGATTGCGGGACCCACTGGATAACTTTCAGGATCTGTGGGTTGTGACCCTCAGTGTATCAGCCTGCTTTATTGTGTACTCATGTGACTTGTGGTGGGAACAGTGAAGCAGTCACTTGGCACAAGTACTGGAGTAAACGAGAGTTAGCCTGAACTGGAATCCCGCAGCTTGTGGAGGGAAGAACCCTGCAGAAGGAATCGAGCCTTGGCCCTGGCACTGCCACTCACAGCCTCTCCGTAAGCTTGTTCCCTCGTGCAAAAGGATGTGAGGTCACATTACAATCCCTCCAAATCAAAGGGTTTGGTGAACGTCATTAGAAGGGAGCTGCATAGGGAACTCACAGACTCAGCGAGAAAGTTGGGTGCCCAGCCTTTGGGAAGTCAGGAGCCCCAGGGATCTCCGTGGCCACCACTTTAGGGCACATCCTTATTGGATGGCCCTGCTCCCTTTCCTTTGTCCTTGGTAACTCAGAGCCAAGACCAAACATCTAGGAGAGGATCCGACTGGTCTAACTGGGGTTACCTGCTGAGTCCTGGGGCATCACATTGATGGGAGAAGGAGCAGGTCCCCAAAGGACAAGCAGGAATATTTTGAAACCTTATAAAACTATATTTAAGATGAAACTGTTTTTGTTATGAATGACTGCTTCAGGTTCATTCATTTCTCGGGGGCCAGGGAGATCCCCTTTGCTAGAGCATCTTTAGACAGTGGGAATACATCCTTGGGGTTTTAGCTCACGTTTAAGGGACTTGGTCAAAAGGTTGGCCTTTCATTGGCAGAGCGGGTTCGAGATTTCGAGCTTGGCTGTGGATGACATTCGTAGCCATTCTCCACGTTCTCCCAGAGGACGGGGCCATCACCCAGTGGGTGCACACGGCCTCCCTGCCCTCAGCTGTAGGAGGACCCAAGGCAACGACTGACCCCTCTGTTCCTCCGCAGCACCTGCGCCTGCGTGGAGTACTACGGGAAGGCCCTGGAGGCGCTGGTGAAGGGCGTGAAGGTCATGTGCATTCATGGCAAGATGAAGTACAAACGCAACAAGATCTTCATGGACTTCCGCAAATTGCAGAGGTGGGGGAGCTTGGCGAGGGCAGCAGATCACAGCCGCGGTGCCCTTTTGCACGTCCCTCTGCCTCTAAATCTCCATGTGCATTTCCCAGCCTGGAGCCCTCTTCCCCCTCCGCCCCCATTATCACACTTTCTCTGTCAAGATGCCCAGAGCCGTCTCTCTGTCCCAACCCCATTAACTTTGCTGTACCTGCCGACTTTCCTGCTAGAGGTTAAGCTCCTCGGGAACAGAAACCTGTGTGATGTGTTCACTCCTGGATTCCCCAGGGTCTGTCCCAGGGACTGGCCAGTGGGGTTTGATAACTGTTGGGCTGTCGGAAAAGTCATGACATGTTTTTTCTGTTTTTTGTTGCAAAAATGCGTTATGACTTTTCCGACAGCCCAATATCTGTTAAATGGGTGAATAGAGCGGAGAGGTGCAAACCATTAAATCCAGTTTGTGGGTCATCAGTGACTGCACAGTGGGGGAACGTGGCTCTGTGACCGTGACTTGATTGTGTGCATAAATGATGATTTTATGTTTTTCTTAATTATTGAGCATCCCAGCTACGTTAAAAGGACTTGTGCAAAGTGATACAACTGACTTAGACCTCAGTCAGGGAGGGACAATTTCACTTTTTTTTTTTAGCGGCTTAAAGGATTAGACCCACTAGTTTCTTTTTTTTCAAGTGGAAATATGCTAAATTTTTTTTTTTTTAACTTTATTGGGGAACAGTATGGTTTGCCCAGGACCCATCAGCATCAAATCAAGTGGTTGTTCTTCAATCTTAGTTGTGGAGGGCGCAAGTTCAGCTCCATGTCCAGTCGCCGCTTTCAATATAGTTGGCGGGGGGCGCAGCCCACCATCCCATGCAGGAGTTGAACTGGTAACCTTGTTAAGAGAACGCGTTGTAACCAACTGAGCCCTCTGGTGGCCCCAAAATATGCTAATTTAAAGAATCCTTGGGCTGACCGAGTGGCGCGTTGGTTAAGAGCTGGCTTGGGACGCCAGAGGGCCCCAGTTCGGATCCCACATATGAGGGCCAGTGACACTGCCCTCTACAGCTAAGATGCTGAACAACAGCTCAACCCTGGAGCTGGGCTGCTGTGAGTCTCCGGCGACGGTGTAGGCTGCAGCCCCTGCTGCAGTGGGTTGCCATGGGCTACCGTGTGTAGCCAGCAGCCAGCGTGAGTGGCCAGCAGCTGCCATGAGCGGCCATCTAGAAGCCAGTGACTAATCTGCCTCGCCTGGGAAGAGTGCAATGATGGTGCTAACTTGGGCCAGTGAAGCAACATCCTCTACAACTAGACTGAAGAACAAAAGGACAGCAACTTCTCTGTTCCCCTTCCCCCAATTCCTCAAAAAAAAAAAAAGAATCCTTGTACCACCTCCTCCCCACCTCCTATTTTCATTGGGAATTTCTAAAGCCCTAGATTCTTAGGAGGAGGAAACAATGAACGTTATTATTAAGTATTTGCTTTTGTGAGAGACTCTGGAACCTGTATGTTACTGTGGTCACCACTGGGATCAGCAAAGACTGATGGTGATGAAAGGGGACCTCCTCACTCAGAATGTTCTCTCATTTTCTAGCGGAATTTTAGTTTGCACTGACGTGATGGCCCGGGGAATAGACATTCCCGAAGTCAACTGGGTTTTGCAGTACGACCCTCCCAGCAATGCAAGGTAAAGCCTGATAGTGTTACCCTCTGTCTAGGAATCTAGCCTGGGGAAGTAAACAAAATGACGACTGTCAAACATGATTTCAAATGGCAAAAGTGGGCAAATGGGTGAGTCACTGGTATGTCAGTAGTGGTACCATGTTACACAGCCATTAAAGGTTATTTTCAAATACTGTTTAAAGTTCTTGCAGAATTGCACATGGTACAAGAGAATGTTTAAAGGAAACTAGTCCATAACGCTGTATATGAAAATGTTGGTTATTCTCCCAAAGTAAACATATTTTCCTAGTTAGTGCTTCCAAACATTTGAAGAAGCCTGTACATATAAACCCCTGAGCAATAATAATGGTTACTTCTCGATGGAGGGCTTACAGGTCCTCTTTGTTTTTATACTTTTTCATGATTTCTGTTAGGAGCATGTGCTACCTGAACATGAGGGGAATGGATTTAAAGGCTTTATTGTTCACGGTAAATGCCCTCCAGAATCCTGTATATTTAATCGCCAACTCTTCTATGTCATGCGAGTAAGGGGCAGAGTCGGGAATGATCTGTGAAGTCGGGCAGTCTCCGGCCTGTGCCCTGCTCAGCTGTCATCCCACGGTGACCGTGTCCCTGTCCTGTGTTCCTTCACTCACAGTGCTTTCGTGCACCGCTGTGGCCGCACAGCCCGCATCGGCCACGGCGGCAGTGCGCTCGTGTTCCTCCTCCCCATGGAAGAGTCATACATCACCTTCCTGGCAATTAACCAAAAAGTAAGCTGTCTTCTCTTTCCACATGGAAAGCCCAGTGGTGGGGTAGTTGGAAAAGCTCTTTTCCAGCAAGTGGTCTGGAACTTGGATCAGGGGTGGCAGAGTCCCCGAGCCAGGCTGGTGATGTCAGTGCGGGAGCCTGGCTGGCTTCACGGCTGCGGGGAGACACCAGCCTCATCCAGGGTGGCAGCCACTGCTCGGCCCCAGCTGAGTGTCACTGTTTGGGAACGTGGACCGAGTGTTGCCATACTTTCTAACAAGAAACCAGGATTGCTTTGTAAAATCGGATTTTAAAATTTTCTTTAAAAAATTTAAAATTGTTTTTGAACCAAGTAAAATACGTGGGTTGGATCTGGGCTTCATCGCCTGATTTGAGATGAGAATGAATTGTTTGGCCTTTGGCTTTATTGCCACTGGCTCTGATGGGGGCATCTTGGGAATGAGGTGGTTCCAGCAGAGAAAGTGAGAGTCCCCTCTATGCAGTGCCCCCTGCAGGAGATGAAACTCCAGAAACACACAGTGGACCTGCTTCCAAAGCTCAAGGCCATGGCCCTGGCCGACAGAGCTGTGTTCCAAAAGGGCATGAAAGCTTTTGTGTCGTACGTCCAGGCTTACGCGAAGCACGAGTGCAGCCTCATCTTCAGATTAAAGGGTAAGCTGGACTTCATATAACTGTGTCTCCACCTTAAAACCTGATGGTTTTACAAATATTATAAGTATGAAACTGCTTTGTCTTATAAAAATCATAGGCATATGTCAGGGTTATGTTTTCTAAACATTTAACAGGAAGTCTTCCTGGGGTTTGAGTAGACAGAGAATAAACAGGTTGCTTTTTAGTAAAAATGTAATTATTTTAATTCTAATTAAAATGAATCCATTCGATCACTTGGTTAGAAAAAGTGACATTGCTAGGAACCTCCCATGAGTTGACTGTCATGGTCCCATTCTGGGTGTGCTAACTCTGGTGTTTTGGTTTAATTAGACCTTGATTTTGCTAGTCTCGCTCGAGGTTTTGCTCTGCTGAGGATGCCCAAGATGCCAGAGCTGAGAGGAAAGCAGTTTCCAGATTTTGTGCCTGTGGACATTAACACAGACACCATTCCATTTAAAGACAAAATTAGAGAAAAGCAGAGGCAGAAACTGCTGCAGCAACAAAGAAAAGAGAAAACAGAGAATGAAAGGAGAAGAAAATTCATAAAAACTAAAGCTTGGTCAAAGCAGAAGGCCAAAAAGGAAAAGAAGAAGAAAATGAACGATAAAAGGAAGAGGGAAGAGGTAAAGTCTGCAGTTTTATTACTTACATACTCAACCTAGAATTCAGAACAAATTTTACTGAAATATTGGGTTGTCGGAAAAGTCACGACGCGTTTTTGCAATGAAAAACATGGAAAAATACGTCATAGTCATGACATTTCCGACAACCGAATAGTTATCTTTTGATCAGAATTGCAGGGGGCTCTGAAATTTCTGCATCACGCTGGTGACTCAGGTGGGAACATACAGCTTGTGGGAGCTGATGCGAGAGTGGGTGGCCCCTGATGAAAAGCTGGTGGTGTCACATAGCACACTTGCTGAGGAATTCAGGGGTTTGCTGGTCTCTTCTGCACTTAGGGTTCCGATATCGAAGATGAGGACATGGAAGAACTTCTTAATGACACAAGGCTCTTGAAAAAGTTTAAGAAAGGCAAAATCACTGAAGAAGAATTTGAGAAGGGGTTGCTGACAAGTGGCAAAAGGTCAATGAAGACAGAGGTTGGGCTCTCCGATCTGGGAGAGGATTGCTGATCTGGTGCCCCAGGTGAGATGCACAAGCAGGCCCCACATGCGGCCACTCACATTTGCTTTCACTGAGCGTCAGACTTGGCGACATGCACGCAGCGTCCCATCTCTGAAAGCTGTCGCTTCAGACTGGGGAGACATGAGTGGGGGTTCACACTCATGAATATTTCACTAAATACATACCAGCCTTGAAGATGTCCAACGGAAGGAAATGTAAAATCATTTGAGTGTAAAGAATAATGTCGGTATTTATTTCCACGGGTCACCTGTGATAGAGAGCTCATTTTTCCGGGGCTATTTTATACTTAGTTTTTAACATCCAGATGCTAAAGTATACTCGATTGTGGGCTGTTGAAAGTTCCTTAGTGTTCTTAGGCACCTGGCCTCCCCGTGAGTCCTTACCCCTGGACTTAGGTATCTCTCGGATGCGCTGCACAGAACACCTGGACAGGTAATGAGGCTGGGATTTCCTTTTCTAAGGCTAGTCCCTAGTACTATTGTATTGGGGAGTATCTGAAGAAACAGGAAGCAAGTCGTGTTCTGGGAAAGAAAATTGTTCTGCCTTCTGTTGAATAAACCGTATTTTCTTCTAATCAGCTGTATCTTAAGTGTGTGAGTAAAGTAGTGTCGTCACCAGTCGTCACAGTGGGACCCGGGGTCAGCTCTCACTCAGTACTGATGCAATACAACATCAAAATCTTAATTTATTTGAAAAGATGCTGAATTTGTTCCCAAGTCCAATTTTTAAAAGTTGTTCAGGTCCCAAACATGTTAAGATTGACATCTTTCACAGACACAGAATTTAAGTTTACAAATGTTCTGGAAGGCGTCTTCCTAAGGGGTGAGCCATGCAGGATACTCCTGCTAAGTGCTGTTTCGTCTTCCTTGGGTTCTCTGGGTTTCCACACCGTTTGGCTTGATCCTGCCCAGGGGATGGCAGCCCCTGGCTCGTGTTCACTGCAAGCCTGATGCCAACTGAGCAAGTGTTTTCTTCTAAGGCACCATATGTATCATGTGTCCTGGGCAGCTGTTAGTCAGGTGTTGAGGGGACTCCTGGCTGCTATAAGAACTCCTGCTTTTTCATTTTTTAAAAAATTTTATTGGGGAACAGTGTGGTTTTCTAAGACCCATCAGCTCATCAGCTCCAAGTCAAGTAGTTTCAATCTAGTTGTGGAGGGTGCAGCTCAGTGGCCCATGTGGGGATCGAACCAGCAACCTTGGTGTTAGGAGCACTGTGCTCTAACCACATGAGCTAACTGGCCACACTGGTTTTTCAGTCTTGCAGCTCTTTGATGCTTTTGGCAGATCAGTCTGGAGTGCGGGGAAGATGAAGGGAGGGAGACCTGGGCACGTCTTCTTTCATCAGTTAAGTGGCCAATAATTGAACTCATATTTCTGGAAATAGGAAATGAATGAATGTATCTGGAAACTAAGAACAATTTAGGTTGAGTTTTCAGGAAACCATGAACATACTTAAATGGGACTGAAATGAATAAAAAATTCTTCAAGACTTATGATTTTAAGTCCTCAGTCCATAAATCTTCATTAAAAAAACAAATGGGTTTTGGCCTGGTTCAGCGAGGGGTGAGGGTACTCACCCTGTCCCAACTACATCAGTTGCACGTGGCAGGAAAGGACCCAGTGGTCACAGATACAGCTTGATGAGTTCGTCGCTGACTGCTGAGGGTGTCAGCACCCCCAGGTCTGTAAACAGCAGTGTTATTAAGGAAGGGGCGGTGTAGTCGACCCACGGGTGCTCCTCTCTGAGGTCTTGTCCAGTCTGTGCCGACTTCAGAGTGTCTGCCTTGTACTGAGGAAACAGGAAGCAAACGTGAGTCTGCCCCACGTCCAGGCTCTGCATGCTGGGGCCTTGGCCTGAGCAGTTAGTGTCGGCTACCCAGACGTGCTCTCTGGAAACGGGGAGAAGCCCGCTGAGCAGCACACTGCTGAGGAGGGTAGATCATGGCGGCCTCCTGGCCAAGGGCCAGGTTAATGAAAAATCAGTACCATGTGTCCCCTCACGCGTGTGCTGGATGGACTCCTCCAGCCTCTCAAGATAACTATTTAACGGGAGCTTCCCATGGGCCAGGCCCTGTGCTAAGCTCTTCCCATGGATTATCAGAATTGTCCTAAATGATAATACTGTTACCCCATTGTACCAATAACAAGCTCAGAGCTTAAAGTGAAAGGACGTGCCCAAGGTCATCTGGTCAATAATGGCAGAGATGGAAGCTGAGCCCAGACAGCTGACTCCAAAGCTTGGACTATTAACCGCCAACCCTCCTGCCGCCTCAGCCCGTCTACTGCTTAAGTGAGCGACAGACTGAAATTCTGGGGACAAGTTAGATTCTGTGAGTCTTGGGGACAAATTAGACATGGCGAGCCTAACCACCAATTTATCTCTCTATCCCATGTGCCGGAGAAAGTAGCAAGGGGAAGCGAGTAACTCAGTGGAACATTCTTAGCGCAGCATTTTTTTCAGAGATTTGTTTAGACTCAAATACCCCTTCCAATATGTCAAACTCTTGCCTTAAACTTATCTGGGACGTCTTCCTGGTTTAGTGGGAAGAGCCGTACAAACTTGAAGCTTTCTGCAACCACGTAGAAAGGCTTGTTCTGTGCTTTGGCACACACGGCCATCTGCTTGGTTCCAATCTGGGAAGTCAGAAAAAGTGGAGAAGGGTGAGATCTTACCGCACCTCTGAGGTGGAAGCAACAGAAAGAGTGGGTGAACATTATATATGTAATTCTGGCTTTGGAATTAAAGGAGATCTTTTAAAAAAACAGGATAGACATTTTCCAAAGCTATACAAGTGGCCCATAAATACATGACAAGACACTCAAGATCCTTAGTCATTAGGGAAATGCAAGGCAAAACCGCAATGAGGTTATCACTTCATACCTACTAGGAGGGCTGTAATTAAAAAAAGAAAAACCAAGTGAGGGCAAGAACATAGATAAACTAGAATCCTTGTACGTTGCTGGTGGGAACGTAAAATAGTGGGTTGCTGGGTTAAACAGTTTGGTGGGTCCTCAGAAAGCTAAACCCAGAATTCCCATCTGTTCCGGCAATTCCACTCGTAGGGATATGCCCAAAAGAACGGAAACCAGGAACTTAAATAGATAACTGTACACCCATGTTCACAGCAGCATTATTCACAACAGCCAAAAAGCAGAAACAACTCAAGCGTCCATCAGAGGATGAATGGATAAACAAACATGGGCCATTCATACAGTGGTACGTGATTCAGCCATAAAAAGGAATGATGCTCTGACGCTCCAGCATGCACAAACTCTGAAAACATGCTAAGTGAAAGGGGCCAAAAACTCAAGAGGAAATACAGGATACGATTCCACTTATACAGAGAATAGGCAAAAATGGAGGTGGCAAGTATTATACATTAGATGAGGTGCTGGGGGAGTGGCGAATGGGTAGTTCTGTGTCATGGTGACAGAGTTTCTGTTTGGGGCGATGGGCAAGTTTTAGAAACAGACAGTGGTGAAGGTTGCACAACAATGTGAATGTAAATCCCCCCGAACCATACACTTAAAAATGATGATGCTCAATTCAAAACGCAACCCCAAAATACAATTCTGTTAAAACATGTTTTAAGAAAATATAAATTACTTTCTCCTAATTTACATAGCTCAATCTCCAAAGCGGAAGGAAATCTGACTGAAATTGGGCTGACCGCTGCAATGGTGTGTGGGACCTGACAACTCGAAGCAGTGGCAAAGCCCTGAGGTCACACGGGGTTAGATGGTCGCACACCACACCACACAACACTCTTTCTGTGTCGTGGGTCCGCGATACACCGCTAAGCCTCGAACAAAGAACTGTGGAGACGTGACACTCCTACCTTGTTAATAATTCCTCCGTTTTCAACAACTCCTTCAGCACCAACTATGACGAGATCCACTTTCTCCATGACATAGCTAGGGGAATTTAAAAAGAAATTGTTTTATGTTCTTTTCTGAGCTCTTGTTAGTAGCATCACCAATCACCACCTGAAAGATTAATATTCCATTTTCACCATGTTAAGTTCTTCCCATAACTAACTTATTCAAAAGAGCACTTAACACGAGACAACCCGGCACCATTACCAGTGCTGCTACCGTAAAACCCGTTTTGATCATGACCCCACAGTAAGAGGTACACGCCCCACGGCCACCCAGTAAGTGCTCACAGTGTGCGTAGCCAGCCAGAATTTCACGGCCCGGTATTTATCCTTACTATGCAAGGTACACTTTTTTCTGTTCACCTTCAATACAAACAAACCCGAAATTTCAAAACCTAATGTGATCTGAGGTTGGAAAAGTGTTATGCACTTTAATACTTTCAGGTAGGGTGAAAGCCAGTTTACCTTTTAAAATGAGCAATTAGTAGAATTCTTCAAAATGCTTACTTTTGAACACATTCCCAATTTCCTTAATCATCTGCCTTAATGTGTTTTCTTTCCAAGAGATTATTATTCCTGTTTTCTCTTGTGAAGTACAGACACGTGGACCTTGGTTTAAGTTGTGTGGGATGACGAATCCCAGAGTGCCACTGAGGACATCCATGTCTTAGATGATGAGGGAGCACAGACCACATGTGCTGACCTTAAACTGACCTTTGCATCCTAATACTACATAAGAGACGCCCATTTTCCAGCACCCTCCAGCCCCGTCTTCTGCGTACACCATCAAGACCCAGTAATGAGCTTGCTGGTTTAACGCAGTTACCAGTGAAGAGGCAGGACGCTAACCAGACCAGTGCAGGTTTATGAATGGGACTCAAACCTTCAATCTGGACACCCCACTGGGAACCAGCCCTGGGAGTGGGTGAGGCTGGGGAAACTAGGCGCTTACCCAACAGCAGCATCCAGGACCACGGTGACGGGGACGTTGAGGTGGCAGAGGGCTTTGGCCATTTTCTTACTGAAAACGACATCATGAGAATATCAGAGAAAATCCAAGCAAGTCCCACCATGGTGTATGATGAGTCACTTAACTACAATGATAAATCACGCTAGCTTGAACCTCAGGTAATGTTACTGGATTAAGGGGCAGATCCCAAGACTGGACGAAGGAAACAAGAATTTGGGTTCTTTAGAGTGAAGTACGTGTTTTAGAAAAACTATAGTCTCAGGGACTCTGGGTAAGAGATGCAAATTCAGAAGAAAAAGAAAAATTTCATTTCATTATCTGCTGGATAGATAGATGTGACTTATGTTCTTCGATAAAAATGTTTCAGATGACACGATGTCCTGCTGCTCCTCTGATTTAACTAATAGAACCCCTGGATCCTGTACTGGGACCTGTCAGTTCAGTGGGTTTTCATGCCGGGGCAGGAACAGGCGCAAGCAATGCCGACTGATGGGCACGTCGGGGGCCATGTCCTGCCTCCTCCTACAATGGATCCTAATTCTGTTTGTTCCTTAAAATACATGATTGCTGGGCCCCTAAGCAAACGGAAAGATACTTGCCCGGATAGGTCAGGCTGTGACTCTGTGATGTACACACTGAAACGCTTCTTGGCCTTCACAGCTGCCTCCAAGACTCTCAGGACCACTCTGGAGTAGGCGTGAGTTAATATTCTCTGTGGACCGAGAAAGTTCTGTCAGAGGGCAAGCTTCCGACCGTCACCCATACCCTTGGCCACTCCAATGCACGTTCCTGGGCCCTGAAGGCTTTTGATATGCTTTCTCACTAATCAACGCTAATCAGAAGAAAAGATCCCGATGGCACGAGTTCTAAGCCCATTTATAAGGTGAAAAAGGTTTCTGCCGGAAGAATAGATTACAAGTCTCCATTTTCCCATAGTGGGTGCAGAGTGGAATCCCCATCTGGGGACAAAAGCCTGTATATCTGAAGGCTCCATTAGGTCCCTTTGGGTTGGGTTTTCTATTTCTAAGACATAGTTTGCCCACTTGGGCCTCCGGGCAGCAGGCGGGAACATAAAAGCAGTGGGCTGGGTGGGGCTGGTCCCACTGTTGTCAGGTCATCTGATTTTTCTAGAGGAGCCCCCAAATCCAGTATTTAAATGTTGGTTAACTAATTTTTTTAACATTTATAAACACCGAGGTAAACAGCACCCATTTGTGGGCCAGATACAATGTATGGGCAGACATTGTATGGGCATCGCTCCCTAGCTCCTTCCTGGGCCTCACCTGAAAGCTTGTTAAACGCAGGTTCTCAGGCCCCACCCCAGACCCACGGAATCAGAATGTGCATTTAATTACATCTCCAGGTGGTTCATCTGCATGTTCGAATTTGAGCAGCTCTGCTCTAGACTGAGTTTAAGCCAGCACCGAGGCCGGTGTATTCACGTAAAACGAAACGAGTGCAGATGAAACCCACAGAATGCGGACAGTGCGGCCGGAGGGAGAAGGCCTCTGGGACAGCAGTCATAATCTTGCTTCCACTTGGCTAAAAACGGCTTCGTTTGCAGCTGGCTTTTGTATAAGTTCCACTCACACCTCTTATGTCATTTATTTAATAACATACTTCAAAGGTTGGGAAGAAGGTAATAAAACAGGACAAGATTTCAGAGTCAAAACGCGAGTAAAGAATTTTATGGGCAGTGCAGGCTTAGACGGCAGAAAGGAGGTATGCTGGTGGGAGAGACATCGTAAAAGTTTTATTACCCCTGTGCCGGGAGACTGACTAAACTCGCAGTTCCTGTCTTTCTTACTTATAAACACTAGGCAGCTTTGCCTCTCTGTAATAGCATTTAAAATTAAGTTAAAAATAAAATCTCAATCCAGTGCTAACTTACAGCAAGCAGGAAGACAGCATTAACCAGTGACAAGTGCTGTTCTGTGTTGATTTAATTCAGATTAGTTCAGTACACATCCAATAATAAAGGTACTTCTTTAATAAGACACCTTATTAAATCAAGAATCATCCATGTTGTCCCAGTGTTTTTCTCTGCCTGTTTCAAATGACAACTATCTATAATAATATTATCAATATTAGTGCTTACTATGTGCCAGGCACAGTGCAGAGTCCTTATACATACCATCTTATCAATCCTCACAACAACCCTATGAGGTAGATGCTATTATCACCCTTATTTAGCAGATGAGTAAACTGCAGCACAGAGAGGTGAAGTAACTTGTCCAAGGTTACACAGCAAGTAAGTGGCAGAGGCAGGATTTTACCCCAGGAGTCTACCTCCAGAGTCCTCGCTCCCCGTTACCACACATGACATCTACTCACCGCCCCATCTTTGATGAAAGTATGGCACAGATCTGCAATTTTACTTCTCGACAGTGATATTCTCCTGAGAAAAAGCTCTCCTCGCTCAATCATGATCTTTTTACATTTGGAGTAATCCTAGGGAGAAAGAGCAAAATGAGGGGCAGCAGAAGATCCAGGGAAAGCAGAGAATATTTGCAGCCAAACAGAGAAGTAGAAAAGGAACTCGAGGGAGGGCAGCGGCTTACAGAGTATTCCAGGGACGTGAGGCTGATGAAGCGCAGGAAGAGCTCCCCACCCGAGGACACGGCCACCGAGGAGTCCACGCCACACAGGGTTTCTATGGCACTGGTGAGATTCGCTCTCAGGCCCTGGATTGTCTCCCCTGGATGGATCACACGAAGAATGTGATGTTCACTTTAGTATCACAGCCCGTTGGAGGGTCTGCGACTTATTCATTCACTCATTCAACCAGTATTGACTGGGTGCATACTGTATGCCGGGCACTATTCTAGATGCCAGAGATACATCAGTAAACAAGACAGACAGGGTCCCTGCTCTGCTGGAACGCCCTTTCTCATGGAGGAGGCAGACAATAAACTAGCACACACAGAAATAAGCAAGTTAATTACAGATTGTAGTGAGGACAGAAACAGGCAGGATGATGAGGAAGGCGAAGCTACGTTGGAGTTAACAGGGATGGCCTCTGGGAGTGGGGGTCATTTAAACTTGAGACCTGAGTAAGAAAGGATCCAGCCGCATACAGATCCAGTGGGAAAGGTTGCAGGGACAGACTATCACAGTGCAAAGGCCCTGAGAGGGGAGCAAACTTGGGATGAGAAACAAAGAGAGGCCAGCATGGCTGAAGCACGGCTCAGTGAGGGACATCATGGAAGGAAATTAAGTAGCAGTGGCAGCTGAGGTCTGCGAGGCGTGTTGGTGAGGCGTTGGTGTTTGGATGTTATTTTAAGTACAATAGGAAGACACTGGAGGTTTTCCTAGAGACACAGGTCTCTAGTCCTGCCGCTTGGATTAAAGAAGCCTTTCTTATTTTGCTTATACAAGATGTCATGCTACACCCAGATGCTTCCATTTAGAATGCCTGACTTAGGTGGTCGCAGTGGATGATGTGAATACCAGAATTTATTCTGCAATGTTCTCTGAAGCATCTGCATAGAATCTGGCACAAGACCAAAGCTCAATAAACAGTTGTAAAGCTGAACTACTGCTATAATTTAAGCTTCATGGTCAACTTGATATAAAATCGTCACTCTTGGTTCAAAGTATTATTTCATGTACGAAAGGGAATCCATTTCATGGTAACTTGAGGGCTTGCTCCAGGTTAAAAGGAAGGCTGAAATGAAGGAAGAAGCTGAGCTTGGGCGACATTACCTTATGTAGGCACACATCTCTCTCACTTTCTACACTTCTAACAGTTAGTAGAAGGCTTTTCTAAGGCCCAGCGTGTTTGAGGATGACCCTCTTTACCTTTATCTCTCTTCAAGAACTCCAGCAAAGTCCGAATGGCAGCCACTGCTGAGGCTGTGTCATGGTTTTCTTTCATCTGAGACTTAAAGTATCCGATTAACTCTGGGAAGAGGGAAAAAAGTGACTCATCACATTCGTTGATCAGGACCGAAGGCCAGAGAGCTCGTCAATAATTGTGGACCTTCAGAAGCAACATAATTGAAAAACTGCTTTTCAGGGTGTTTGGCTTTCAGGGAAAAAAGATAAATGTGGATGGGACTAGAGATGACAGCTACTGAATGACAGTGAAAGGTCATTCTCCCCCTTATCCTTGACCCCCAAGAATCCCAGAGTTCAATAATCTTATCCATCTCTCCTGCACCCCTGCGGACAGTCGGTGCTAAGTCAAGCCTGTTCACATACAGACTTATTTTACGTGTATGTGAGGGTCAACCCCTTATGTCTTTTTAACGTGAAAGTTTGCCCTTGTATTTCACTTAATAAAACACCTCGATCGCCACACTAGATGAGCACACCACACACGCCTTATTCTTTTGACTCTAGTGCCAGATCCAACAGGGCAGGGAGTCTTACTCCTTACCCCACGGATGAGGACATCAAAAGACTGCGAGGACCTGCACACTTCGTCCCAAGTCTCCCTGTTCTGGACGAGGGCCCTGGAAAGAGGCGTGCGGAGAGGGGGCGTCTGCAGATACTTTCAGGGACCATCCCCTGGATACGGGAGCAGCGAGCAAGGTTAGCTGTGACTAGAGGAACCACATCCAGCCGAGCACCCTAAGTTTGGAAAGTGACCTCTCCCGGAGCCCAGCCTGGGTGTGCGAGGTGGAGGGACCCCTGCGCGGCTCCGTTTTAGTCCCAGCAGGCCCATCCCCTCCCGGTTTACCCTTGTTGTCCATGGTGCCCTCTGGACCGCAGAGCCCGAGGGGCCCAGAGCCGCCCGCGCTGCCCGGGCGAGTCCTGCGACGGCGCCGGCTCGGAGCCACAGAGACTGACAGCCCGCGACGCGGCTCCACACTCCACTTCCGGCGCCTTGGGGGCGGGGCCGTGGATACGGCGCGGTGTCTGGGTCAAACCGCCTCCTGCGTCACTCGGCAGCGCCGGAAGTTGGAGTGCGCCACATCCGGGATGCTCCGCTGACTGCTTTTGGCGCTGCGCTGAGGAACCCGGGCCATCATGGTGTCAGACGGTGAGGGCCGCGCCGGAGGCACCCGGACCCCGGGGCTGTACCAACTGGGCCCGGCCAGGCTCGGTCAAATGGAGTATATGTTTTGGGCTGGATATTTGGTCTTTAGAGGAGTAACGAATGTATTCATTCATTCGTTCAGTAAATATTTTTGGATCCCCTCCTGTGTGCCAGGCGTTATTTGTTGTTCGTTCTGGGGAATACAGCACAGGACAGAATAGGCCCTCGTGGAGGTTGCGGTCTAGTGGGTGAGACAGACAAATAAGCAAGTAAATAAAAATTTCGAAGGGGGACAAAGAACTATGAAAACAATATAATGGGATGATGTGGTAGATGGTGATTAAGTGTTGATTGAGGAGGAGCTACTTTAGATAGTTGTCCAGGGAAGACCAGTAATAAAGAAACTGAGCCAAATGACTATGCAAAGGCCCCTGGCAAGTTGAGCCAGTACTTTACAATGAGAAGACAGAAAGAGGGAACCTGGGGGAGGAGGAAGGTGGAGCGTCTTTCACTCATCCGTTATCCTACCAGTTATAGAGCCTGATGTCTTAAGAAGAAAAAAGAGGCCAGGGTGACCCCGGCAACGTAAGCGAGAGGGATAAGATCAGAGGGCTAGCCAGGTGCAGCGCCCTTGCGGGCCATGGTTAAGAGCTCGAGCTTTATTTTTAAGTGTAATACAAAGCTTTTCTAGGGTTTTAAGGGAGTATTGTGGTCTAACATAAAATTGTAAAGATTTGGCTGCTGCGTGGAAAATGGACTGTGGGAAACAAGAATAGAAATAGATCTGTGCGCAGGCTGTAATAATTGCCCATGCTTTCTTTATCTGTTTCAATCCATACCCCTACCCTGGGAGGGAGGCAGACCTGGCAAGGCCCCCCGTGTACCAATGAGGAGGTAGAGACCCAGAGAAGGAAATTCCCAGGGCATTGCATGTGTACGAATACACACCTCTCGTCCTTTCATTAGGCTTTTTTTTTTTTTCTAATAGGAATTTTGTTGGGGAACAGTATGTTTTTCCAGGACCCATCAGCTCCAAGTCAAGTCGTTGTCATGGAGGGCGCAGCTCCGCGACCCATGTGGGAATCGAACCAGCAACGTTGGTGTTATGAGCCTGCGCTCTAACCACCTGGCCTAACCAGCCTCTCCTCATCAGGAGTCTTGATAGTAGCAAGGCATGGATGGCCCAAGAATTGTGGGGTGGGGCCTGATGGAGAATATGGCCAAAGGCTTAAGGACTTATGGGTAGCGGAATGAGGGCCCATGGGAGACACAGTCTTTAAGTGCTGCTTCTGTGCTAGGCACTTCGTTGTGTGATTTACATGTGTTCTTTCATCCCAGGATTAGCGAAAAACCCTCATTCTTCAAGGAGTCCGCATCCTGGTGGGCAGGGTTGGGAAGAGATAGAAACAACCAACGGTAAAAGGAGGGAGTGAGTCCTGTCGGTACTGTGGGTGGTCAGAACGAGGCAGTGGGGCTTTCAGCAGTCTCAGCCTTTACAGTCCAGCAGACCTGTCTTCAGAGCAGGGCACCGGCTTTGCCACTTGCTAGCAGGCCATGTGACTTAGAGCAGGTTCCTTTCATTTGCAAAATAGGAATACCGTATTTCATCTAGCCTAAGACAATATTGATGATGAATTGTGCTTTTATGTAATAAACAGAAAATGCTGCCAGTCTTAGTCGTGAGACACCTGATGTCAGCACCTGTTCAATGTTAAAAAAAAAAAAGGGGGTACATCTTGTAATTGATGAAAGATGGCACTGCTTTGTCCCTCGCTGGGTAGTTGTCGGCATGGAATGGGATGATAGGATTCTATGTGCCGGGGCCTGAGCAGAAGAGGCTGATATTCCTGTAGTCCTGAGATGGGGGAGCCAGGACCTTTTGGAAGACCTGGGGAGGTCTTTTGAAGATGGGTAGTATCGGTTTGAGGTCTTGAAGAGTAAACAGGATTTGGATATGTAAACAGAAGTAAAAGATGGGGTGGGAATGATCCTGATATAGGAGCCCCGGAATTGCAAGAAGGAAGGTACAGGGGAGGAAATGCATCATTACCTTTTGCTATTAAACGAGCATGTGCTTAAGGGTTCATATATCTGTTAACCTCAGTTAGAGCGTAGGCTCCTTGAGGATGTGGACACAGTATGCGCAACACCTAACACTGGTACTCAGTGTGTTTGTTGAGTGACTAACGTGTTAAGTTAGCCTGTTTAGTTATATCTGTGTTTGAAGAGCAGCCTAATTTCTTTTCACAGTAAAATATTCTTTACATAGGAATTAGTTTTCCCTCTTGTTTTTTCACCTTTTTAAAAATTGATTCCTAATCATAGCTGGCCTTGCTGCTAGATGATTTGATGGACTTGGGGCCAAATGGATTCCTGTGTTCCCTTTAGCACCCCCACCCTGCTCCCCGAAATTCTACTACTGGTGGTTCTTAGTACTGGTTTATCAGTGCCTTCTATTGTTGATCAGGCAAATATCTTTGGGTTCATTTGGTAGATATTTATTCAGTATCCTCTATGGCTAGGCAATATTCTAGGAATAGTGGGGGGATAAGCAGTGACATAACAGACAAAAAGCCCCGTTCATGGAGCTCCCATGCTATTGATGAAAGATGCAGTGGTACACAAAGCAGGCAACAGCTTGCTAAGGACCCCCAGAGCTTTAAATCTTTAAAAGAACTTGGCCTTTTGTTCATCTCGCGCTTGTAGGATCAGAAACATATAAAGGCTTGTAGTGGTTCTTGCTCTGGATTTAATTTATGGATTGAGCATGTTAGCTTTGATCCATGAGGCTAATGCTTTTTATTTTCGTTAATATTTTCAGAAGATGAATTGAACCTTCTAGTTATCGTCGTTGATACCAACCCAATTTGGTGGGGAAAGCAAGCATTAAAGCAATCTCAGGTAAGATTGCTTGAGGAGGCCTTTGGATAATTCTGGTTAAACAATATATGTTCATGTTGCTTTTTGAAAAACAGCTTTAGTAAGGTATAACTTGCATACCATAAAATTTACTCATCATAATGTGCAATTCAATGATTTTTTAGTAAAAACCACAATAAAGTTGTGTAACCATCACTACATTTCTGTTTTAGAACATTTTTATCACCCCAAAAAGTTCCCTCGTGCCTATTTATAGTCAGTCGCTGCTTGCAGACAGCCACTTCTTCTCTATATTGCTTTTTCTGGACATTTCAGAATGATTTCATGCAATATTTGGTCTTTAAAGAAAACCTTTCTATTTTGAAATATTTTGTTTTGAAATGAATACAGACTCAACAGGAAGTGATACAAAATGGTACAGAGAGGACGCATGTGCCCTGCCCCAGCTAACCCCAATGGTAACATCTTAACATAACTAGTACGGTAGTGAAACCAGGAAATTGACCTCAGTACGTTCTTCAGACCACGTTCAGATCACAACAGTTTTACAGCCGCTAGGGTGTGTATGTGTAACTCTGTGCAGCCTTATCACATGTACAAGTTTGTGTAACCATCACCAGTCAAGATACAGAGCTGTTCCATCACACATCAGAGTTTTTTGTGTTCTCTTTATAATTGCTACACTTTTATAGTCCCCAGTCCCTAGTTCACTTATGTCTTCTGTGAAAAATTTTACATTGAAAATTTTAATCCATTTTGAGTTAATTTTTTTAATAAGCTGTGAGGTTTGGGTTGAGGTTCGTTTTTCTTGCGTATGGATGTCCAGTTTCTGTAGCACTGTTTTGGAAGATTACCCGTTTTCCACTGAAGTGCTTTTGCAGCTTTGTCAAAAATAAATGTGTGCGTTTATTTCTGGGTACGCTGTCTGTACCATTGATCTGTGTGTCTTTCCCTCCACCGTACCACACACTGTTAATTACTGTAGCTATATAATCAGTCTTGAATTTCAGTAGGCTGATTCCTCCCACTTTATTCTTCTTTTTTCAAAATCATTTATAACTATTCTAGTTCCTTTAGCTTTCTGCATAAATTTTAGAATGAGCTTGTCCATGTCTGCAAAAAGATCTTGCTGGGATTTTGATAAGTTGTGTTAAACCTGTATATCACTTTGAGGGGAATTGACAGCTTTACTGTGCTAAGTCTTCCAATCCACAAGTAAAGCACCTCTCTGTTTATTTAGATCTTTGATTTCTTTCATCAGTGTTTTATAGCTTTCATCAGATAAGTCCTATATATGTTATGTAGGTTTATGCCTAAATGTTCTTTTTTTTAAGCACTTATAAATGGATGGTGTGTTTTTAATTTGGTTTCTAAATGTTTGATATTAGTATATAGAAATGTGATTGATTTTTGTGTGTCGATCCTGTATCCTGAGACCTTGTTGAACTCACTTATTAGTCCTAGCAGTGTTTTTGTAGCTTCTTTGGGATTTTCTACATAGACAGTCATGCTATCTGCAAATAGACACAGGTTTGTTTTTTTGTTTTTTTCAATGCATATACCTTTAATTTCCTTTTCTTGCTTTATTGTACCGGTTAGGTCTTTGAGTACCATGTTCAATGAGAGTGATGACAGTGCACATCCTTACCTTATTCCTGATCTTGGAAAAGCATTCAGTTTTTCACCATTAAGTATGATGTTAACTGTAGATTTTTTGTAAGTGCTCTTTATAAGTTGAGGAAGTTCTTTTCTCTTCCTAGTTAGCTTAGAGATTTTTATCATGAATGGATGTTAAATTTTGTCAAATGATCTTTCTGCATCAAATAGTGATTTTTCTTCTTTAGCCTGTCAGTATGGTGGATTACATGGATTGGTTTTCAGATCTTGAACCATCCTTGCATTCCCACAAGAAACCCTACTTGGATTCAATTTGCTAATATTTTGTTCAGGATTTTTGTATCTATGTTCATGAGAGATATGGTCTGTTGTTTCCTTTTTCTTTTTTGTACTGTCTTTGGCTGATTTTGTCATAAGGGTGATAGTGGCTTCATAAAATGAAATGGGAAGTGTTCTCTTCTGCTTTTGTGGAAGAGATTATTTAGAATGGGTGTCAGTTCTTATTTGGTACAATTCTCCAGTGAAATTGTCTGGGCCTGGATGTTGCTTTTGCTTTTTTTGGGAGGTTTAAGCTACGAATTACATTTTTAAAATAGTTATTAAAGTATTTGAGTGATTTTTTTTTCATGTTGGATGAGTTTTGATACTATGTAGACTTTTGATTTTGGCTTTTTTCACTTAGTGTAATTTTTTTTTTTTTTAAGATTTTATTGGGGAATTGGGGGAGGGGAACAACGTTGGGGAATCAGGGAAGGGGAACAGACAAGTTGCTGTCCTTTTGTTCTTCAGTCTAGTTGTGGAGGACGTCGCTTCACTGGCCCGTGTTGGTATTATCATTGCGCTCTTCCCGGATCAGGTAGTTGCTCGCTGGCCATTGGATGGCCGCTCACGGCGGCTCACCGCAGCTCTCACTGGTTGCTGGCCGCTCACAGTAGCTTATGGGAGCCCACTGCAGCAGGGGCTGCAGCCTATGCCGTCGTGGGCGACTCACAGCAACCCAGCTCCAGGTCAAGATATTGTTCACCATCTTAGCTGTAAAGGGTGCAGTGTCACTGGCCCTCATGTGGGGTCAGAACCCAGACCCTGCTGCTCAGAGCTGGCGTCCCAAGGCAACTCTTAACCAACGCGCCACTCGGCCGGCCCCACTTAGTGTAATATTTTTGAGGTCCATCTGTGTTGTAGCCTGTATTGGGGGTTCCTTTCTGGTACTGCAATATTTTATTGTACAGATATACGTGGAACATCTTGTTTTATGTAGTCATGGACATTTGGCTTGTTTCCACTTTTTGACTATTATGAATAATGCTGACAATTCACAAATAAGTCTTTGTATGGACATGTGTTTGCATTTCTCTTGAGAAGATAGATGCCTACAAGTTGAATGGGTGGCTTACATGGTACGTTTACATTTAACTTTTCAAGATGCGGCCAAACTTTCTGAAACTGGGTACACCATTTTCCATTCCCATCAGTGGTATATGAGAGTTCCAGTTTCTTCACATCCTTGCCAACACTTGTCTGTCTTTTTTATTATACTCATTCTAGTGAGTAGGTAGTAGTATATAGTTGTAGTTTTGATTTACATTTCCCTAATGACTAATGATGTTGAGTCTTTTTTTGTCATATGCTTATTAGCCATTATATATTTACTTTGGTGAAATGTGTATTCATATGTTATGTCCAGTCTTTAAACTAGGCTGCTTATGTTTTTATTATTGAGTTGTGAGAATTCTTTATATTCTGGACACAGTCCTTTATCAAATATATGATTTACAAATATTTTCTCTTGGCCTATGACTTTGTGGCTTGTCTTTTCATTTTCTTAATGGTGTCTTTTTGTAAAACAGCTTTATTGAGATATAATTGACATACAATGAACTGTACATATTTAAACTATTTAATTTGATATGTTTTCTTATATGTATATACATTCATGAAATTGTCACCACTGTAAAAAAATTAACATATAGATCCATCACCCCCAAAAAAAAGTTTCTTTATGTTTCTTTGTAATTTATCCCCCCCACCTCTCTCTGCCTATCTCCACCCTCAGACAACCACTGATCTGCTTTTTGTCACTAGATGAGTTTGCATTTTCTGGATTTTATATAAATAGAATCAAACAGAATGTAGTTGGAGGTTTTGGTCTGGTTTCTTTACTCCGCATAATTATTTTGAGATTTGTCCATTTTGTTACATGAATCAGTAGTTCAATTCCTGTTTTTTTTTTTTTTTTTATCAGCTGAGCCATCCTGCCACCTGTTGGCAGCTCAGTGGCAGCTCAGCTTGGGTGCAGCTCACTGGCCCATGTGGGAATCGAACCAGCGACCCTGTTGCTCAGAGCTTGCGCTCTAACCAACTGAGCCACTCGGCTGGCCCTCAATTCCTTTTTATTTCTGAATAGTATTCCATTGTATGGCTAGACCAGTACATCACTGCATATTACCTTATTACTCTCCAGAAAGTGTCTTACTTTGAACTCTCATTAGTGGTATATGAGAATTCCTTTTTTTTTTTAGCTTTATTGGGGGACAATGTGTTTTTTTCGGGGAACAGTGTGTTTTTCCCAGGACCCATCAGCTCCAAGTCAAGTTGTTGTCCTTCAATCTTAGTTGTGGAGGGCGCAGCTCAGCTCTAAGTCCAGCCGCCATTTTCAATCTAGTTGCAGGGGGCGCAGCCCCATGCAGGAGTTGACCCAGCAACCTTGTTCAACCTTGTTCAGAGCACGTGCTCTAACCAAATGAGCCGCCCGGCTGCCCGTTTTTTTTTTTTTTTCTTTTGTACACGAGATGCTCTCTTTCCATATTTTTATCTTTTGCAAATATGATATACCAAAAAAAGTTATCTCAATTTACTTTTAGTGTATTTGATGGCCCATTGTATTTCTCCCTTAGGGCATTGTCCATTTTTCTCTTTAGGTGTTCTTTTTCTTTAATTATGATTTGTGGATACTCTTTATATTAAAAGGAAAACCCATTGCCTGTCATATGTTGTAATTACTTTTTTCTAGTTTGTAATTTGTCTATCACTTTTGTTTATAGTCTTTTTTTTTGCCATATAGACATTTTAATAGATTTGTTTTACTTTTTTTTTTAATAGAGTGAAATTTATCACCATTTTATTTTCTGCTTGAGGTATTCTTTGCTTTAAGAGAAACTTGCTTTATTCCAGGATTATAAAAATATTCACCTATACTTTTTAGTAATATTAGTACTTGTGAGAGTGTAGCCTTCATGAAAGAAGAGATATAACACACAACAGGTGCTCAGCATACTTAGTGAATGGATGAGTTGAACGCTTTTACAAATTACCAGTGTAATCTGTATGTATTAATTATGTACTCCATGTGTAGCAATAGTTGGCTTGTAATTTTATGACAGAAGATGTGACATGTTTGCTATTCATAAGTGGTATGCAGAAAATATTTGTAGAATATTGTACTGATGTAGAAATGATCTCCTATAAGTAAAATTCGAAAACTATAGTTTTCAAGTGTTTGACTTATGGCTTTGGAGCAGAGAGCTGCTGAGCAATTTTTTTACCAGTGGACAATTGTCTAAAATTTAAATGAAATCTCAATCGTTTCAAGACCTGATGTAGTTATTTGGATGGCTAATTTACCTCTCTAATGTCTTCTGTTTTTCAATAGTTTACTTTATCAAAATGCATAGATGCAGTGATGGTGCTGGGAAATTCTCACTTATTCATGAATCGTTCCAACAAACTTGCCGTGATAGCAAGTCACATTCAAGAAAGGTATGACCATATGATCACTCTACTAGTCAATGTTTAACATTTGTGCGATTTTTTTGCCAGCCAGCATGTACTCTTCCTATCCTGTGCTGCAGAAACATTTTTTTCTGTACCAGCAAGCAATACTCAGCATGGAGAATCAGTACATGTAAACCTTGGTAGGTGTGAATATTGAAAACCTCCTTAGCTGGTGTATAATAGAGTTGCATCATGGGCATATTTGAATTGTTATATAGCTTCAACTGCATCCTCCAGGCAAAACAGAAAAGCACTGGGCGGGCAGCTCCCATCACTGCTGTCCCCGTGGAGCTTCTCCAGGGGCCGGGTGAGACGGGAGGTGTGAGTCCGCTCCCCCTTCGGCCATCTTGGCTCCTGTGTACCTCTCATGGTGTGAATATTTCACTGCCCTGTGTGTGATTTTAGTATTTATAAATAAGGGGTTTTCTTATAGACTTGTTTCCTCAACCCAAGCCAACTACTCCATCTGCTGTTCAGCTGAAGAAACAGTAGCCTTTTCTAATGTTGGTGTAAAACCCAGCTGAGTTAGCGTCACTGCAGGATGGTGACTGGATGAGCAGATAACGGCCATGTGTACAGTAAAGGTTTTCCTGAATACTTTGGACCATATATATGTGTCACGTTACACATTGACTATAGAATCTAATTCCCATGTAAGGTACAGCTTTGTCTTAATTAAATGTCCATCATAGTAGAAATGACTCTCATTTACCAACGTATGTCATATAAAGTTCGGGGATAGTTCTCAGAGTGTCCCGGTTCTTAGAGCCACTTGCTGTGATGTGTCGGAAGAGCCCATGGGCCACCAAAAAAGTGTTCCTACTTCCACCATTGCTATCCATTTTTTCACACAATTGAATGGAAAAGATGATGTTGATTTGATTACGATAACGATGAAAGCCATACCAAAGTTTTCTTTCTCTCTCTCTTTCTCTCTCCTTTCTTTCTAAAAATCACAAATGTGTTTTACATGATTACTATAAAAGTCATGAAACACCAGGGGAATCTTTTCAGAGACCAGATTTCTATTACTGGGGAAGAAATTTACCTCAAGTAATCAACTAGGAGCAAGGTTGAATTTTGTATGAATCTCTTCCAGTTGTCATCTGAGAAAGTAGAGTGACAACCCCCTGGAGTATCTCAAGAGCCTATAACCCAATATCCTCTGTTTCCTCTCATTTTTTCAGAAAACAGTGGAATCATTAAAACATTCGGTGGTGGTTGACTCGTGTTGCCAATTGGCCTATTTTACACATTTAAAAAAAAATGAAATTTATTATAGAATCTTAGGAGCCCAGCATTGGTGTGGGTTTTATTTTCTCTGCTGAATTTCGCTTTGATGTTTAATGAGGGCACTGAGTCTTGGTGTAACTAGTTTGTTTGTTTTTTCTCCCCCACCCCACCCCACCTCCGTTTCAGTCGATTCTTGTATCCTGGAAAGAATGGCAGACTTGGAGACCTCTTCGGGGATCCTGGCAACCCTCCTTCTGAATTTAATCCCTCAGGAAGTAAAGATGGAAAATATGAGTTGTTAACGGCAGCAAATGAAGTCATTGTTGAAGAGATTAAAGATCTAATGACCCAAAGTAATAGCTTTTTTCCCCCATTGTTGTTATTTTACAAATGGAGTTGAATGTGGAGGTCCTTGAGGTTTTACATACAAAGACCTGAGCTTCTTGCTGCTATCTCCTTGCTTCTCTTTTTTAAAATTGTTTCCACCAATGTCTTTGCCTGATTTGCCTGACGGCTACAGCATTTGACACTGTTCACCAGCCTCTACTTTTTGAAACACATTCTTTAGCTGCAAAGGATATCCTGTTGACCTGGTTTTCCTCTTTTTTGGACCATTTTTTCTTCTATTTCTGACTTTTCCTTCATCTTGTCCCTTAAAAAAGACGTATTTTTTATTTTGCATGTTATTTTCCTCCACTGCATGTCCTCGTCCACGCTTGTCTTTAATTATCATTTGTGTATGAACACTTCCCACTCGTCTCTAATTCAGCCTTTTTTCCAAGCTGCAGACATTGCCTCTTGAGTGTCCCTCAGTATCAATAACGTGCCCAGACTAGTTTCATTATCTTGTCCCTTCAGTTACACTAGCAAAAACAGTGTTCGCGACCTTTCCCGGTGACGGTGGTGGTGGGTTTGTGTGTGGGGGGCAGTCTGCTCCTGGACCAGCTGCAGGCCCTGTTCTGGTGGGGTGTCCATCTGGGCTCCCTACCCTTAAGCTGTAGGTTTACAATTTTGATTTTATTAAGAGTGACTTTTCACCCAAGGCTCAAACAAGTTGCAGACTTGGTCTGCTTGCCACAACCAGAGGAGTTTCTCTAGTCTTCTCAGCTGCCGGGCAGCTCTCTGAGGGGAACCGGCTGGAGGAGGAGGTGGGCAAGGAGAACAGGGAAGCTTAGATCCTGGCCAGGGGCCACCTTCCCACCTGCCTACAGTTACACGAGACCTTTTGTCTACTTCAATCATGGATAAACCTGAATTTTTCCAAATTATGCCAAGATTTTTTTTTTAAGAAAGGAAAAAACTATTAAAATTGTAATACTCAATCTATACCAATAATAAAAGATGAATACAAGTCACGTTTGCCAAGATATTTCTTATTTGTTTTTTATTGTAAAATACATGTAACATAAAATTGACCATTTTAACCATTTTTTAAGTATACCGCACAGTGGCATTAAGTATATTCACATATTGTACCAACGCCACCACTATCCATCTCTAGGACTTTTCCATCATCCCAAACTGAGCTTTGTGCCCATTAAACACATCCCCAGCCATCCCAGCCCCTGACCACCAGGATATTTTAAATTGAGAAAATGTTTTAAAATTGCTTATTGAAGAGTTATGCTAGTTTTAAACCTAACAGTTTGAAAATGTCTGATTTCCTTCACGAAGAATGCTTTGGTTTGAAATGGTTTTTTGTCCAAGAAAATACCTAAAAATTTTCTCTTTAATTTTTTTTTATTATTTTAGGTGACATAAAGGGTCAAAATACAGAAACTCTGCTGGCAGGATCCCTGGCCAAAGCTCTTTGCTGTATCCTTGGAGTTTCAGACATTCAGAAGGCGTCTTCTGGGACAAACATGTCTTAACTTGTGGTATTTTTTAGAACACATTTAGATATGTCCATAGTAATGGAAGACATCAGAGCATTCTAAAATGCTGACTTAGAAATGTTTGTAAGACAAGCTGAAATGCGTATAATGAGAAAACTCTAGTTTCTCTAGTATGTCCTTCTGCTCACGATTCTTCAGGGTGTTTCCTTGTTTCTTATTTAGACAAACTGGGGAGTTGTTTTTTTTGTGTTTTTTTTCCCCCCATTTACCTTGAGTTGGGAGCCATGTTTGATTATAAAAGCCATTTGCTGACCGTGATGATTACTAAATGAGTGACTTTGTCCACAAGGCAGCGGGTTATTTTGCACTTAGCATAGAGTCCACAGCACCTTTCTAAGCATTTTAACGTTGTGTGTGTGTGTGATGTTTTTTCCCAGTCATATGTCATCGAATTGTTTTGGATGGTATTGATGGATTCCTCTGTTTTAGACTTCGATGGCGGTGCCTGATCACCTGTGTGTGACTTTCAAGTTCATTATCTCACTTGATTGACTTACTGGTCCTTGTGGTCCCAGTAGTTAAATCTAGGATGTGGTGGATAATAGAAAAATCAGATCTTGGGCATTTTAATTTTCTGGGACAAAGATATTTTGGTCAGGTTAGAAAGCCCAGTTGATTACAATTACTGATTAGAAACCCCCCAGGCTCTTGTTTTGTGTGTTTATCATGGTAAATGGAGCATTCTGTTTTTATTTTAGCTAGTGGACGCTGGGTTTATTTAACTAAAATTTGAGGTTATTTTACTGTTTACTATCAATATTTATTTAAAATAATATTTTAATATTCCTTAATGCCAAGAAAATAAGACATTCATAGAATGAACAAGGAGATTAAAGGTAGGAGCCTACATTTTTCTATGAGACGAATCCTAATTTTACTACTGTCACGTGGTGGACTGTTTAAAATTGGTTAGAAAACCTTATAATATGTTTAATAAGATTCAGTCAAATTATAATGTTTTTATTTCTTTATAGATAATCAGGAAATGAAGTCAAGGATTTTGGTAAGATTAAAAAAAAATCAATACTATGTTAATATTGCCAACTATAGTCAATTAGAAAACATAATGGGAAATAAGACCCATTTATAATAGAAGCAATAAATACTGAATATCCAGAATTAGTTAACAAGCAAAGTGTAACACTGATTATGTTGAAAAACTAAAATTCTGAGAGACTTAGAAGAATTGAATAAGTGGAGAGCCATATTTTATTCTCAGATGTTAGTTTTTCCAAACTAAACTGTAAATTTAGTATAAACTCAGAACATTAATGAGACCTTTTTTTTCTAGCAGAGTAGGGGGATTTAAGAAATTCAACAGTTTATCTGGAAAAAATAGATTAACGAGACTAGCCAGGAGCTTTCTGACAGAGAATAAAGTAGGAACTGACTCCATTAGGCATTCAGACATATTCTCAAGTCCAGAAAGAGTGTGGTTTTGGCATGGCAGGAGGCAAACAGAAAATGGAAGCCTGGAGTCCAGAAATAAAACCAAGCACCTGGGGAAGTTTGACTTGTGATAAAGGAAGGACTTCAAACTAGTGGAAGGAAAATGGATTATTCAATAAAAGGTGTGGGCCAATTGGTCGGCCATCTGGGGAAAAACAAAGCTGGATACCCATCTCATTGCTTACACCTAAATACATTCTACTAAAGAGCAAGTAGTTCACTGTAAAAATTCAAGTCATAAAAGCACTAGAAGAAAACGTCTGTTTCTAATCTTGGGTTGGTGAGCACCTTGATGTGAAACTTTGAAACCATAATGTGACGCTTTAAAAGAAAGCTTAAGGTCTCAAATAAATAAATAACCTTCCCCTCCCCCCTTCATCCCCCAAAAAGGACAAAACAAAACTATTAGGAAAATGTATGTTCAGCATGGCTACCTGGCAGAGGATTAATATATTATTTCTAAAGTAAAAAAGAGCTTCTATAAATTAATTTTTTAAAGTCAAGGCTAAAGAAACAGGTAGAAAGGAGCAATCTGCAAGAGAAGAAATGGAAATGATTGGTTAACATTGGGAAATGCATTCATTCCCATTGTTTGCTTCTTGCTCAGAACAAATGAAAGCCTGGCAGTTCCCAGGGTTGATGGCAAATGCTGGGGGCTGGTTTTTCCCTTGCATCCCTGATGGGAGGATACATTGGTATAGCTTTTCTAAAAGACAGCTTGGTAATGTGTATCAAGATGAAATGTACGTACACTTAAGGAATCTCACTGATAATTCTAGGAACTAATGGAGAGTTGTGCAAAGGGTATGATTGTGTTCATCAGAGTATTGTCTAAAATGGAGGATTGGAAGTTGCTTAAATATCCTCTCTAGATAATTGGGTAAATAGTGGAATTCTGAAGTCAGCACGAAGGGTGACACACATCCAAATTTATTGACATAAGATTTTTTCCTCCCAGATATCATGGACTGAAAAAGCAGGTTGCAGAGCACTAGATAGGATCATCGTGTGTGTGTGTGTGTGTGTGTGTGTGTGTGTGTGTGTGTGTGTGTGTTGGGTGTGAATGTAGGTACATATTCACATAGGTGTTCTCTAGAAGCTATTAACAAGAATTATCTCTTGAATGGCATTTGGGGGACATTTTCCTAGCTATCTTTACACTTTTAGGTATTTTTTGACGATAACTAGGTAGACAAGTTAGAATAGTGTCGGTTGTAGTTTGCAGTCTATCATGAGGACGTTTGCGTGAGTCCTAGGCCGTGCCTGCAAGGTGTTCACACTGGATGTGATTCTCAGGTGATCAAGGCCGCAGAGGACAGTGCACTACAGTACATGAACTTCATGAATGTCATCTTCGCAGCACAGAAGCAGGTGAGTGGCGAGCTTTCTTTTTAAAGAATATTTGTTTCATAATGAAGGAATTCATTTCATTTTCTTTGAATGACCTACTTAGAGAAGTACTCTGACCAAATAGCCTTATGAATGAATTCAGAATCTGGAATCCATATTTTGTAGTAATTTCTCCAGCCCTGAACCCCTGGATCTGATGAGTCCCCTGAAAGGTGTGCACTCATACACAGTTTTGGATTTAGTTTCACGGTATTCACGTGACCCCGTTTAGTCCGTCCTTGAACCTCAGGCTAAGAATCTCTGGTTCAGCTTGCCGCCCCCCTTGCCTCGATTTCTCTCTCTCTGCTTTTGGGAGCTCTTGTAAAGATTTGATATTTTTACTCTGCAAATAACAAGTGCTCAGATGAATTATCACTAATACATTTTCTTCTTTGATATGTCAAAAAAAGAGAACTTTCTTAAAACTTCAGTTTTCACCGAAAGTGCTATAGTTCTATATAATATTCTCCATCTTGGAGTGGCAGTATGATGTGAAAAGACCATGGGCCTTTTGGGGACAGGCAGACGGGGGTGGGGGTGACAGCACTGCCTTCCCTTGGCTCTGTGACCCGGCCCAGCCAAGGCCTGGGTTGCTTCAGCTGCAAAATGCTAATCAAATATCTACCTTGCACAGTTATTACGCATATTAAATAAGTCATTGAAAAAATAGAGCCTGGCACATAGTAGGTTCTTAGCATAAGATAGCTGTTATTGTATTCCTATAATACTTTTGGAATGTTCATTTCAGAATATTTTGATCGATGCCTGTGTTTTAGACTCCGATTCAGGACTTCTCCAGCAGGTATGTCTTAAATGCTCGGTGTGGGCATCTATAAAAGCATGGTGTGTTCTGTACCTATTGTTAAATGCCTTTCACCAGTCTTCACACATATTTAGGGATTAGCCTGGGTGATGGTACACATTAGAGAACTAACATCTCTCTGGTCCCTTCACGTTTTTAAATATTTTACATGACTTGATTGACTTTGTAAGAGTGATTCACACATTAAATAAAGCAAATTCAAGCAACACAGAAAAGTATTTTTGAAAAGGGTTAAAAAAAATTCTTTTATCCAAAAATTACGTTTGTTGATATTAGGTAAACAGAATGACAGCTCTGTACATAGATACAGATGGAAGAATAAAACACTGAGCAGAGAATTTTATAAAAATAGGATCGTACCCCAGATCTGTGCTGTCCTACATGGTAGGCATATGGCTTTGGAGCCCTTGAAAGGAGTCTGGTCTGAATTAAGATTTGCTGTAGGTGTAAAATACACACAGAATTTCAAAGACTTCGTATGAAAAACAGAATGTCAAATATCTTATTGATGATTTTTGTATCGATTACATGTTAAAAATGATAATATTTGGATATATTAAGTTAATTGAAATGGTATTAAATATTTATCTTTTTCCTTTTTTATGTGGCTAGAAAATTTTAAATTACATGTGTTGTTTGTGTTATATTTCTATTGGATAGCAATGTTAGATGTTGCATTTTAACCAAAGGTGTGAAACTGAATTTTACTTTAACCAAAAAGAAAAAAAAAATGGAAGACTGAAGAAATTGCCGAATTTTTTAGAAATGCTTTTTGAACACAAGAAATATTATTTCCTGAAAGATCATTTAAAAGTACAAAACTGCAGAAAACCTCAAGTTACTCCTGGAGGTGAGGAGTGGGGAAGGGAGATAGAATCGGAAAGTATACCCAGTTTCAAAGGTTCTGGAATTGTCCTGTTTTTTAAGCTTAATGGTAGGTACATGGTGTTTTCTGGGAATGTGCAATAATATAACCACTCTGAAGAACAATCCGAAACGTCCTCAGAAAGTTAAACAGAATTACCATATGACCCAGCAATTCCATTCTTCGACATGTATCCAAGAGAAATAAAATGTGTTTACACAAAAAATTGTACATGAATATTTACACCTGCACCATTCATAATCGCCAAAAAGTAAAAACAACCCAGATGTCCACCAAGAGATGAATGGATAAACAAATCGGTCCATTTATACAGTGGAATATGATTTGGTCATAAATAGAAATGAAGCGCTGACATTTGCTTCAGTGTGGATGAAACTTGACAACATGATGCTGAGTGAAGGAAGCCAGACACAAAAGGCCACATATTGTAAGAATCCATATATGAAATGTCCAGAATATGCAAATCCATAGAGACAGAAAGCAGATTAGTGGTTGCCAGGGGCTGGGGGAAGGAGGGATGGAGAATGACGGATTAGTGGGTACAGGTTTCTTTTTGGGGTGATGAGAATGTTCTAGATATTGGTGAGAGTTGCACAACTTTGAATATACTAAAAAGCAGGGAATTGTACACTTCCTTATTTTAAAGGGAGAATTTTATGGCATGTGAATTATATCTCAAAGCCATTGTTAAAAAATGTAATGAAAATGAATAAACAATAAAAATTTCTCAGTAGCAGATAAAGAGGAGAAAGGGCATGTACTGGCCTACACTCTAGTCTCCAAAGAGTGAAAGGGCTTGCGCCAAGGGGAAAAGTCAGATTTGGACATCTTGAAAGGTAGCTGGAAGTTTCTGGTCCTCACTCACTCTGGGAAAACATTCTCTTTTAATTTGCTGTGTCACATCCTCCACTCCTTTGGAGACCTGAACAATGGTTGGTCAGAATTACATCCCCTGGAAAAGCTGAGTGCTAGTTTGGCAGAGAGCCCTCTGTGTGTCTTGCAGGCTTGTGACATCACAGGGGGACTGTACTTGAAGGTGCCTCAGATATCCTCCCTTCTGCAGTATTTGCTGGTAAGGAAATGTCTGCTGTGAGCCGAATACTTTGAGTCAAGTCAAACCCACTTCCTGGGGGACGAATGGGAACACGATGGCTGATGATAGTAATTGGAAGAAAGGAATAAGTGGGTGACTTGGGTTTCTCAAAGCTGAGAAGGGTAGCCTTCAGATAGTCTTTGAACCCTGTAAGCTGTATGCAGAGTGTTGTATGACTGTTCCCAGAGCAGTGACAGTATGTGGTCAGCAATTGTTGAATGAATAAAAAAACCATTTCTCCATAGACTTAAGGAAATCTTCATTTAGTATTCTCCTTAGCGTTTACTTGATAATTAATGTCTGATAGCTATGTCCTGATTTCTGGGTATTTTTGCCCATTTTTAAAGTAAAATTTCCTTGCCTTTCTTTTTTAACAGTGGGTTTTTCTTCCTGATCAAGATCAGAGATCTCAGTTAATCCTCCCACCCCCAATTCACGTTGACTACCGGGCTGCTTGCTTCTGTCACCGCAATCTTATTGAAATTGGTTATGTCTGTTCTGTGTGCTTGTCAAGTAAGTTCATGGACTGAGTTTTGCTTTTTATCAGTGTTGGAGTAGGGCAGAAAATATCTCAACTGCGTGGTTTTAAACCATCTTTTTTTTTTAAATTTCCAGTATTCTGCAATTTCAGCCCTATCTGCACTACTTGCGAGTAAGTACCTGTGAGGGTGTGTGGCTAGCTCCCGTTTCAGAGATTGAGAGCATTAAAGAGTGTTTTCCTCCCTATATCATTTCAGAACTGCCTTTAAGATTTCTCTACCTCCTGTGCTGAAGTCCAAGAAAAAGAAACTGAAAGTGTCTGTATGATGCTACAATTTTGTGCTCATCTGTTAGAGCTGTTACAGAAATTGTGTGGCGAAGTCTTTGTCAAGAAGGCTCTGAAAATAATACAGATATGTATAAGACAATTTTTAACGAAGTTTCTTATAGGATATATTTCTTAAAAAATCGCATCGTCCTGTACTTCTGGGGGACTGATTTACACGAGGGGGTCATTCTATGCAATATACATACCCTATAATGTTTTCTGACTGATTTTGGTCCGGAAAAGAGGGAGATAGCACACATTTGTGATACTGTTTTTATTTGATGGGAGGATCGTTTGTCAAAGTCAGTCTGTCCTGACTGATTCTAGGCGTTAGAACCTATTGCCCAAGTCTAGGTTCTTACTGTGAAATGTAGGACATGTGATATTTGAACACAGAAAAGTGACTATTTATGGAGTAATGGTGTTAATCAAGAGGGAACACCTTACTTGAATCAACTGTTAACTTCGACAGTAGTCATGTGAGTTCCTTCTTGTCTAAAGATTAGGTTCAGATACTAGCAGTTATTAATGGTTTTGTGTGATGTCAGTACATATTTGGACAAAGATATCCAAATAATAATAATAATAGTTTGTTACAGAATCACTCCAAAACCTGATTTTATTTTATTTTTAAAAGATTTTTATTGGGGAATTGGGGGAAGGGGAACAGACAAGTTGCTGTCCTTTTGTTCTTTAGTCTAGTTGTGGAGGATGTTGCTTAGCTGTAGAGGGCAGTGTCACTGGCCCTCATGTGTGGGATCCAAACCGGGGCCCTCTGGCGTCCCAAGCCAGCTCTTAACCATCGCACCACTCGGCCGGCCCTCCAAAACCTGATTTTAAATGAGTAAGGAGAGTGAGTGCAATAGTCTGGCAGTAACTTTTGTTTCAAAAACAGTTCATTGAAAAATAAAATAAAATAAATGAAAAAAAAAAAGAAAACAAACAAAAAACAGTTGCGTGAAGAGCTCATTTGTGAGTCAACATGTGGGTTCTGGGGGGAACTTCTTGGGGAGAATGGATGCTTTGTAATTGATTGTTGTCCGCAGATAGAATTCTTTCCTTTTTAATAGAGGAAAAGAAAAAAAAAAGCATTAATATTGGAGCACATTCTCTAGAAGCTTTGGACTTAACACTGAAAGCTTCTGTAAATTCAAAAGAAAAGTTATTTGTAATTTCAACAATAAAAATCTTATATTTCTGTGTAGCTTGAAGTTATTCAAAGTCCTTTTAAATTTCAGCATAGTGTAGGAAGAGTCTCCAGGAATGGTGGCTGGTTTGGTTTGTTTTTAAAAGTATATTGACAAATTGTGTATCCAAGCTTGTGTGGCAATAAGATTTAAATTTTCTCTTTACTCCATCTCAGAAACTTAGTCTCATTTAAGTGACTTGGTGTTTGGTTAGATGATTTTGGGTAGATTTTCTATTCTGGAATTATGATTTTGTTAACAAGTACACAAAGATTTTGGTGATCTCTCGGCAAGTATTTGTGAATCCTTGAGTTTCAGAATCTGTCTTTTTAAAATAATATTTAATATTTCACAGGCTAATTAAGTGTAGTGGAAATCATTATTTTTTGTTTGCTTTTAAAGATTTTATTGGGGAATTGGGGGAGGAAACAGACAAGTTGCTGTCGTTTTGTTCTTCATTCCAGTTGTGGAGGACATCGCTTCACTGGCCCATGTTGGTATCATTGCGCTCTTCCCGGGTGAGGCAGTCGCTCGCCAGACATTGGACGGCTGCTCACAGCAGCTCACGCCGCCAGCTGCTCACGGTAGCTTATGGCAGCCCACTGCAGCAGGGGCTGCAACCTAGGTTTCGCTGGCAACTCCCAGCAGCCCAGGTCCAGGTCGAACTCTTGTTCACCATCATAACTGTAGAGGGCCCAGTGTCACTGGCCCTCATGTGGGATCCGAACTGGGGCCCTGCTGCTCAGAGCTCGCGCTCCCAAGCCAACTCTTAACCAACAAGCCATTTGGCTGGCCCAGAAATCACTATTTTAAATCTAGGAAACAAAGCATATATCTAAAAGAAATAACTTCAAGCAAGCTGGTAAGGTTTTTGTTATTTTTCATCTGAAATGTTTTATCTACTGTCTTAGTTCTGTTTAAGTTTTATTTTTTAACTCTTGTTTATGGTTTATTTTATATCAATTTTTATAATAAAATCATTTAAATTTTCATATTTGTTTGCATTATTTTCTCTTTTTTTAATTTTGAAACTTCCTTATGACTAATACACTAGAATTCCATAGTTCATTTCACTACTGGCTAAATAGCTTCAGACAACTAAAAGCAAGAAAGGAGAGCATACTTTTAATAAGTACTTCTTTTTCTGATTATAACAGAAAATAAATACATGCTTTCTGAAGAAAAAAACTACAGAAATAGGAGGAAAAAAATAAAAAATCTACTTTCATTGTTGCCCCACTGCCCACACAGAGTTGGGAGGATTGTAGATCACTGTTAATATTTGGTGCATTTTTTTTTTTTTTTACTATAGCAGGATGTTACACCTGCAAGTTTTGACAGGATATCAACGTGCTATATGGTAAATGAAAGGATGGTTTTCAATTGCCCTAAGAAAACATGTTTTTCTTTTGAGTCTGACAAGCGATTTGCCAATACAGGTAACCGTGGTACTAATGATGTCTATTTAAAATGTATGACAACATAGTAAGAATGTAAAGGTATAAAAAAAGTAGAACTCAGTGAAATTAAGGATTTATAGGACATTTAAAATGACCTAAATGTAAAAGCATTTTGACCTCAGGTTTAAAAATAACTCAACATGCCAGTTTCCCTCACTGTAAATGGTCCCTTTCTTGTTAAGAAATGGCTAGTAAATAACAAATACTTAAGTCATTTGACAACCTTCCTCTTAGTCAAGGTCTCCTTGGGCTTTATTCCAGACATCACGAGATCTAAGCATTTTGCAGTGTTTAATGTGAGTGTTACAACAGCAATTTTCAGTTTTGTAAGAGACTTTTAGAAAAAGATAATGCTCAGAATGTTAAATTTGCTGATTAATATATAACTGAAAAAAAACAAACTGAACATAAAGAGTAATAACGGGAAACATTTATTTACCGTTTGCTGTTGTTGGTCAGGCGTAGTGCTGAACCATACATGGATTCTCTTAGCTACCTAGTACACCACCCCTCTGATAGCCAACAAAATGAGTGACCCTTTATTGAGTGCTTACTACATGCCAGGCATTGGTCTCATTAGATAAGTTACCTCATTTAATTCTCACCCAATCCTCTTTGGGAAGGGATTGTTAATCTTTTGACAGATGAAGAATCTCAAACTTAGGTTAGGTGACTCGCCTAAGGTCATTTAGCGTGGAAGGAGGGCGAAATCCCACGCCAGGCAGTCTGACCTCAGAGCTTGCACTCTTAGTCACCTAACCGTAATAACACTTGAGATGCTTTGAGGCTACTAACGTAAGAAAAACTTACGTTTTTCTAGGCAGAATTCTGATCCTTTTGCATCTGCCCTAATGCTGGGCAAAACCTTTTGTGTGTTCTTTGGTCCGATCTGCTTTCGCAGTGCTGAGAGCTCTGTGGTAAAACAACAGAAAAGGAAACAAAACCTTAAAAAAACTGGGAGAATAATAAAAACAATTCAACAACAATTACAGCAGTTGGAGCCTCACCCCCTTTTTGTTCCTCCCCCAAGTCCCATAAAAACCAGGTTTCTTAAGGCGCTTGTTTGGAATCCAGTGCGTGTAGGCTCGCTCTTGCAGTGTGATAGGATTTACTGGGGTGGGGGAACTCCAGTTTTTAAATTGCACGCGGAGTCCTACTTTTTCGTTATCGTTCAGATGACGATGGAGCAAAAAGAGCGCAAGGCCTGTGGACGGGGCCGGCGCTCTCTCCAGATGGTCCAATCACGGCGCGCCACTCCAGGCCGGCGGCCGATTGGTGGTTGCTATAGCTCCCGGAGTTCGCTTGATAAGATGGCGGCTGCCGGGCAGTGGGGCGCTCCGTTTGCGGCCTGAGCGCATTCCGGCTTCTAAGACCCGCGCGGTTCTGTAGCGCGGGCCCGGCGAGGCTTCAGGCATGGGCTTGCCGCCGCCAGCCCCTCGGCTCTTGGGGGTTCTCCTCCTGCATGGCGTCCTGAAGCCACTGTGGGGGGACCTGGGTGTGTACAGCGGGGCAGGGGCCTGCGGGGCCGGGCTGAGGGAACCAGGTGTTTAAGGGGCCAGGCCTAGATTCCTCCGGTAGCTCCGGAATCAGCGCCAAAGCAAACACCCACCTCTTAGGCAGGGACTCTGCAACTATTAACTCCTCCCCGTCTCCTTCCTTCCCGCCTAGCTTTCATCCCTCCTTTCATCCGCATGTCCAGCCCTGAGGTCAGCGCATCCTTAATCGGAGGCACCGAGGATGTGACCGTGTCCCTGGCCCTGTTGCAGGATGAGGCAGGTAAAGAGTCCAGCCCTACCAGTGGGGAGGGTGGGGTTGGGCCGCCCAAGTCACCTGGCGAGCTGTCACCCCTGCGTCCCCAGCTGCTGTCCACTTCAAAGTCGGGATGGGGGGGCTGCTGTGGACCGAAGAGGACCAACAGACAGGTTCCATAAAAGAAAGCTTGAAATCATAATGGCTGGCATTCACTGAGCTCCCTCTGTGCATTATATGCAATGCCTCATTTTCTGAATAAGAACAGTAATATCTTTTAATCCCAGAAGACAAAGACACTGACGTTCAGAGAGGTTGTCACTTGTCCAAGGTCACAGAGCTTGTAAAGGGCCCAATCCTAGAGTGTACCCTTTAGCTGCTGGACAATACTGCTTTGCATTCTCATCTCTTTTAGGATTATTGCCAGTTCCCACTTGTGGCATGCTGAACGAGATAGGAGACTGGAGTTTGACGGTGACCCCCAGTGTGGTAAGGCCAGAGGTAAAAAACCTTCTCGGTAGCATCTGTGGAGGCTCATATTTAGTGCTGTCTTTCCTAGACGAGCTGTAGCTGTCTCAAGGCTCAGAACTAGTAGACACCCATCCAGCCCAGAGGTTCTTACCTTGGGGCAGAGATCCTTGGACAAATTTCAAGGGTCCTGTGAACCCTCTGAAATTACGTGTGAAATTATGTGTGTATGTGCATTTTTCTGATGAGAGGGTCACCAACTTTCATCAGATTATCAAATGGGTTTGTGACTCAAAACAGCTTCAGAAACCACTGATCTCACCTAACCCTGAACTTACATATAAGGACACTCAAGGCTGGAGAGATTAAAGATCTTCCATTGAATAACTTTTATTGAGTTCCTATTATGTGCAAGGCATCAACTCCAGAGTTTATAGAGGATAATAAAGACAGACATTGCTTGCACCCCAGAAACTGGGGATGGTTTTTAATGACTTTATGTATATTTAATCTTCTGCTGGTAGGATGATAAAGAAACCAAAAAGGTGCTAGACAAACTGAGTTAGTTTTCAGACCACTTTAGCTTTCTCTGAGTATCCGAAAGTTGCTCGCTTTTATGTTAAACTGAAGGTTAGGAATCAGGGGTTCCACATTGTCCTAGGTTTATGGGTGGAATTAAACAAAATTCTGTCATCTTTGTATAAAATCCTCCTTTTGTCAGACGAACTGAGGCTGATGTGTGATGTTACTGTTTTCCATGATGTGCTCTTATAATTATAGATGCTTTTTTTTTTTTTTAAGATTTTATTGGGGAGTTGGGGGAGGGGAACAGCTTTGGGGAATAGGGGGAAGGGGAACAGACAAGTTGCTGTCCTTTTGTTCTTCAGTCTAGTTGTGGAGGATGTTGCTTCACTGGCCCATGTTGGTATTATCACTGTGCTCTTCCCGGGCGAGGCAGATCGGTTGCCGGCCTCTGGACGGCCTCTCATGGCAGCTCTTGGCAGGTCACATCAGCTGCCGGCTGCTCACGCTGGCTGCTGGCCACACACTGTAGCTTATGGCAGCCCACTGCAGCGGGGCTTTGGCCTATACCGTCGCTGGTGACTGCGGCATCCCAGCTCCAGGTCGAGCTGTTGATCACCATCTTAGCTGTAGAGGGCGCAGTGTCACTGGCCCTCATGTGGGATCTGAACCGGGGCCCTGCTGCTCAGAGCTGGCGTCCCAAGCCAGCTCCTAAACAACGCATTACTTGGCCGGCCCTATGGATGCTGTTTTGAGTCACTCTAAAAGCAGTATTTTTCTTTCAGGATGTGTTGGAAGTGACAGTGAGGTTGAAGAAGGGTCAGCAGCGGTGTTCCTCTAATGGGACAGACTCCTTCCCAGAGTCCCCATGCATTGTCCAAACTCTTCTGGTATCAGCATCTCACAATTCATCCTGTTTAACACATCTGCTCATCCAGGTGGAAATTTATGCCAATTCTTCTCTGGCCCATAATGCATCAGGCAAGTGAAGTCTGATTATCAAAACATTCACGCCAAACCTTATCTGTTTGCTTCCCATTGTGTGTCATGTAATGTGTGTACTTAACTTTACTCTTGAGTCCATTTTGACTTCGTAAACTTATTTTCCCTTTGTTTAGTTTCCTTATTTTGAAAGTTTTCACTTTGTACTGTTTTACTTAAGATTTATTTTATCTTGCTCTACATTTTGTATATTTAAGCTGCCTTAAATCCTTTCTGGGAAAAGGTGAAGTTTGTTTCTGCGTATTGATTCTTATGACTCCATCATAAAACAAAACCCAAAAAGATAAGGGAAAAAAAAAAAGGGAAACACGCATGAATCAGTTTATAGAAAACAGTAGATTTTTGGGGAAAGCTTTTGACCACCAGTTCCCTTTCTCAGAGGCACCCTGTTAACTTATGTTTATAGAAGCATGTATTCCCTTCTTCTAAAAAATATATAATAATAACACACAATTCACTATTCTATACCTCTTAAAATAATATAACTTAATTAATCAATAAATGATAAATAAATAAGTATAACTGAGAGATTGTTCTATATGAATAAATCTAGGTTTGCCTCATTCTTTTAATAGCTAAGCTGCATAGTATTCCATCGCGTGGATATACCATTGTCCCTTAGTGACCGAATGTAAGTCATTTCCAGCTTTTGGTATGGTAGCTGGTGTTTACAGCAAACATCACTGTGCACACAGATCTCTGGACACGAGAAAATGATTCTGTAGTATTCTCCCTTTCACATAATGGCAGTGTTCTAAGAACAAAAGGCGTGCTGATGTGGATGGGTCCACCCACTTTGCTAGGTGCCACCAACATGTTCGCTGTCTAGCACCTCTTGCCTTCATGGCCACTTAGGATGAAGGGAGAAGTGTCCCTCTTTAGAAGCAAAGGCCTGTCGCTTTGAGACTCCTGTCACTTCTCTTCTCACATCCCCTAACTGGTCCTCCCTGTGGTTTTGGAAGTTTAGGAGGATGAGATACACTGCCCTCAGGGTACTTGTGTGGAAAGATCTCTGATTTGTTTTGCTAAGTATGAAAAGCAGCAAGTGCAGATGGGTCATAGAGCATGGAATAAGAATATATATTTGCATTTACATAAAGAAATTCTGGAAGGCTCTCTGAGAAGCTAACAGTGTGCTACCAGATTCGGGGGTGAGGTGGGACCAGGAAGGGAGGACTTTTGCTGGATACCTTTTTATATCCTTTTGATTTTTTTTGAATTATGTGACTCTATTACCTATTTAAAGGTTTAAAAGTGTTTTATAAAAAATTTTTTTTTCGAATGCTTGAACTTCAAAACAAACCAAAATATCATATTCAGTAGATGCTTTTGAAAAACTACAGTAGCTATACCCTTCAAAGCAGTGACTTTTTTCCTCTTAAAAAATATGCTCGACTGTATTTAGGCAGTATTTGTACAAATAGCCAAACTTAGGAAAATTAGAATCTTTGTAATTACGAGATGTCCGCTCTTACCCCATGAAGGTATGAAAGGATTTGCACCCAGTCAGACAGAATCAGAACAAGAAAAAAGATGGAAGGCCAGACAGGAGGTATGTGGTATGCTTAGGATCAGAGAAGCTAGCAAACGACATAGAAGACATATAGATAGACACAAATGTCTATCTATATAGCACATAGTAAAACCCTCTTCTGAAATGACTTGCTTATGTCACGTGGGTTTGATTATACTGAACATCAGACCCTTACCCTGTGACGTGGCCTGTTACTCGGACCTTCTTCTCATTCCTGAAACAATGGATGTAGTAGGGTTCTACTATATTATAATATAGAAGACATAATTAGTTCTTTAAATGCTTCAGCTGTCATGGCATTGGAGTTAACTGTTACGTAGAGTTTAAACATATAATCACTACACAGTTTTCCACCATGTACCTAACCCTAGGACAAAAGTAAAACTCAGTGAACTGAAACTTTTATCTGGTAAATGACTGCAGAGAAAATAGAAACATCAGCTCTGGGTTCGGTGTTAGGAGGCTGACATGTAATATATTCCTTTTCTACTCAGTGTGAAAATTGTTAATTTCCCCCACCCATGAACCAGAGTCAGGATGTGTAGATTTGGATTTGCAGGGTGATATCCATGTGGCATAATTAAATATGGCCTCGTGGTCGGATGGGTTCCAGATAAGCCGTCCGAAATTTCACCATGGCTTCGGTTTTCTGTGCCGAAAGAGGTAATGAATTGAAGGAGTAAATGCTTACAATCAGCCTGTGTTATGAAACAGATTGTTTGGTGTGTTGAGAAATAATATCCATACATTGCATTTACCCTAACGTGTCCATTTTAGCCCCTCGATTATCTTCGGATCAACTGTGACTCTTCGGTTTGTTAAAACTAGCACATTTTCAAGAAGAAAAACAAAGCTAGCACATTTTCTGCTCTTTGGGCATTTGGTGGAGTGGTAGGTACCGGCCTCGGATGCATCTGATGCATAGCTCATTTCAGGGACCCCTTCCTTGTGGAGTACGTGGGAATGGTGGTTTGTAAAACAGTGATTCTGTTTCCTTTTGAACGTCAAATGTGGCAGCGCTTTGTCAGAGGGTTTCATAGCTGAACTTCTCTGTTGTACTTTTCAGAGAACGTGACGGTTATTCCTAACCAGGTGTATCAGCCCCTTGGTCCGTGTCCTTGTAATTTAACAGCCGGGGCCTGCGATGTTCGCTGCTGCTGTGACCAGGTACGAACGCTCTTTCCAATTACGGGGGACAAAAGTTAGGGTGCCTGACAGCATGTGAAGGGCACCGATGGCTCCCCATTAACAGCTTTTTAGTGGATGATCTTTCAAAACTGAGATTGTCATTTCATGTTGCAAATTGTTTGCAAATTGAGTATTTTCTTATTTAGTATTATCAGTCCAGTTTATGGAAGAAAAAAATGTGTCTCTTTGGGTAAAGTCATGATTGTCATGGTTATACTGAGAGGATGGTTTTAATATTTAGAAGCCTTTAAGGAAACAAAAGCAAAGAGAATACATCCCTTCAACAATTTTTAGAAAATGTATGGAATTGTACAACCATCACGACAATCTAATTTAAAAACATTCCCATCACCCCAAGAAGAAACCTTGTGCCCATTTGTAGTCTCCCCCACTCCCACCCCTTGTCCCTAGGCCACTGTGAGTCTGCTTCCTGTCTCTATGGCTTTGCCTGTTGTGGACGTTGCGTATAAATGGAATCCTACCGGATGTGACCTTGGTGACTGGCGTCTTTCCCTCGGCATCATGTTTTCAAGGGTCATCCATCTTATGAAGTGTCAGTACTTCATTCCATTCTATGGCCGAATAATATTCCACTGTAGGGATGGACCCCATAGTACTTACCCGTTTACCAGTTGATGGATGTTTGGGTGGTTTTCACTTTTCAGCTATTGTGAACAATGCTGCTATGAACACTTGTGTACACGTTTTTGTTTGGCTGTGTTTCCATTTCTCTTGGGTGTATCACCTAGGGGTGGAATGCTCGCTGTTACAGGAATTCTGCTTAACCCTTTGGGGGACTGTTCCAAAGCACCATTTTACATTCGCATCAGCAGCGATGAGGGTGTCATTTTCCATATCCTCACCCACAGTCGTTATGATAATGTTTTTGAATGTAGCCATCCTAGTGGGTGTGAAGTGGTATTTCGTTGTGATTTTTTTTTCCCCCCCATGCGGGAGTCGAACTGGTAACCTTGTTGTTAAGAGTGCATGCTCTATCCACTGAGCCATCCGGGCGGCAGCTCAGCTCAAGGTGCCGAGTTCAGTCTTAGTTGCAGGTGGGTGTAGCCCACCATCAAACAGGCAGTCTTGTTAGGAGCACGTACTCTCACCAGCTGAGCCATCCTGGTTGGCAGCTCAGCAGCAGCTCAGCTCGGGCGCAGTGTCACTGGCCCATGTGGGAATCGAACCGGTGGCCCTGTTGCTCAGAGCTCGTGCTCTTAAGCAAACTCTTAACCAACTGAGCCACTCGGCCAGCCCTCGTTGTGATTTTAATTTGTATTTCTCTAGTGGCAAATGATGTTGAACATCTTTTCATGTCCTCATTGGCCATTTTTATATCTTCTTTGAAGAAGTGTCTATTTAGACCCTTTGCCCATTTTTTAATTGGGTTGTCTTTCTGTTGTTAAATTATAAGAGTTCATGGTACATTCTGGATACTAGTCCCTTATCAGATGTATGATTTGCAAAAAACCTTCTGTTATGGAGGTTGTACGCTTTCTTGTTGGTATCCTTTGAAGCACAAAATACTTTAATTTGATGAAAGCCAGTTTATTTATTTTTTTTCTTTTGTTGCTTGTGCTTTTGGTGTCCTGTCTAAGAAGCCGTTGCCTAATGCCAGGTCAAATACATATTTTTAATCCTTATTTTAGATTTAAGAGGAATGAGAGATGCAAAATGAAGCACACTTACTGGGCCCCAAGTCACTCCCATTTTTGGATGAGTACAGTTATGTCATGGTTGGTTTTACTAAACAGGAAAGTTAAGGGTCTTCATTTATATTGTCATTCTCACACTAACAATTGTACTTACGATAACAATTATATTTAATTAAAAAATAAAACATATCATAAGTCTGTTCAGATATCAGTAGAAATGTCAAAATGGTATTCGCTTCCTTTTCTTCCAGACTGCATTTCTGTGCCGTTTCTAACTTCGTTTTGTGTCTGTTATATGTGGTGTATGTACACATATGTAGCACCAAGTACTTTTGTGTTTGGTCATTTGGTCGTCTGACTTACCCCTTTATACAGGGTCAGTTTTTAATGTGAATTGTTCTCATTTTTAAAAATAGATCACTTTCTTTTCTATCTTTAATAAACAAGGGATTCAGGGCATATTTAACTTTTAACTCAATCATTTGTGAAACAAGGAAGAATATGGATGAATCAATGAATGCATGAATAAAGTAACTTCTTGATGATATTAGTTCCTGTTATGATACAGCAAGGACCTTAAGGATTCTCCTGATATAGGGTCTATTGCCCTAACTCTGAATGCCCTCTGGTTTCTCTGGGCCAGGGATTGGGATGGTGATGCCAGCTGAAAAGGGAAGTTTATTCTGTTTTAGTCCCCGTTTGGGGTCTATTCCATATTACTTTCCCTTCCCTTTGTATTTTTTGTGCGCACATCTTATGTCCCCCGCAAAGATGTGGCTCCCTTGAAGGTTTGCTGTTCCTGACTTGGAGGGAATTGACTAAAGAAATTCTAGCACCATTTGCTTTCTGTGGGCACAAAGCACTGTTCGACCAGAAGAAGCTTGTTTCTCGCTTCCTCGGGGGGGTGCCCTGCTGGCCTCAAAGAAATAGTGTTCATCCCACTGGCCAGATCTGGTGGCGGTGACAAGGGGAGTCTTTGTCTTCTCACTGTGCCTTTTACATTTTCTTTCCAGGAATGCTCATCGGATTTAATACAACTCTTCAGAGAGTCCTGTTTCACCGGTGTTTTTGGAGGAGATGTCGCTCCTCCTTTTGATCAGCTCTGCTCTGTTCAGAGGGCGCACGGAGTGCCAGACTGGTTTCCGTTCCTGTGTGTGCAGTCCCCCCTCGCCAACTCACCCTTCCTCGGTTACTTCTACCACGGCTCTGTGTGAGTGTCTGCAAAGCTGCCTGCAAGAGGGGCTGGCTGGCTCCCTGGGGCCAAGGAGGCCACATGCCCTGTTGGCCCTTAGAATGGGGGTCGCAGTTTTTCAGGACCTCTCCAGATGCTTTGTGCTTCAGTGATCCAATGCTAGACTCAATTCCAGATTTCAGTTAATAAGTTTACCTTGTGTTAACTGTTTAAAAGAATTGGGCCTCACTGAAAAGAAATTGATTGACACCCAAAGCAGCTAATAGTGACCTTGTGGCTTGGGGGAAAGAGTGGTGGGCTCCTGAGGGACTTGAACCTTTTGTCTTTCACCTTTATTGTTGAAATTTTACACATTTATTATTACTGAAGTAAAATTCATGCAACATAAGGGTAACCATTAACCATTTCAAAGTGCACAATTCAGTGGCGTTTAGTACGAATATTATTTTTATAATTCAAAAAGTAAAGAAAAAATGTAAAGGAACGATTGTTTTTTAGCAGATAATAGCTGGAAGTCTTAGTGATAATCTTCCTGGTTGGTTTACAGTTCCTCGAGGCAGCACGCTTCCTCTGAGGTGTATTTGCACACCGAGCCAAAAGATTTTTCAGACTTTGGTTACAAACAAGGAGACCCAGTTATGACTGTCGATAAGGCGTATTTTACTATTCCACAGGTAACGATTTCAATGTTAATATGCTAGAGCCTTTGCTTATTTTTCCCATCCTATTGTTAACTCATATTGCTCTTAAAACTCTTACCTAAACTACTTATTGCTTTTCTGTGAACTTTCCAGCACTCAACTATTTATGGTCTCCAGATTTTTTTTTTTAATAGTCACTCTTTTTTTTTTGTCATCTTGAAATACAATTTTATTTATTTATTTTTATTTGTTTCTTTTTTAATTAAAGTTTATTGGGGTGACAATGGTTAGCAAAGTTACATGGGTTTCAGGTGTACAGTTCTGTAATACATCATCTATATATCGCATTGTGTATTCACCACCTAGAGTTAGTTCTCCTTCTATCACCTTAATAGTTACTCTTAAATTAATCACTGCCTTTGCTAAATCTCAGCGTGAACTTGCTAAATAAAACCAAAAGAGGTTCTATAAATTTCCACTGAAGTAACTGTCATTCTTCATTTCTGTTAGTTTCATAGTCAATTTCTAGTAAGCTCTAAATATCTAATATCATATTCCAGAATTTGGAAAAATATTTTAAGGCTATCGAGTTTTATGTGAAACCTTTTTGTTTTTCTTTTTTATGTTCAAAATTCTGAGGAAAAAATATTTGCGGGAACAAAACATGGGAATCTAAAAACCATTTCTCCATACTATTCATATGAATTCTTTTTTATGGTTTTAACAAAAACCTGATTGAAATGAGGGAGGAAAATGAAGTTGAATATAATCGTGTTACTGCAAAGTAAATGGAACAGAGCAGGGAATTTTTTTTTCGTTTTCATGAAATATACTTCCTGTGATTCCTCAACTAATGGCTTCCAGACTTTGACTAGCAAATTCACTCTCTATTTTACTAAAGTGGGTCAACTAGCCATCGCTGAGACTAACCCCACATTGGGAGCTGGCTGCAGAAAGAGCCCTTCTAACTATACTTTATGATCAGAAGAGAGGCCATTGATCTGTTGGACTCTCCCCAACCCTCAGGTGTCCCTGGTTGGGCAGTGTATGCAGAATGCCCCAGTGGCATTCCTTCAGAATTTTGATGTTCGGTGCATTACCGATTTGGACATCTACCAGGAACCAGATGGTCTTCTCAACACGAAGATAAAGAATGGTGCTATGGGAGGTACGTTACCTGGGTCTTGAAGAAAGAGCACAGATCTGAGTGTTTAGATAAACTGTGTGATGTCATGAGAATGCAAATCACTTCTTGTGGAGCGACTGAAAGTAATATTTCAACCACCAATCGAGGAAGGGTTCTCTTTGGAAAAAGTTCCATTCTATAAGACAGTATATTGCATATGAGTTCTTTTTTAAAAACGGAGGTAAAACTCACAGAACAAAATTAACCGCTGTAAAGTGTACAGTTTAGTGGCATCTCGTACATGCACGGTGTTGTGCAACCGTCACCTCGTCACCCCAAAAGGAGACCCCGTACCCGTTAGGCAATACCCCTCTTCCTCCCCTTCCCCAGCCCCTGGCAGCCACCGCTCTGCTTTCTGTCTCTGTGGGTGTGCCTGTTCTGGAATCCTACACGATGAGACCTGTGTGTCTGGCTTCTTCCACTTGGCATCAAGTTTTTGAGACTCATCCATCGTGTGAATACACCGCATTTTGTTATCTGTTCATCCTTTGATGGACCTTTGGGCCATTTCCAGCCTTTGGCTGTTGTGACAGTGCTGCTATGAACACTCACGACAAGGGTCTGTGCGCACACATGGATTTATACCTCACAGTGGGGCCGCTGGGTCCTGTGGGAATTTAACTTTTTGAGAAACCACCAAACCATTTTCTAAAGTGACTACACCTTTTTATACCCCCACCAGCAGTGTACAGCATATTTGTTCTTACATGCGAGTGACCCTCCAGATTTTTGGATTCTCCTTCTCAATTATCATGAGAACAGTGTGAATCACATTTGATGGTGTTTGGAGAGCGGGAGAGAGTTTTGTAGCTGGCAGTTAACCATATTTGCTTGATAAGCTTGCATTTGCGTAAGTACATGTGATCATGTCAGGCCGTGTCGTCCTCTGGAGGTTAATTTATGTGTCTTTTTAGGCATCGTTACTCCCAAAGTAACCTATGAGGAAACAGCTGACCTAGACAAATTCATCACCAGTTCAGGTATTTGAATGTTACACGTTTATACCACTGCTACAGAAATGTCATTTCTTACAAGCAATCCATCGTCCTAGAGTAAAACGCGTTTTTATGAAGAATCTGAGGAGGTGCACAGCAATGAGAAAGCTATCCCAGTAGCCCTTTGTTTGTCCTTGTTCCATCTTGCCTCGCCACTGAGTCGCTAAGAGACCTTGAGCCAGTTCCTTCACAGTCCTGAGTTATGTGGGCTCCGAGTCCCTCCAGTTCTCAGGGTCTGTGAACCTTTCAATATTTTTCAGATACTTCAAGAAGTACAGCATAGTTAAAAAATCATAGCATTTTTACTTTTTGCTTTCCTTATTTCCTGATAATTAAACTTTCAACTATGATGCAGCCAAATAAGTTAGGCTGAATTTGGCTGAAATTACCAGGACTTTTTAATGAAGGATACCCTTTGTGCTACTTTTCAATGCGTTGTAATTCTTAAATTTATTTATTATTTCATCAAATATTAGTAGAGTGGCTACAATATAGTAGTGAACTAGACAGCAGGCCTTTGTTCTTAAGGAGCTGACATTCTGTAGTCTTTCAATTTAACGAACGTTCTACCAAGTGTGTACTCCGTATGGAGCTGTGCGCCAGGTGCTGGGGGATACAGAAATCAAAGGAGAGGGACAGGCCTCACTCAGGATATTGTGATGACAGGGAGAAGGCAGGTAACGCCAACTGGGTGAGTCCAATAATAGCCCTCTGCCTGAAGAGGGTCTTGAACTTACGAGAATATTCCTTTATTTGCAGAAACGCTTTTAAGTAATGGATCAGCCCCCAGAAACGTGAATGTGGAAGAGCATTATATTTTCAGATGGAATAATAATACAATCAGTGAAATAAATGTCAAAATTATCAGGGCAGAAATTAATGCCCACCAGAAAGGTAACTTTGTTGAGGGCAGCAAGGCTGTTTTCAGTTTAAAATACTATTTTTCTTTCTTCAAGATTCTGTTAATTATAACACATAAAACTAAGTTAGACTTGTTTCTTATTTGTATTTGTGATTTAATAAAAAAATTTTTTGTGGTTTTTTTTGCATGTCAAAATGCAATTATAAGGTAAAGAAAATAGCACTATGGGGCATAATTTTTTTTCCTACTGAAATGGTACACATTACATTTTTATTATGTTTTATTTCTAGGAATCATGACACAGAGATTTACAGTAAAATTTTTAAGCTATAACAGTGGTAATGAAAAGGAAACATCTGGAAATCCAGGTAAGGTAATATATGTCAATCACTGATCTTACAAACATTTTAGTTCAACACTCCTGCCTCAGAATGATGATTATAAGTAACTTTCCACTTTTATGTTTGTGACTCTGATCTTTCTCTTTATTTCTCTTTTTTTAAAGATTTTTATTGGGGGATGGGAACAGCGCTGGGGAATTGGGGGAAGGGGAACAGACAAGTTGCTGTTGTTTTGTTCTTCAGTCTAGTTGCGGAGGACGTCGCTTCACTGGCCCAAGTTGGCACTATCATTGCGCTCTTCCTGGGCGAGGCAGATCAGTGGATGGCTGCTCATGGTGGCTGCTGGCCACTGGCTGCTGGCTGCTGGCTACACACGGTAGCCCATGGCAACCCACTGCAGCAGGGGCAGCCCAGCTCCAGGTTGAGCTGTTGTTCAGCATCTTAGCTGTGGAGGGCAGTGTCACTGGCCTTCATATGTGGGATCCGAACCGGGGCCCTCTGGCATCCCAAGCCAGCTCTTAGCCATCGTGCCACTTGGCCGGCCCCTCTTTATTTTTCTTTTGTGATACTGTTCTTTTTCTGTTAACAACCTGATTTTTTTTTACATAAAGTATCATAGATAATACCAAGTTGCTGTGAATGCAAGCCTTTCTTTCTCTTTAGCTCCTGGTCTTTTGAAAAAGAGAGAACACATTTAAAGTGTTGGTAAAATTAGCTTTTTAAGACAGAATAGGTGGCAGATGATAGGCTCCTAACCTGGGATCCATGGAGAGACTTTGAGGGGATTGTGAGCTCTCTGTCGTGTTGTGCATTTTGTATTTATGTGCAAATACATCACCACCTGATGGGTATTGGGATCATGGTTATGCAGGGGAATATTCTTAATCTGGGGAGATGTGTGATGGAGCTTTCAGAGGTGAAATGTCATGATGTCTACAACTTATTTTCAAGTGGTCCTGATATATGTATATACACATATGTATGTGAATATACATGTATATATATATATATATATATATATATATATATATATATATANATATATATATATATATATATATATATATATATATATATATATCTCAGGACCATTTAGAAATTTTATATATATATATATATATATATATATATATAGAGAGAGAGAGAGAGAGAGAGAGAGAGATGCTTATATAGATAAGACGAATATGGCTAAATATTAACAGTTGTTGATTTTAGGTGGTGGCTAAATTGGTATTCGTGGTATTACTTTCAGTTTTTCTGTACATGTGAACATTTTCATAATGAAAAGTTGGAAACAGTAAGTTGGATTAATAGGAGATGGCTGGGAATAGGACCTAAACTAGACCTTGGGACTGAATTGATTTACTAGAAAACGGGTCCATTGAAAGGTCACTTCGGTTTGAGTTTCCTTTACAAGCTCCTGTGATAAATGTGACACCAATCATTCAGCAAGGATTCATTCACTGGCCTGCTCAGTAGCTCCTTGTTCTCTAGTGTGGGAGAGCCAAGATGGACTCTTACCTGCTTTCTACTTTTCAGAGTCTACTTTTAAAATTTCTTTTAAAAATCACCGGGATGTCTTTATTAAAGCAAAACAAAACAGATGAAGAGGATATCCTTTTCTCAAGGCTATTTTGGAAAAGCTTTGCCTGTGTATTTCCTTTCATTGTGTAGTCAGTCCTCTTTTGCATTATTTGATGAGGGGGTGCTTGCCACCTCAGGTTGGGTTAGCTTTCGAAGGAAAGATGCTGATTCTCATTTGTTGGGCTTGTCTAGGTTACCAGCTTGGCAAGCCTGTTCGAGCTTTAGGCATCGACAGAATGAATGTTACGACTTTACACCTTTGGCAGCCAGGTAATGTGCTTTGGTGATACGATCATCTCTTCGGTCAACTAGAACTGGAAATATGACCATATTTTCAATCTAATCAATTACTTTAAAGTTTAGTTGGTTTATTTAGCTGGGGTGGTGGTGGTTGTTTTTCATGCTTGTACAGCTTTTTTTTTTCCCCATAAAATATGTTAACATTGTTTGTACCTGAAGTACCGGTTATTAGTTAGAGAGATGTAAGTATGGGGTTGGCTTGAGAGTCCCCTGTCATTGTTGCCTGTAGCTCAAGATGGTGCTAACTGGGGACATGAGAATAGCTTTGTTCCCAACTATGGAAAATCTTTTGCATCAGTGGTAATTACGCACAGCTGCCAGCAGGCATTACATTTCATGTTGAAAATAAACCATTGATCCCAGGTAGCCTGATACAGAAAGGCGCCTTTGTTCAGCCTTGAAAGGATTAGAGTAACAATGACCTCAGCTCTGGAAAAGTGGAAACTTTATTTTGACTTATTGTTTTCTCTCTGTTTTTGAAGGAAAACTTTCAGGTAAATCTTTACTTGTAGTTAGCAAAAATATTAAGAGGATAATATTTTTATCGTTCAGCTGGAAGGGGTTTGTGTACAACGGCAACTTTCAAACCCATTCTATTCGGAGAAAATGCATTCTCGGGGTGCCTTTTAGATGTTGGGGTGAATGAAAGCTGTACTCAGCTCAGGTGAGTGTTTCACTGATGGATTTACGTTTTGAGTCATTTGCTTAAAATAATTCACTGCATGAATACAAAAGACAACGTGAATATGAAAACTTAGAGTCTGAATGAAACACTTGTGTAAAAGCAATAGTGAAAATGTATAAACGCAGACTTCCAATACAATTTAGAGTTGACTCAAACATCAGTATAAGGGAAAATAGACTTCTTTCTTAGGACGAAAGCCATTTCGTTCATATTTGTGCACGTTTCTCTGCTGAAGTTCAGATCATTGGAACGCATTGCTGAGAGAACTATAAAGAGGGCCAGAGCCAGCTATCATTGGTGTCATTAACACTGAAAGAAGACTTAAGCCCTGTTACCTGGTGTATAAGGAACTTTCCACTTAATTGGGTGGCATTTGGGAAGTGTCTTTATGGATATGCACATCCATTCTTTTTATTTTTAAATTGAGGTTAAGTTTACATAATGTAACTAATCATTTAAAAGTGAACAGTTCAGTGGCGTTTAGTACAGCTGTGATGCTGTACAGCCACCACCTGTGTTTAGGTCCAAAGTGTTTCCATCTCTGACGGGAGACCCTTACCCTTCAGCAGTCACTCCCCGTTCCTCCCTCCCCAAACCGTGGGCAACGACCATTCTGTGTTCTGTCTCTGTGGTTGTACTTATCCTGCATATTTCCTATAAGTGGGATCACACACTATTTGCCCTTTGGGGTATGGCTTCTTTCACTCAGCATAATGCTTTTGAGGTTCATCCATGTTGCAGCGTGTGTCAGCACATCACTCCTTTTTATGGCCGAATAATATTCCTTTGTGTGGATGGACCACATTCTGTTTACCCTTCATCTGTCGATGAACATTTCAGTGGCTTCCTCCTGCTCTAAGCGTTCATGGACCAGTTTTTGTTTGAACATCTGCTGTCGGTTCTTTGGGGCATATACCCAGGAGTAGAATTGCTAGGTCATGTAGGCATTCTGTTTAATTTTTTTGAGGAACCATGCTATTGTTTCCCATAGTGGCTGTATGATTTTATCTTCCTACCAGCCACGTAAGAGGTTGCAGTTTCTCCACATCCTCGCCAACACTTCCTATTTGACCCCCTTTTGATAACAGCCATCCTAGTAAGTGTGATGTGGTATCCCATTGTGCTTTGTATTGCATGCATTGTCACACCCATTTCATGTGTAACATATCCTGCGTGATGTAGTTTATTGGGAAGCAGGGAAAAGATGGAGGAGACCTTGAGAAAGGAAGAAAACTGTGGGTATAAGTTCTCCACAGTGGCTCTGGGTTGCAGGGTGTGAGGCCTGAGTCCACAGTCGGGGTCTGACCCCTGCAGTTCATGACATTTGTATCCTCTAGGGGCATTACTGGAAACGAGGGATGCCAGGTTGCAATTCTTAATCTCCACTTAATTTTATGGCTTAAAATTCTAGCTAAATATTTAGATTCCTTTTACTCTTGAATCCCTCTGGCCCATGCATTTATCCCTGTACCTTGATATGTGATCTATCAACCTCCCAAGTTTTGTGACACTCATGGAGTCTATAAACCAGATGGTACAACGTAAGTTACTAGCATTTTAAGTTCAAAGTAAAAGGTTACTTCTGCACATCCTCTTCTAGCTGCTTAGGTAATTCTGGGAAGGCCATCGGAGAGAAATAAGACTCCCAGGCAGTGTTTTTTTTTTTTTTTTTCTTAAAGGGCACAGCTCACAGTAGCCCACGTGGGAATCGAACCGGCAACCTTGGTTATCAGTACCATGTTCTAACCAACTGAGCTAACCTGTCACTCCTCCCAGGCAGTTTTTAATGCCAGATCCCCTGGCAGGTTTTCACTGAGCCCTTCGCAAGCACAATCTGGAGACCCTCTGAAAAGGCCTTTGGAATGAGATCTGCTGGCCATGTGCTGAGAAATGCCTTACTCTCTTGCAGGGAGAGAGCTGCTGGACTACTTGACTCATTAATACAAGCAACTCATGTTGCAATGAGAGGCAACTCTGATTACGATGATTTTCATGATGGCTGGATCGAAATAATACGTAAGTCACAGCTGCACATGTGTGACCTGTGTAAGCTGGTTGCTATGACGACGTAGTGCCAGCAGTGGTGGTCAACTGGCATTTGTTTAGGGGTTAACGCCCCAGGCAGGAGGCTCTTCACATTTTGACCTCTTGTTCATGATGCCTTTTTTTGTTCTTAAGAGGAAACCCACGTGAAGTTCAAATTGCCCAGTGGTTTTACGAGCTAACAGTCTTTGTAAAGGAAATGTAAGTGAGGTTTGAAGGGTTTCAGGGCGGTTCAGTTCGCATGACTACTTTTGACTGCTAGAAATATGGGCAATTAAGAGCTGACTTTGTAATTTATAAAAGCAATTTTGTTAACTTAAAAGAAAATAAGGTGATAGACGCATAAGCGGAAGAAGCAGACACAAATGCGCACATGCCATCTGATTCCATGTGTATGCAATGTCCAGAACAGGCAAATCTATAGAGACAGAAAGCAGACCAGTGGTTGCCAAGCCTGGGGCGGCTGGGAGGAAACGAGGAGTGACTGCCAGTGAGTACAGAGTTTCTCTCTGGGGCAATGAAAATATTCTAAAATTGATTGTGGGGATGGTTGCACAACTCTGTGAGTGTACTAGAAACTACAGAATTATACACGTTAAATGGGGGAATTGTATGGTATGTGGATTATATATCAATGAAGTTGTTAACAAAGAAAGGAATTAGGGTGCACAGCAGACCTAGTAATAGCAGGGATCAACGAGGCCAGATTAAAAAAAACTTGGCAGTCCAGTGCTTTTGATCAGAGGCATTGGCCGTGTTGAGTCAGCAGGGATTTGGGTTCAAGGATGAAGAGAGAGCCACGTACGGCACACAGAGCAGACGTGAACCTGACTTAGCTTGCCACCGCAGGCCGGATTTCACCTCTGATTCCAAAATGTCCATCTGGCCGTCGAGCTCCAGTTCACTCAGGTCATCAGTGGAGAAGCCCGAGCTCACCTCTTGTTGTGGCAGAGCTGGAACTGAAAGCCAGGGTTCCAGCCTCTTCCTCTTGTCCCAGCTGGCGAGTCAGGGAATGTCTTTCCGATTGCTCGGGGAGTCTCGAGTGTGTAAATGCATTGAACAGGAAGAAGGCTTCTTTCATTGTTCTAGTTAATAGAATTACCTTTTGGGGCGAGGAAATGCTGAATGGCTGTGCCGTATCTGCTTTCCTAAGTCCCCTCCTGTCCCTGCGGAGGCCGCTGTGCCCTTCGCCTCTGCCTGGCTGGCTGGGAACAGCCGTCACACTTCCATACCCTCTGAGGTCGCTCACTTCAGCTCAGCAGGTTGGAATTCTAACAAAGAACCATCTAGATCTGTGCCCGTGCAATCCCCAGCCCTTGTGATTAGGGTCCAGGTCATTACAACCCCCTCTCCTCTTCTCCCGTGGGTGACCAGGGATCATGTGTTATGTCTGTGGGCTGGAAGTGCCCCCGACCACTCTCTGACTTGGGGAAGGGTCCTGGTGGCCACCTGTGCTCAAGTCACTAGACCCAGGGCTAGATTCTCATTTGCAAACAGAATCCAGAGGTTAGAGCTTGTCAATGCCTGGGCTCTGCCATCTAGGCCAGCTGGATGGGCTGTGGAGTGACAGAGGGATGGAGGGAAGGAGTCAGTAAAGCACTGGAAAAGTGACAAGTACGGGAAATTTCAAGACCGAGAGCCCAAGATGGTTAGGTAACAAATTGGAGGTGATGGCATTTTGTTGCCTTCAAGGTGGAAGCATTTAGATTCTACTTCTTGTCTAAGTCAAAATTGCTCCCATCCTGGGTAATAAACAGAGGTGTGGTGTTGGACACGTGTATCGAGGAGGAGGAAGTTGCATGCCATAACAGTGTCACCGAACTTCAAAACCCCCAAAGGAACAAAGAACTCCCCCCAGAGTTGCCTTAGAACTTGCCACCCACCTTGCTGCCTCCCCCCTCACCCCCAGTGCCACTTTTCAAGATGAATGAAAATCAATTTCTTAGTCAATTTCATTGTCTTCCTTTTTGTTACTGCTCCACCAACACATTAGGAAATTGCTTTTTAATTGTGTACTCTACACTAACTAATTGTTAGTATAGCTTTTAAATGTCTTCTACAGCTTCTACTGCAACAGTGACTGCACAGAAAAACTCTCAAGGCATTTTACTGCAATTACATGGTATTTCTGTTAAAACTCTGGATTTCGGCGAGGACCTTGTGAACTGGATCATGATTTATGGTTTCATTATGTGGGCCAGGGATTTTAAAGTCACAATGACTGACTTAACGTACAAGGAAACATTTCGAACACAAGGGGTAACACGGTTATGGGGTGACACATAACTAGAGCCCATTAGAGGTTAAAAAGCCTCATTAATGTGATTCCTATCTAATCATAGTTCCCATTTTTTTCTAGTAGCATGGCATTGTAGGAAAATGGTTATTGAAGTATTCTTTCCAAAATGCACCACCTCGCATTTCTGTAGGTGCAGACGGCCCTGATACAGGTGCAGACTCTTCTGTTAGCAGCGTGAATGGCACCTGCCTGGATATTCCTGCTCAGCTGAGTATCCGCATCCTTATCTCGGATGCTGGCGCAGTGGAAGGGATCCCTCAGCAGGAGATACTTGGCACGGAGACAAGGTCTGATCGCATCTTGGATGAGTGTCGTTTTAGAGGGAGTCCGTAAAGTTGAGGGAGCTCCAAAGAATAGGGAAAAGCTGATTTTGAATCAGATGGTTTATTTGCAAATTGCAGTTATTGGCAATATGATTGTATGTGTAAATGGAAAGTGTATCAGCTGTGTTTGTAATAGAAACTTGTTCTCACTCATGAGTATTTATAAAGCTATGTGTAAGGGATTCTGCGAGGTATTTTAGGGGGGTACAAAGATGAATAAGGGGCTGCTTAGTGCTAAGCGTGTTTTGAAATCCATGAATATAATTGGCATAGTGACCAGGAATATTGCCCCCTGGTTAGAGATTGGGTCAGCAGACATGTGGGCTCAAATCATGGCTCTCCCCCTTATGAGCTGTGTGACCTTGACAGTTGCTTAATCTCTTCTGAGCTGAAGTTTCCTCACCTGTAAATGGTGATAAAACCTTATGTGTCAGGTCTCTGTCAGTTTTAAGTGACAGGGTCCCACTTTATACTGACTTAAGTAAAAGGGTAGTTTGTTGGTTTAAGTTCTGAAAAGTGCACATACAGCTAGTTCATGGTTCATGGTTCTATGTGGTCATGGGTCTTTTTCCGTCATCTCTTGGTTCCTCTTCCCTTTGGATGGGCTTCCTACTTGGGGAGTTTCTCCTCAAGAGGAGACAAAGGTGAAACATCAGCAATTTCAGGCTTATATCCATTTAGCAACTCCAGTGGAAAGAAGGTGCCCATCTTTTACAAAAATGATCTGGGCAGACTTTTATTGGTTCAGTTTCAGTCATGTGCTCCTTCCTGAACCAATCACTGTTGCCAGAGCAATAGACAGCTCTGATTGGCTAGGCTCAGTGATCAGCCCTCCCCTACATTTGGGTGGGTTCCTTCTGGTCTGCTCAACTAAGAGATGGGAGGGGTGGTTCCTCAAGGTAAAACTGGGGTGCAGTTACCAGAAGAAAGGTGAAGGGATGCTGGGTAGGCAGAAATAACAGATGTTCACCTCCAAACACTCCTCAGAGTACTATTTTGAGAATTACGTGGTGTGTACATATAAAGCCCCTTAGCACTGTGCCTAGAACAAGGAAAACCCTCTAAAATGGTTACCTGTTGTTATTGTTATTGTTATTGTTATTATCAAAATGCTGGTAATTGCTGTAACTGACTGACAGGTCCAGAGGGGTCATTACACTACTCCCTCTTCCTGTGTGTATATTTGAAAATTTACATAATACAAAAGGGGAAAAAGCGCTAGTAGAATCTGAAACTTCGTTAGGAGAATTCTGATTTCTTTTGCTGCCGTATTAGTTGCCTGCTGTTCTTAATAGACTAGAAATGAATTCTGATGCGTTGTCTGCATAACCTCTTCCTCCCAGGTTCTCCTCGGTGAACTGGCAGTTTCAGTGTGGACTGACTTGTGAGGATAAGACCGACCTTTTCCCTCTCAGTGCATCAGTCCAGTTTATTAAAATACCTGCACAGTTACCCCGTCCACTGACAAGGTAATCCAGTTGCCAACCTGGCTGACATTATTAGGAAACAGAAAAACATGTATATTTGAAAGTAAGAAGTTTATTTCTTTTATCAGCTTTTGATGCTTCTCATCAAAAGCATGCTTTGTTGCAGCTGTTGTAATCTTCTACAATGTTTTCTAGATTCCAGATCAACTTTACAGAGTATGACTGTAACAGAAATGAAGTGTGTTGGCCGCAACTTCTATACCCATTGACCCAGGATTACCAAGGTAGGGTACAGCAGATTTCTGGAATGGTTATCATCACGTTATGGATTGAAACGTTTTAGAAAGAAAAAAGTGTACTGATAATGTTGCCACTTAAAAATGATCACTATTGTTGTTTTGGCTTATTTCTACCTAAATAATTACCGAAAAAGTTGGGAAGTAAGACAATTGCTCACTTGACTCCTTGTCTTGCAGGGGAGCCTCATGCTCAGTGTGTTGCCAAGGCCTTCCTGCTGCTGGTCTTGCCCATATTAGCTGTGTTTCTTAGCAACCCCTGGACCAGAATACGCAAAGCTTGGAATTCAGCTACCGTCTGACTTCTTACAAGACCCTAGATGTTTACTTCAGTGATTTCTTGTACTCCTGTGTGCCTCTCTGTAAACTTTTAATAAATGAAGTGTTTTATTTTTGTAGGAAATTGTTATCAAGTGCTCTATGAATTTAATGCACATATGTAGCTATCCAGATGTGCAAAGCAATGAAGAACAGGCGTCCTTGGTGCCGGACGGGACTGAGCAAAATGCCCGGGGGGCTCAACTGTGTGAATAAGGGTTATTAGATGCTTTAGTTTATCACAGGTTACCAAATTCAGAGGAGTTTTGGTTCCAATTTGTTATTTGTACCATCGAGGGTCCATCTTTTCTTCAATTTTTTAATATATTTCTGTGGAATTGATGGATTCATTTCCCCTAGTCCAATGAAAGGATTAAAAATTCATAAAGCCTGAAAAATTGTATATAGTACAAGAGTACAAAATAAATCGATGAGGAAAGATATGGGGGCTGGGAGGGAAAATCTTATGGAAAGTGAAACAAAGCTAGAAGTGGATGCAAGCCCATGAAAACGTATGCCAAACACCTTGTATTCAGCAAAGATAGACCCCTATTTAGTCTTCAGTTTCCAAAAAAACCCAAATATGATTAGCTACAGGAATCATAGGGTCCTTAGGTTAAAAATAAGCTGGTTTTCAACAAAGTACAGTTTTTCCTAGTTGAGTCAAGAGAAATTTGTCCTGTGGCTCCTTACAAGGGGACAGATGACAGCATGATGCAGCCTGGGGATGTCCTCACTGATGGCCAGCCGTATAGTGGCCACATAGCAAATCTCCAAGTTTCCATCGTGGGCCAGATAAATTTAGTTGTTTCAGACAGATTTTGTTACACTGTTGATAAACCTAATTTTGAAAAGTGATTGATTCTAGGAGTCCACAACTGTCAAAGAAAAGGCAATGCCCGCTGATTAATTAATTGCAATGGTTCAGAAAGTCTACGTCAGTTAGTGTAACTAGCTCTGGAAAATGAATGAAAAATTTCTAAGCGACAGGTATCCTGATTTTGTGTGCTGTGTTAGGATGACTTTTGTACTTAAGAAGGGAAAAGCTCATTTTGGCAGTAGAATAGGATTTGGGGGGCATACTATATGGTTTTAACTTTTCTAAATTTGTACATTCAAGTAAGTATAATATTTGAGAAATGTTTATTGAGTGGCTACTAGTTGCTGAGCCCCGGAGATAGCAAGACAATGTCCTTTGTCATGCGGTGCCTACATTCTAGTGGGGGAAAGCTGGCAATAAACAGAGAGAAGATAATTTCAAACAGAGATAGGCGGCATGAAGAAACTATAACAGGGATGTGGTGGGGTGGGGTGGGAGGGCTCCTTTTGCTAGGGGTCAGAGATAGCCGCTCAGAGGAGGGCACATTTGAGCCTGGACCTGAAGGAGCCCAGCTTTGAGAAGAGCTGGGAGAAGGGTGTTCTAGGCAGAGGAAGCTAGCAAGTTCAAGTGCACCAACCTGGAAAGAGAGAGCACGCAAAGGGAGCCCAGGGCAGGCGGTTAGACACGAGGGCTTGGGAAGGGCAGAGGCCAGGTGCCGTGGCGTCTTGCTGGCCATGGTGAGAAGTTTGGGTTTTATTGGGAACGCAGTGGGAGAAGCCAGAGGATTTAAAACAGGCTACATCAGGTTGTCGTCCTGTGTCAGAGATCACTGCGGCTGCTGGGTGGAGGACTGCAGAAGCCAAGAGCCAGAGGGCTGATGGAAACGTTCTAAAATCGATCGTGAGGAAGGCGGCACGACTCTGTTTAACTTTGCTAAAAATCACAGAATTTGTATTACTTTAATCGGGTGAACCTTATGGCACGTACACTCCATAAGCTCACTCTAAAAAGCCCCAAACCGCAGGGCGAGCGACGGCTTTCTCCCGGGTCCGGCCGAGCGCCCGCAGCCCGGCCCGCCCCTCGGGTTTGCGCCGGTCGGCCCCGCCACAACCTCCGCCGCCGTTGGCGCAACTCCAGGCGCCATTGGTCGGCCGGGGGAGCGGGCGCGCAGGGGGCGGAACCGGAACCGGCTGTGGCCGGGGGCGGGGCCTCGCGGGGCTGTGGATCCTGCTGGAGCGGCGGCCGCGGTGGCCGGACAGCGGGCGGTCGCAGCAGCCCCGGAGCCCCATGGTGCGGGGCCGCCGCCAGGCCGCAGGAGGAGCCCGAGGTCCGGGCCGCCCCGGTTGACCGTGCGGGCCCGCGCTGCCCGGAGTTGCCGCCGTGCGTCGGGCCCCCCGGGGCGCGGGCCGGCCCACCATGGGGTCCCTGTTCCGGAGCGAGACGATGTGCCTGGCGCAGCTCTTCCTGCAGTCGGGCACGGCCTACGAGTGCCTCAGCGCCCTGGGCGAGAAGGGCCTGGTCCAGTTCCGAGACGTGAGTGTCGCCCGGGAGGCCCGGGCCTCCTTTCCGCGGGCGCCTGGGCAGCGGCGCAGCGCTGTGCCCGTTGCCCAGACGGGGAAGCTGAGGCCCCGCGGAGCGGCCAGAGCTGCCGCAGAGCGGGCCCGAGAGCAGGGTCGCCGGGTTGGTCAGGAGCGTGTGTGTCGGCCTTCATCAACCGGCCGCGCCGTGAGATGTCTCTGCGCGCCGGCTCCGTGCCCAGGCACTGGGCTGAGCGGGAGAACACCTCTGATGAGGCCTCTTGGAGTCCTTCTGGAACTTGCGGGGATGCTGGGGGCGGGGGAGGGGGGGGGACGGACAAACATTCAACCAATAAGTACGTAAACCAGAAACCGTGTGCTGTAAAGAAACTGAAACGGGGTGGTGTGAGGGTGGCTCAGCGGGCGGCGGACAGCGGAGGCCCCGCCGAGGAGGGGACGCTTGGGCCCGAGCCCTGGAAGATGGGGTGCCCGGCGGAGGGAACACCAAGAGCCCAGGGCCTGAATTGGCAGCGAGCCTGGTGTAAGCTCCTTGAGGGGAGGGGGCTGCGTCGCTTTGGTTCACTGATGGAGGAGGAGGTACCCCTGCCCGGTTAGGAGCGGCAGCAGGGCCAGTATTTGTTGAGTGGCAATTGTCTCCCCAGCAATAAACAATAAACACTTGTTTATGCATCTGTTTACCTGTTCACTGCTTGTCTCCACCAGGGACTGTTAACCCCCGATGGACTGTTCCTTCGAGTCCCCAAGACTTGGCGCAGCCCCTGGCGTTGGCGGGCATTAATGGGCATTTGTTGAATGAGCGCTGGAGCTTTTATTGAGTGCTTGCTCTGTCGCAGGCGCTGTGTTTGGTGCTGGGGACCCAGGGGTGAGCGAGGCAGACAAGGTCCCTGTGTTCTTGTTGCTCCCAGCCTGGGAGGAGACGGATAAACACACTCTGATTATGAAGTGTGATAAGTATCATGAAGGAAAAAGAACAGGGTGTGGAAGGGAGATTATTAAGCAGGACCTAATACTTACTGATGGAACTGCAAGTCACCTTAGGTGAGCTTTTTATTGATATTTCCTGGGCCAACACACTCTGATTATGAAGTGTGATAAGTACTATGAAGGAAAAAGAACAGGGTGTGGAAGGGCGATTACTAATACTGATGGAACTGCAAGTCACCTTAGGTGAACATTTTAATGGTATTTCCTGGGCCGTAGCTTCCATCCTCTTGTTGTTTCCCTTCATCTTTCTGAGGGGGTCCTTGATTTCTAAAAGGGAACACCCCTAGCCAAGCTCTGGCGTCAGTGTTGGACCCCTGAGGCAATCGCCAAGTCAGAAGAAAACCCCCAGTGACAGGTGAGGATGAAGGGAAGGCCCAGTTCCCTTCCTGGTTCCTGGAGCCACTCCGGCTTCGGCGCCTGGTACCCAATTACCTGGCAGATGTGAGTAGCACCCGAAAGATTCAGGAAACAGCCGCGAGAGAAACAGGCTCCCTTCTTTGTAACATTTGTTCCATCCTGTTAGTACTCGGTGACCAAGAGACTTATCAAGCTTAAATCTCAGAGGTTTGAACAAATGCCCCGATTACCACAAAGATTCAAGTTTCACCGAGCGCCATGGCGTTAGGTAGTAGAGTGTATATACTTGGGATCCTTTTTAACTGAAAATCAGCAAAAGGAAAAGAAAGTGTGGCTCATCTTTTTCTAGAAGGAAAATTAAAATGCTAAAATGGGCTGTTTGTGTGGTGGTAGGTTTTCAGAGCTCAGATGTGTGTGGGGGTGTGTCTGTGTCTTCGGTGGACTGTCAGGCAGCATGCATGCTTTTGCAGAAAGCTCCATCGCATCTGACATTGTCCTGCTGTTTTCTGGAGTTTGTCACTGACTTTGAGTTCACCGGATGCTGTCACTGACCTCAGTCTCTTCTGGCTTGTATTGGCTGAATATTTTCCCCTTTTCTTTTGATAATCTTTCTAAGGGAAAGCAGCAGGCAGGTTAAGGGTTTCTGTAGTGACAGCCCATGAGAAGAAACGTTATTCAACTAACCAGGAGGACTCCATGGAGAGAAATGTTAGCTCGCTTTGTAAGTCTGCAATCTAAGAACAATTTTCACCTTTAGTCCTTTAGCCACTGAAGTGGGAAGACAACTGGTGTGGGTGGCAGTAAAAACAGCAGCAGGTATCCTCTGCCAGTTTTTCTAGGTTAAATGTTAGTCTTAAAATGAATCTATGTTAAAAATGTACTTCATATCATTGGCCTGGAATTAGGGTGATGTTCCCTCCCTAAAAAGAAAAGAGAAATAAAATTTTGTAAAAGAAACCACATAACAGAAAAAACTCCAAAAACAGTTAATATTCTTAAGATGGTGATGGATGTCATGTTTGTGTCATTGCCACAAAAATTTGCCCCTTCATGAGGACTCTATTTGTAGAACCATAATGTCCAATTAGAATTAATTAGTGTTTGATGTTGAAGAAAAAATATTGAAACTGAGCAGTATCATTTGTAGACAACTTTTGATGCACGGCTTCCTTTCCACATTCTTAATTTTGTAGCAATAGATTGTGTCTAAATCATAAGGAACTTGAAAGTGGTTACCTTAGATTAGTGTGACTTCCAGAAATGAATGCGAATGTGACAAACAGAAGTGAAATTTGATTTTTTTTACTTTTGTTCTGGTTAATTCTTTAAAAAAATTCAGACACTGAGAAAAAACCAAACACTCTCAGGTTTGAGCAGTTTCATGTCAAGCTGTTGTCTAATATGTTTTTTGAGAATGCTTAGTACAAACGCTTGATGAAATACAGATGGAATTGTTGCCCTAAGCCTTTCAACATGAATGATCATTGCATTTTTTTTAATTATAAAAGTAATGTATGTCCACTGTGAAAAATTTGGAAAATATAAGAATAAGATAACTTTCACAATCTCAATAACCTACAAATAAATGCCTTAACTTTTTTTTTTTTTTTTTACTGAGCCCTCCTGCCACCTGTTGGCAGCTCAGCTCGGGCTGGGAATCAAACCCGTGACCGGTGACCCTCTTGCTCAGAACTCACACTCTTGAGCGAGCTCTTAACCAACTGAGCCACTTGGCCGGCCCTTAAACACTTTAGCTTTTTGATTAATATTGGTCAAACATAATTTTTCTAATGATGTTTTTAAACATACGTATATATGTATTTTTATATAAGTGGAACCACATTGAAAATATTCTTAATCTTTTTTACACACAAATCATAATTTATTGATTTTATTAAATATTCTTTTATAATTTTTTTAAATTGTTTTAAGCTTGTATTGGAAGAAGTTAAGTAGAAGGAAGAATATATGGGGATAGTGAATGCTCATGTGCCCATAATATAAACTCTGGCTGCTCGTTCCATTCCGTCCTACGTCGTACTACCTCCCCCTCTCCCCCAACCCCAGAGAAGATCATTTCGAAGCAAACCCCGCTAATTTCATTGATAAATATTTCAGTAAGTAGCTCTAAAAGGTAAGGACACTTAAAAGTCATAACTACAATACCATTATATCTAAAATTTGTAATAATAATTTCTTAATATAATCCAATACCTTAGTCACTTAAAACATAATTTTTAATAAGTGCATAATAAGTTATACGGCTGAACCATAATTTTGTACAACTGTGTATCATAAAATTCACCCATTTCAAGTGCTGTGCATCCATCGCCACAGTCTAGCTGTAGAACATTATATTACTCAGTAAGATCCCTGCGCTCCTTTACAGATAATCCCCATTCCTGCCCCCAGCCCCAGGCAATCACTCATCTACTTTCTGCCTCTAGGTTTGCTTTTCCTGGACATTTCATAGAAATGGAATCACACAACTTTGCCCTTTGGTGTCTTCTTCGGTCAATGTGTCACGTTTCTGAGAGTTCTCTGTGATGTTGAGTGTGTCGGTAGTTTGTTCCTGTAGCTTTTTCCTGTTTATTGCTGAGTAGCATTCCATGGTATGGATACAGACTCTAACTTCTGGAATCAGTTTTCTGTTATTAATCATTTTTTCTCTATCCCTGGGGTTGATGTTCTTCTAGATAAATTTTTGTGTGTATCCATAGTTTTTTCCTTAGGTTAAATTTTTTCATGGGATATTTCTGGCCCACAGGGTATTTTTCAGGCGTTTTTGATAATGGTTGCCAAATCGCTTTCCTGAAAAGTTGTCATTTTATACTCCCATTCAGTAGTACACGAGGATTTGCTCTTCCCCAAACCCTTGCAAATAATATTTTATTTTTAAAGTCAAATTTATTTTTAGATTTTAGAACATTCAAAGCACATTTTTCATTCTTTTCTCAGCTCAACCAGAATGTAAGTTCTTTCCAAAGAAAATTTGTTGGTGAGGTGAAGAGGTGTGAAGAGCTGGAGCGAATATTGGGTAAGTTTGTTTTAATAACCAAAATAATTATTTTTATATAAGCAAACCTTATTCATTTTAGAAAAATTAGTAAAAATAGATAAACAGAAAGGAAAAAAGAAATTGCCCGTATTCTCACTATTCAGAGGTAATCACTGTTATGTAGGTTTATATTATTTTTCCATACTATTTACTATTCATCTGTAACAGTAAGGATTTACATACATAATGGCCAAGTTATTTTGTTGTCAACTTTGTTCATCATTTGAAGTACTCACTGTAACATTTTTTCATGTTAATAAACAGATCGACCCATCATCATTTTTAATGGCTGCATAACATTTCATTGTATTAATGTGCTATAATGTATTTAACCAATGCCTTGTAGTTTATTATAACTTAAAAACATCTATACATGTTAACATATGACCAAAAATTATATCAATGAACAAAGGAGGTAGAAACAGCAGATTGATTGATAGTTTCCTTTTTCTCAGGGCTTTCTTTGCGAAGGTGTTAGGTCAGTATTCTCTGGCTGTTAACCAGTAAAACTCAGTATCTCAAGGCTACTTCATTTATTTGTAAAACCTTTAACATGTTAGCCCGAAATCGTCATTATCAATTCAAGCCTTGAAGTCCTGATGGAAATAGGGAGGCAAATGACCTCAGACAATTGACTGAAGCACAAAATTTGTTTTTATAAGGATGAGCAGAAAAACATGGGAAAGGAGAGAGTTGGAAGTGGAAAAATATGACTTTTAGAATGATTTTTTTTTTTTTTAAGATTTTTTATTGAGGAATTGGGGGAGGGAAACAGCATTGGGGAATCGGGGAAGGGGAACAGACAAGTTGCTGTCCTTTTGTTCTTCAATCTAGTTGTGGAGGACGTTGCTTCACTGGCCCAAGTTGGCACCATCATTGCGCTCTTCCCAGGCAAGGCAGATCAGTCGCCGGCTTCTGGACGGCGGCTCACGGTGGCTGCTGGCTGCTCACGCTGGCTGCTGGCTACATACGGTAGCCCATGGCAACCCACTGCCACAGGGGCTACGGCCTACGCCGTCGCTGGGGACTCATAGCAGCCCAGCTCCAGGTTGAGCTGTTGTTCAGCATCTTAGCTGTGGAGGGCAGTGTCACTGGCCCTCATATGTGGGATCCGAACTGGGGCCCTCTGGCGTCCCAAGCCAGTTCTTAACCATCACGCCACTCGGCCGGCCCGAGGATTTTTTAAGATAGAAAAAAACCTTTTATTCATCTGAAATCTATTCCTTTTCATATTGTGTGAGGTCCTAGTTATATGTGTGGCTTGTGCACGATAGAGTGACGTCATATTCCTATCTTTGCAACATATGCGAGTCATTGGACAGGTGGTATATTTGGAATGAGGTTTTTAAAGGCAGGGCAAGAGCGATTACACATCAGACATGTCCAGGTCTTTCTGTAGCACACACTGTTTCAAAAAGAATACGGACTTTAAAAAAAAAAAGAAAAAGGAACTCTTAAGTAAATGTAGTTATAAATAGGTTCAAATGATTTGCATCCATTTCCAGAAACCTCTTAAACCACCCAGTGCTTCCTTTGCTATCTCATTGTTAAGACAGTCTCTCTTTTTGATAAAACAAATAGTAACACTTCTCCAAAATATTATATTTAGTAATGACCTTACTAGGTATCGTGACTTTTAGCCTCAAGAAAGGGACACTGCGTGGAATCGAAAATATAAACTAAAGAAATTCATTTTGGCTGATTCGCTGTTAGTTTCGTGAGTCTAGTTTTCAACATAAGTGCCGAAGCTGTGTGGGTCGTTCTGTGTAAAATGTCACGGCTAACTGGGCACTGGGGAGAGCTTGGCTTTCCGCCCTTGTCTCAGGGCTCCTTTTGCCCACAGAGGCTGTGATTTTCTCGGTGGATACTTACTTTCTCCCACGAGTGTCTGCAGGGCTGTCACTTGTGCTGTCCGTGGTGGGGGTGATTTTTGGTCTACCGTTGGGGTATTCCTGCACTTACGATTATATCCTTAACTCCCTTCTTCTCCAGGTGCAGACACAGCTGTGACGCCAGCATTCATTCTTTAACTAGAATTTTAGAAATGAGGCAAATGTGGAGCATTTCAGAAAGCATTATCCATGTTATTGCTTATTTTGTCACTTCATCCTGCTCTCTCCAGGCAGCATAATCTTTGGGAATAAGGTTGCAGCAGGCGACCTGTAAGCCAGTTGGAAGAAGCAAGACTTCTGTGCATTTAGACAAATGTTTAGATGACCTAGGAAAGGTTGGGATGTACAGTGTTCTGACTGAAATGTCTTAGTGTAAGTCTTGGAGTCTAATTTGTTTGACTTTTATTTCCACAGCCTATTTGGTGCAGGAAATTAATAGAGCTGACATCCCCCTTCCTGAAGGAGAGACCAGCCTTCCTGCACCACCTCTTAAACAAGTTCTAGAAATGCAGGTAACTTGTTTCTAAAGAAGCTGTTGCAGGTCACTGATCTCAGATACTGCTGCTTTACTGACTTGATGTTGTCTAGTGCTCTTCTGTCTTTCTTCTCAAAACGGTGGAATGAAAATTAAAGAGCCATCTTATTACCCCCAGTAATAGATTAGCTGTGGTAAATCAGTTTTCTTTTAAAATGTAAGATGTGGCGTTGAACAGAGGCTAACGAGAATTAGCTCAGGTTCATGGTCACAGTGCTTCTGAAAGTTCATTCTGGGCTGACCCGGGCCTCCCCTGCCTCTCCTGCAGCAGATAACCGAGGCTTCCGTCCTGTGCCCTCACTTTCCCCCCACGTGCACTGACCCGTCTCCTCTGATTTTCAGAAGCTAGTGTGAAGGAGATAGGGTGTCCCAGTGTGCAGCCAACAGAATTCCTTCTCTCTGAGTTCAGTGTCCGGGGTGTTGGGGGTACAGCATCCCCCCTGTGAGTACACTGGCTTGTCTTGTTCATTAGCACCCCCGTGAATTATCCATGGAGGTTTCAACCCAATCTGATGTCCATCACACCGGGAAATAGATGAGAGCTCTTTATAGCTCATCTAGAACAATTATGATTGTGTAACTAGGACCATTCCATTGCTGGCTGCCCTATTTGTTTACTGGGAGGAAGACATTTAACATTTGGTGTATGAGTGGACTCTAGGGAGAATTATAGAATCAGAATTATACAGTCATCTGGTTTGGCCTGTTAGATGGGTTGGTTAGGATAATTACAAACACAGTGATTACTGACTGTTCATAGTTTTTATAAGGCAGAGCGCAGTGATGAATGGAGTGTGTCAAGGGATTTGTTTTCATTGAGTCAGTCATTTCTTTTACAGATTTCTGCTTCTATTGTTTTAATATGTAAGTAGTGTTAAGGATATTTTGTATGTAACTGATTATTTAAGGAGATTTGTTCTCAAGAATTTTTATGCCCAATTAATTGTGTAAGTGCAACTGGATACAGACTCTTAAGCTAGAGACAAGGCATACCTATGTTTAGAAAAGATTACCTAAACATTTTTTCTGTGTTGCACATGAAAGGAAAGGTAGACTTGAAAGAGGAAGACTCTTTGATGTGTGATAATGGATACGGAGATGACAGAAAGCGGAAAGAAATGATAGCAGCTCAGGCCAGAGACTAGATGCAGCCTTGGGGTTCTTCGAGTCATCACAGCATCCCCAGCGCTTTCTGTCATCCCTGGCATGAGCTCCCAGGAATTACCAGAATTAATACGAAACGTAAATGATGGACTTCTACAATCTTTGCACGTTTTCATATCCCTATCAAACTATCATAAATTGTGGCTTTTTAAGATCTCCACTGGTTTTGGTGTCGTGTAAAAAGATGGTTAGAACTATGCTTGGAACTAGCCCATCGTCCTAAGTCACTGCTGCTTTGTTTTAGGAGCAGTTGCAGAAGCTGGAGGTTGAGCTGAGAGAAGTCACGAAGAACAAGGAGAAACTGAGGAAAAACTTGCTTGAGCTGATTGAGTACACGCACATGCTCAGAGTGACAAAAACCTTCGTTAAGCGAAACGTGGAGGTACTGACGACTCCCATGAGGAAATGCATTTCTTTTATCAAAGTCTCATTCCCATAAGGTCTCCCGTTTTGTTACCAATTCCTGTAGATGTGTTGCTCTTTCCAAAAGATACATTTCAATCTTTGCTTTATTTTTCAATTGAATTATATGTCATTATAAAAAGCATTTATTAGCCTTTTCCTGTATTGGTTGGGTTTAGCAAGAACAATGCCTCTTATTTGTAAAATGCTATAGTTTGCAGTTGAAAAAAATTTTTATGATCATGTGAAAAAATTGAACAGAGGAAGTCAACTTCCTCTAAAATTTAGTTTTTTTCCAAAATCGCTAACAGTAAAGGAGGTTAAAAAAACCCCTCTAAATTATAAGAATAAAGGAGAGTCTATATGTAGTAATCCTACACTCAGCTGAGTATCGGAGAGAGAGGTAAGTTCCTTCTGAACTCAGTTTCACTTCAGAAAATTACTTTATCTTGGGTTGAAGCAATGACATAAATTACAACCATACTTTGATGTAAATGTCTTCAAGTAGCTTACAGATAAGGAATGGGGAAATGATCTTTTTTATTGATCAGAGCTGAGTTCCACATCTAAGTTATCTTGGGGCCTTGGCACCCAGATCTGAGTAGTCAGTGATTGTGCCCTAACCTTGTTTGGAATCATGACATGAGCAGTAAAGTGTCCCTTTTCGTATCTCTTTGCAGTTTGAACCCACTTATGAAGAATTCCCTCCCTTAGACAGTGACTCTCTGTTGGACTACAGCTGTATGCAGAGGCTGGGAGCAAAGCTGGGGTAGGTGACACGACCGGCCGCCTGTCGAGCTTCGTTCTGCCCTCTTGTCAGAGCGGATGAATGGGCTGCATCTGAAAGCCTATGATTGAATGAAAGAAACTGAATATTTGTTTAAGAAAACACTGTGTACTTCTGTATTTGTTGAGTTGAATTACTCAGTTGTATTGACTTTATTAGCTAAATATGATGGGTATCTCTGTTGGCGAATGAGTTGGAAAGAAGGAACATTTATGCTGGTGTTATTCCTCAGCCTGGAATAACTGGTCATTGGAGCATCAAATCCTGTTTTGTTTGGTGGAGACAGAGGGGCTAAACCGAGCTGCTTCATATATCGATTGTATGTTAAGGGTCTCTTTCTGCTGTTTATTCTTTCTGTTTACTTGAACTAATGGTAACTTGTTTCCTCATGTGACTTGTGATTTCTTTTTATTATGAACTTAATGTTCCTCTGTTCATTATCTGTAGGAATTCAGTGTTTAGTCTGAGGATGTATTCCTCCAGAGAGAATTTATTTTTACATTTGTCAGGTACCTGGGAGCCCACTACCAACCTGGAATCATTTTATATTAATTTCTCAGCTTGAGGTTTTTTTTTTTCCTGCTTTTTTTTTTTTCTTCACTATGCAAGTAATGTGAATTTAATTTAAACCACAAGCCTGAGTGAGTTCTAGCCTATGGTTATAAATTCTCAAGGAAGACTTTCCCTTCTCTCCAGAACCCAAACTGAAATGAACAGGTTTACTTGTAGGCTCCTTTGCAAGATGGGGTTTTTCTTTTTCTTTTTTTTTTAATTTTTATTGGGGAATTGGGGGAAGGGGAACAACATTGGGGAATCTGGGAATGGGAATAGACAAGTTGCTGTTGTTTTGTTCTTCAGTCTAGTTGTGGAGGACATTGCTTCACTGGCCCAAGCTGGCACCATCATTGCACTCTTCCTGGGCGAGGCAGATCAGTAGCCCGCTTCTGGATGGCTGCTCACGGCCTCACGCTGGCTGCTGGCCGCTCACGCTGGCTGCTGGCTACACACGGTAGCCCATGGCAACCCACCTGCCGTCGCCGGTGACTCAGGGCAGCCCAGCTCCAGGTTGAGCTGTTGTTCAGCATCTTAGCTGTGGAGGGCAGTATCACTGGCCCTCATATGTGGGATCCGAAACGGGGCCCTCTGGTGTCCCAAGCCAGCTCTTACCCAATGCGCCACTTGGCCGGCCTCAACAAGATGGGGTTTTTCTTGTTCACCTATTCTTACAGGTGTAGCCCTTGAGGGTGGGTGGCATCCCAACTTTGGAGGGAATTGGAGGAGATTCAGTTTCATCTCCTGACCTTATGTAGACCCAGTGCCTGTCTCCCGACTCCCATGCTGCTGCCGTTGAATTCCAGCCTTAAGATACTGATCAGTATGATACATCAGGGTGGTTTCGATTCCAAGACGATCTCTACTTCTAGGCTCAGTTCTCTGTGGAAAACGATGTTTCAAGAACATTTTATCCAGCATTTTAGGTGTTTGGCAGTTTGAGGGCTTTCTGTATCTCTTCGCCATTTTGCCAGATAATGAAAGTTCACCATCCTTTTAAGGCCATTTGATAAGAATGCATTGCTTTCAATTGACTTGATTGTTTGTCTTGATTTGTCTCCTAGATTTATATCTGGTCTAATTAACCAAGGAAAAGTTGAAGCATTTGAAAAAATGTTGTGGAGGGTCTGCAAAGGGTACACCATCCTGACCTATGCAGAGCTGGATGAGCCCCTTGAAGACCCCGAGACAGTGAGTAAATGTCATGGTTACCTGTTGACAATGACAGACTTACAGCAGAGTGGGAGGCACAGTGCGGAGTGAACCACCTGAGAGTGAGTTGTCCACCTGACGCCTTATCACCCTGGCATACATTCGGATGTACTTCTGAAAACCAGGGACTTCTTCCGCATTACTGCAATAGACCAGGAAATGAGCAGAGATACCTCACTGCCGCCCAAGCCTCAGGTCCCATCCAGCTTTCACCAGTCATCCCACGACTGTCTTTCACAGCAAAGGACCTAGTTTATTAGAGTCACACTTTGGAGTTAATTGACACATCTCTTTGATCTCCTTCATTCTGGGACAGTTTCTCAGTCTTTCTTTAGCTTTCATGACCTTGACTTTTAAAACTATTACAGACCAGTTTTTTTGGTAGACTATCTCTCAGTTTGAATTGGTCTGTTTTCTCATGATTGGACTCAGGTCATGCATCTTTGGCAGGAACGTCACGAAATGATGCTGTGTTCCCCTCACTGCGTCCCATCAGCGGCGCACGCTTCAGTTTTTTCCCACGTTTTCCACTCTGTTCTGACACTGAGAACTCCGGCTCCCATTATCCTCAATATATTTCATGAATTGTTCAGTTAATTTACTTATTTATTCAGCGTAACCCGTCTTCCACCCACATCAGCGACCCCCCTCCCCCACCCTCCACAGCCCTGTGTCCTTGCCTCTAGGACCCACCTGCCTGTGCTTCCCGAGGCTCCCAACCTGTTCCCCACCCTGTGTCCCAGGGCTCGGTCCTTGGATGGCTTCTCTGGCCTTAAGGACCCCACGTAGTTTCATGGCTTTAGGTACCGTCCCCCAAATGTATGTATCCAGGTAGGACCTCTCCCTGAACAGCCGACTTGTATTTAACTTGTTGCCCCATCTCTTGGTTTAAATACCTGGAAGACATTGCTACCTTGTGCCTGAAAGTGAACCCCTGAACTTGCCCCCCAGACCTGCTCTTCCAGGCTTGCCCGTCTCAGGCTGAAATCCTTGGGGGTCAGCCTTGATGCGACTCTTTCCCCACACCTTGCAGCTAGTCCATCAGCACCTCTGTTGGCCTCATCTTTTAAATAGGAGGAGAATCTGGCCTCCCCATCGCCTCCACCACCACCTGCTGCAGGCGATGGGCACCCACACCTGAAGGGCCTCCATTTTACAGGAGCCTCCACCTGAGCTCCCGCCCTGGCCTCGGCCCCACCCAGCACTCTTTCCTCTCAGCATCCAGAACGATCCCTGTAACACTAGTCAGATGATTTCACTCCTCCACCTAAAACCCTGCAAGGGCTTCCTGTCGCACTCAGCAACAGGCTCAAAGCCTTACAGCGTCACCTCGTCACACCTCTGACTTGGGTGGCTACTGCTGCCGCTCCATTTCTCTTCAGCCACGCGGCCTCTTGCTTTCCCTCAGCGGGCTTCTGCCCGAGCTTTTCCTCTGGCTCCGAAAGCTCCTGCTGCAGTGTCCACGTGGCACGCTCCCCCACGACCTTCAGCCCCTTCGGCTCACATGTCCCCTCCTCAGGGGGACCGTCCCTGATCACCCTGTTTAAAATCACAGCCCCCAGCCCCTCCCTCCCACCCGCCCCTGCCAGCTTTATTTTTTCTAGAGCACTTACTTTTGGCATCGTGTGTATTTTCTCTGTCGGTGTCTCCTCCCAACCTGAATGTAAGCTCCCCTGAGTGTGAAAATCCCTCTCCTGTCGGGGATTTTTGTCGGTTTTGTTCACTGCTGTATTCCCAGCACCTAGAACAGTGCCAGGCAAATAGGCCAAAACCTACTCAGTTTTCTTTATACAATATTTGTAAATACAGTCAATTCTCATTATTCATAGTAGTTCTGGTCTGTAAAGTCTCTGCAAATAATGAACCAGTATTCTAGGGGAATTACAGGGTGAGGTTCCTATGAACCTGTGGTCACAACATTTTTGTCAGCCCGTCACTACATAGCCCGCTTTGTGTGTTTCTATTTAAAGACATCTTATATAATATTTATTGTTGATTCATGACATTGACCTCAGCCAACAGTGCTGTAACTCAACGCCTGAACGAAGCTTATCTGACACACATTTCCCTGAGATGCGTCACAGCCTCCCTGCGCTCAGGGACCCTGACAGCGCATCAGCACTTTGCTTGGGGCCATTTTAACAGTGAAATCACCAACAGAAAGCACCAAAATGTGAAAAAGGTGGCACTTAACAGAGCATGATAAGGACGCTTGCTTACAGTTTGAGCTGAAATAAGATGAAGCGTCACCTTGTTCAGCCCAGCTGGGACATGCACTTTGGGTGACTCAGAATGTTTGTCGCTCTGCATGTCTGCAAATGTCTGAAAAAAACACTGCGAGTGTTGATTTTGGGGTTAGGAATGATTTTTGTGGTGACTTTGCAGTTTTGGAAGCCCCAGATAATGAGGATTGACAGTATTTGTTGGACGAATGAGGGAACTAAGTTGGACAGAGTTTTCAAAGTTCTAGACACAGAAGTAACAATTATCTGTATTTACTCTTTGTAGGGAGAAGTCATAAAATGGTATGTGTTTTTAATCTCCTTTTGGGGAGAGCAGATTGGCCACAAGGTTAAGAAGATATGTGACTGGTAAGAAAAAGAAACATTTCATTTCATTTATTTCTTTATATTTATTTCCTTTATAAGGAAAGCCTCTAATTTTCCTTAAATACCGCTGTGTGTGTGAGGAGAAATATGTGGGTGCAGAGGCTGTTGGGTTTTGTCATATGCCATCTTTGCTGTCATATCATCTTTTTAAACATTTATTTTGTCATCTTTTGCCAGTGCAGTACTTAATTTAAAAGTAGAGACCATGTCAATAACATTCCCAGGTTGGGTTTTTATTTTTTGGAAATCAAAGCTTAAGAGCAAATTGAGAAGAAATAAAATTCTAGTATTTTGTGCCTTCCCATTGCTTTTAGCTACGTGTAGGCTTATCTGTCATATGGTTCATCTTTTGTCAAACACTTGTCAGTTTTCTCCTTTGGGGAAGGGCAAGGCGAGTGGTAAGGAGTGTGGGCTCTGAGCGGGCCTGCCTGGATTCGGAGCCTGGCTTTGCCGCTCACTCTCTGGGCAACCTTGGGCAAGTCACCAAGTCACGGTTTCCTCATCTGCAAAGCGAGGGCAGTTCCCTTCTCACAGGGCCGTTAGGACTCAGTGAGATATGTGTGAAAGACTCCATTGAATGTTGAATGTGTCGCAACAAGAGATCTTTCTATGACTTATTCTTGTCAACAAATGGAAAAATAAGCAAAGCCAAACGAAAAATTCAAAAGCACGCCCCATTGTTTACTTACACTCAGGGAAATTTTAGATGGCTTCGTTTGTTCGGGTGTTGGGGGGCTTGGGTATTTCTTTTGGATCAGTGTTCCCAGAGTTTGCTACTCAGTCACTGTTGGTATGGGAAGTCATTTTAGGTGTCACATGGGGAAACCTGTTGTTATTTTACTAGAGAGCTGTTTATTCTAACGTAGATTAGAAAAACCGTAACCAGCACAGCCAACCCATGACTAAACAGATAGCATTGCCAAGGATAAGGCTAGAGTAAGTATTTAATAGTCAGAACTTATAGAAAAATATTAAGTTTGGCATTGAAATACTAAGTTGGTGAGGGAGCAGCTGCAGTGGGGAGGTTTGGCCCTACAGTCCCCACCCAGTGTGTCCCCCATGTCACGGCCCTGGAGAAGGCGCCCTGTGAGGGAAGGGAGGGTTCCCTGCAGCACATGTCAAAGGCAGCTGCTAGCCAACCAGAGCTTTTCTGGCCCCATTTCCCTCTTTTTTCAAACGTAACCATTGTTGTGTGTTGTGCTTTCGTGTTTCAAAGCTGTGCAATGATTCCCACCCCCGGGAGGGTGGTGAATTTCAGAAAGCTGGAACTGGGCACGAGCTTCGGGACTCATGGAGGACAGAGTGCACCTTGCATCTAAGAGAGTTTGCTAAATTTGTTGAATTCAGCAGAAGTTTGCCGAGTGCCTGTGTGCGAGGCCCTGCCTAGGGCGGGTGCCTGTCTGTATCCCTGTCTCCCAGAGGCTGCTTTGTAATTTCATCATGGAAGCAGCTGCGCGCTGTGCTGGGCTGAATTCAGCTCTGGTGTTCGATACGGCCTGTTCCGGTCCCAGCAGACGTGAGAGCATGTCGAATTCTGTCTTCCAGTTACCACTGCCACATTTACCCCTACCCCAATACCGCCGAGGAGCGGAGAGAGATTCAGGAGGGCCTGAATACCCGGATCCAAGATCTTCACACTGTGAGTAAGCTGGCAGCTGTGGCCTCCTTATCTGCAGGTGGTAAAACATTTACACGTCCATTTACTTTCTCGTTTAATACAGCAAGTTTTAGCTGTGAGAAATCCAGATGTTTTAGGGAGATTAGAATGCCACTTACCTCCTTCATGGAAGTTTAATTTTAGCAGCCTGTTGGAAATCTAGGTAGTAACCAACTTTAAAACTGAAGGTCACCTTTGGTATGTCAGGTGTCATTCCTCATCGGAGAAGACAGTCAGGCCCCGCTTAAAGGGTGGCTGTCCTTTCACCTGCATGCTTCCATTCAGGTTTCTTCTCGTGTCCGTGAGGGCTCTTGGTGGCAAGCAGCAGACTCTAACCTGCTTGAGCGAGATGGGTTGGGGGCTGGGACATGGCGGCTATCCGGGTTGGCAGGGAGCTGGGCCCAGGTTGGGAATGGGTCAGAACCTGGGGAGCTCTGTGGACCCAGGCCATTGTGCTGCCACAGTGACTGTGACCTCTAACCATTTCCCGTTCCCTGGGGTCATGTTCTGCAGAGACAGCTCCCAACAGGGAGCATCTGACTGGCTGAGCTTAGGTTTTCCACCTGCCTCCTGGTGGTACTGGAGCCCCAGAGGAGAAGGAAGGAACTGCTCCCTTAACTGTCTGCAGGAGAGGCAGCTGCCTGGAGTTACCCCCCATCACTGGGGAGAGAGTCCCCTAAAAAAGTCAGTGCCCGTTGGACAAAAACTGGAACATGCCCACTCCGCTGAAAGCGCGCGTTTGTCCCTACCCAGGTGCTTCACAAAACCGAGGACTATTTGAGGCAAGTGCTGTGTAAAGCCGCCGAATCCGTCTACACTCGCGTCATCCAGGTGAAGAAAATGAAAGCCATTTACCACATTCTGAACATGTGCAGCTTCGATGTGACAAACAAGTGCCTCATCGCTGAAGTCTGGTGCCCTGAGGCCGACCTGCAGGGCCTGCGCCGCGCGCTGGAGGAGGGGTCGGTAAGGCAGGAGGCAGCCGAGGCCGCCTTTTTTCCCCCAGCCGGGTGTGGGGGCTGCCTGGGAGGGCTAGTGCTGCGTTTGGGAGATGGGAGAAACCCATACCTGGAGCAGTGAAGAAGCGAGCATTTCAAGTCTCTTTGTGAACCGAGATGATGGAGAGCCCGTCATTCAAGGGCGTGTGTGAGCACGTGCATTTTTACTTTGCTCTTGCAGTAAGGAATACAGTCCCAAGGCTTAGAAGGCAAAACAACGCAAAAGACGGTGAAGTGGCTTCCTCCTTCCCGCAGCCTCCTCTGTGTAGGCCCCTGCTCAGAGATAACCATCGCCTTAGCTCTACTGAGTCAGAGCTGCTCGGTCACAGATAAGAAGATAGGAACAGATGCTCTTTTTCTTCCTCTAATAAAACTTCCCTATTTTTTAAATAACTATTGAATATCCCACTGTACGGGCACACTACGGCTTATTTAACTAGTTCCCTTGGTCATTTAGCTGGTTTCCAGTTTTATGACTACCACCGCAATGACTAACGCTTGACGTGTGATGGCTTATACGTGCACGGATCTGTCTGCAGGGTAAATTCCCAGGTCTGGAATTGCTGGGTCAGTCCTGACGGACACTGCCAGCTCTTGCGTTTCTCTTATTGAGTGAAGTTGAATATCTTTGTTTAAGAGTCATTAGAGAGAGAGAGAGGAAAGAGAGAGAGAGAGGAAAGAGAGAGAGAGAGAGAGAGAGAGAGAGAGAGAGAGAGAACGAGAGAACACGTACACTCTCTGTTCATATGCTTTGTCCATTTGCTACTGGGTTGTTGAACTTTTTCTTACCCATTTCTCTTGGCTCTTTGTGATATGAGAAAAAATAATTTCCCCAGTGTGTCACTTGTCTGTGTTTCTGTGTGTTTGCTTTGGTCATGCAGAAGGTTTTTGGTAAATCTCGTGGAACCCATCAGACGCTGCTCTTACCACTTCTGAACTTTGAGTAACAGGCTTTTCCCCCTCGAGGGCTAAGGCCCGCCCCCCGTGTTCCTGTGAGGGTTTTCCTGTCTCAAAACTCAGTTCTTCAGAGGAAATAGTAGGTTTACTTATTTCAGGGGACACGTAAGGAAACAAGTTTTCATATGAGCTGTTTTGTTAATCATTATGCATCATTGTGTAACCCGGTGATGGCACAAATGTAAAATACTGACTGCAGAGAAAGAAGGTAATACAGGAATATAGTTGGTTATTTCAGAGAGTGAGACATCTATTTTAAAGCGCTAGATGACTCTTATTGAGGTAACATCAGTTTCGAGGGGCATGGCTAATACTCTTGTGGTGCGAGCTTGTGTGTGTGTGGTTGTTTACCTTTAAGGTCTCTGCCGTGTCCCCTTCAGACCTCACCGCCCCCAGACCCCTCCCACTCCCGCTCCTGGACTGGACAAAGCCCCTCCCGGGCTCAGCTACTCTTGGGCTGGCCTACCACGCGCGCTTCCCAGAGAGTGCTTCTTGGGGCCCTTTCTCGTCCGGCCTCTCAGATGCCACATTGCTTCCTTCACTTCCTCTGGTCTGGAGGCTGTGATCGTGCAGGTCTTGTAGCGCTCGGTGGTTTGTCCCCACACATTTGCACTTTGTGGTCTGTGGGGACATAGTTTTGTTATAAATGTTGTCTGTAGGTTTTGGTTTTGCTATCTACTTGTGCTGTCTGCTCCTGCGGGGTTATTCAGGGAGATTCAAAACTACGCTATGGCTGGGAGGTTTCCCATAATCCCCTTACCTGTGTGTTTTAAGAAATATAATTTCACTAGAAAATCTACTCTTCTGGTAATAACCTGTTTTACTTTATTTATTTAAAAAGGTTTGCTTTCCTTTATAAATCAATACAATGTATTTCAGGAGGAAGAAGGTATATATAGTTTTGCCATACTAATGTTGAATTTTGGGTTATTCTTGTCTATTTTCTGGTTTTATTAGGTTGTTTTGCAGCGGTCTCTGAATTCCTCTTGAACAATTTAAGAGACAGAATACTAAATTCCAGTTTTATGGTAGTGATCTGGGACCACTTATGTCTACATTTACCTGTCGTTTCCGGCTCCTCTTTTCACGTTTCCGCCCACTCATTCTTGCTCCGTCCTTCGTCCTGCACAACCTCAGCCTCCCTGCTTCCTGCTGTCACTCCTGCTGCACCTGAACCTCGCGGTGGTGACCAGTATTTCCGCCCGTAGCCACACACAGAGCTGTGACTAGCAGGCAATGGTATTTGTTGAAAGAGCTCTTGGATGATAATTTTTTTCTTTGCTTTATTTTATGTGAAAGAGAGAGAGTGGTGCGACAATCCCCTCGTTCATGAACACAATCCCAACAAAAGAAACACCCCCAACTCTAATCCGCACCAACAAATTCACCGAGGGCTTTCAGAACATCGTGGACGCCTACGGAGTTGGCAGCTACAGAGAAGTGAACCCAGGTTGGAAGTCTGCACGCACATCTAAGAATGTAATAGATATTTGGGAAAACAGGCTCACACTCCTGTATTGTCCTCTTGCTTAGTGGAAAGGATTACTTTTCCCCTGTCAGTTCTCTGTTGAGAGTTCCAGAGAAAGTCGAGTGTTTGACTTAACTGGAATGTGCAAACTTTGCCGTGAGTCAGAAGTGTCTTCCTTCCCCGCAGCTCTCTTCACCATCATCACTTTCCCCTTTCTGTTTGCCGTGATGTTCGGAGACTGTGGACATGGCTTCGTGATGTTCCTGTTTGCCCTCTTGTTGGTGTTAAATGAAAACCATCCCAGACTAAATCAGTCACAAGAGGTAAAAATGCAAACGTTCCAGCTCATCCTGTGTGGTTGGGTAGCATTAGGAGCGATTATCTTCTGTTTGACCCAAACAGAGACGTTTCTTAAATATTTGTGTTTGGCAATAAACGTGACCCACGTGGCCGAGACCTAAGAGGTGCGGGTCTGTCATCCCTGTGTGACAGGGACGTCCGTTAGGTTGCCTGGTTCTCAGAGGCCCCGAGGGGAAGGGTGGAGACGGGCCCAGTAACCTTGATCACATTAGCGCCCTGCTGGCTCAGCACGCTTTGCTTTTCCCAGATCATGCGGATGTTCTTCCACGGCCGGTACATCCTCCTGCTGATGGGGCTGTTCTCCGTGTACACGGGCCTCATTTACAATGACTGCTTTTCCAAGTCCGTCAACCTTTTCGGCTCTGGGTGGAACGTGTCTGCCATGTACAGCTCCAGCCACGCTCCGACGGAGCACACGAAAATGGTGCTTTGGAAGTAAGTGTCATGTTGCCCAGCGGTATTTGAGGTGGAAACAGCGTTCTCCCGAGATTCCTTCCCATCTCACCGTGAGCCTTCGCGCTCTGCTTTCTGTCACAGTGACAGCGTTGTCAGACACAACAGGCTGCTGCAGCTGGACCCCAATGTTCCCGGCGTCTTCCGAGGCCCCTACCCTTTTGGCATCGATCCCGTGAGTGCGCTGCCCCCGCCCCCCATCATCTCGGGTTCCTGTGCTGCTATCCAGTTCTAACTGTCACGGGTTTCTCAGACTAGTGGCACATGCTTTAACTGAATTTTAAAAATCGGCATTGCATTTGTGTGGTTCAGAAGTACTTCCATGTAGATACTTTCTCTATATAAAAGGTCTATGTCTGGAAAAGCCTCCCACCCTGGCCCTACTCACTTGATTCCCAGCCTTCCCCCGACCCGGGAACCACTGGTGGGAATTCCTTGTGTCTTCTTCCAGAGTTCCTTTATGAATATACACATAAACACAAATGTATGTTCTCATTCTCCCTGTTTCACCCAAAAGATAGTTCTATACCCAGCTTTTTAACTTTAATGTTCAATATAGTTTCATAGTGTACATTTTTATGAATTTACCATTGGTAGTTTTCCATTTTTCTGCATTGCTTTTTTTCTTGCCCCGCCTGTTTCCTTCACTGCTCACTTCCCTGGAGTGACTGTTGGTAACAGGCTCCTCCATGTATTTAAATCAGTCAAGTTCACTGGCCTCCGTTTTACCCAGTTCTCAGCCCTAAATACTTCATTCTGAAATCTTATTCTCACAAAGGATGAGTCTCCCTGTCCTCAGAGGCCCTGTTTTCCTTTTCTCAATCCCCCTGAAGGGGAGCTGTAGGAATTATTTTTCCAAAGAGTAGGAGAAGCAGTCACAAGCAGAGAACTGGAGGGGCCGTGGGGTCAGGGCAGCCCTGGCAGGTTAGCCATGGGGCCTGTGGGGCGGTGCTGGGCTTTGCCGGCTACACAATTTGGCATGTGTACACTTCCCGTTTCTTTTTTTTTTTTTTTTTAGTTCAATTTTATTATAAAATATACTTACAAGAGAGTGTATAAAATGTGTATGTGAAGTTATAACACACCCTCGAATGTCCCCATCCAGGGTAAGAGACCCAGGGCCTGCTCCCACCCTGTCTAGCTCTCCCAGAGGGGACTCCCCACTCCGCGGAGCTCTGTGTTACTATTTATTTCTCTTGCTTTTCTTTTGAGTATCATTTATTGGACATGTACCCCTAAAGGGAATCCTTTCTCATTTAGCATTCTTTGAACTTTATATTAAAGAAAGAATTGTTTTGTATGTGTGTGGCCCTCATTTAAGAAAATAGTGGTTCTCAGCTAGAACGCATCAAGAAGAAAGTTTGAATGTTGCTTTTTTAAAAACTTACAGCTACCCTTCGATTTCAGATAGGAACTTTCTCCAGTGTCACCTGTTTATCCTAAAGCAGTTAAAAGATTGCTCTTTTGTTTTGTTTTGTTTTATCTCTAGATTTGGAACTTGGCCACAAATCGCCTCACTTTTCTAAACTCTTTCAAAATGAAAATGTCTGTGATTTTGGGAATTATTCACATGACTTTTGGAGTTGTTCTGGGAATATTTAACCACTTGTAAGTACAGATTTTTTCTAAGGCACGATTTCTAAGCCACGTTTGGTATTTCTTAAACTTGGCTTCCTGATGGTAGACTGTACAGGTGAGAGACGGCCACCATGTGGTGTGTTCTCTAACGTGGTTCTATATTGGGGATACGCTTTTTCAGCAGTTTCACAGACTCACTCATTTGGCAAGTATTTACTGAGCACATAGTATGTGCCAGGCGCTGTTTTTGGCTCTCGGGAGCGAGCAGTGAGGACAGAAGAAAGGTTTTGTCCTCATGGAGCTTAAATTTTAAATGCAAGTGAGGGAGACACACAGCGTGCATTTCATAGTCATTTCTAGAAGTCATGTTGTCATAATCTTTTTTTGTAATTATAAAACGCTTTGTTAGAGCTAGTGTGCTAAGAGCAAGAGGTCCCACCTTTTTCTCTAATGATCTGGAGTGAAGGGGTAGTCATTTTTGTTGTCCTCATGCCTCTCTTCCAGATGTCTGTGAGTCATTAGGATAAGTCATAAGACAAATGATGTTGTGCTGAGATAGGCTTTGTCACAGAGAAATTTTATTTTGGGCCAGTCTTGTCTGTGGGTTGATCGATTACTTTTATTTTTCTAGGCATTTCAGGAAGAAGTTCAATATTTACTTTGTCTCCATCCCGGAACTTCTCTTCATGCTGTGCATGTTCGGGTACCTGATATTCATGATTATCTACAAGTGGCTGGTTTATTCAGCAGAAACCTCCAGAGTTGCTCCCAGCATCCTGATCGAGTTTATTAACATGTTTTTATTCCCCACGAGTGAAACAAGCGGCCTTTACTCAGGGCAGGTAAGTCAGAAGCAGTCCTGAGATCAATAGCAGTCGTCCTGATAGCCTTTGGTTTGATCAGTAGAACAATTCTAGGTGCTTTCCCAGGTCCCCTAGGCGCTTCCTGCTTCTCCGTGTGTTGTTACAGGGGGTGCCGTCCTGCTCGACGCTGTACTGGGGGCTCCGCTCAGGCGGTGATATCCAGACTCGCTGCCACTCAGTAACTGTCAAAACTGGTGGGAAGAAAATGTATTACTGAGTGCTCCTGAGGGCTTCCCAGTCCTCCTGGTTTTCCAGTTTCTTTCGAACCAAGTCTCTGACTAAGGCACGGCATATGAGAACCGACAGCTGGACCGCAGCCCACTGGCCCTCTCCAAACATGGCTTTTCTATAATTGTGGGTTTGTGTGATGCCACCGCATCTGCAGTGTGGCACGCTGGCCAAGAGTGTGGCCTCTGAGGGCTGACTGCCCTGACTGTCATCTCATGTCTGCCGCTTCCTCCAATTGGGACTTTGAACACATCACTTCTCTGTGCCTCAGTTTCCTCATCTGTTAAATGAGACTAAAAATAGGACCCAATTCATAGCACAGAGTTAATATGTCCAAAGCACTTAGAAAAGTGCCTGGCACCCACCCAGTACGTGATAGCGCGTGTTGTCACTATGCTGAGGGTCGCTGTGCTGTGCCGAGGGCCACACCATCCTGCCTGCAGGGTGGTGGCACAGTCGTCATGGATCACGTCTGGGTGTCCGTGGGACAGCGGAGAAACCTCTCAGTCGCTGTCAGAACCTGTGTCCTCCTGAGCTGTGTTTTTGTTGTTAAATCTTGTCGACCTTGGGGATAGAACATTTGGGTTTTTCACATTCCACTGACTGCTAAAAACTTTAAGTCAGAGTTGAAGCTCAGCTTATCTAACTGTGGGCTTCATTTGTGAGCTGCATATGTACATCCTTTTTGAACTCTGAGTTTTTCCTTTTATTTATATTTCTCCTGTTCATGATTTTTAAAAACCTTAGTGGAATGACACAGACTAGATAAATACAAAAGGGGATTCAGTGGTACACAGATGCTGTGGTCAGAAAGATCAGTGAAGGGAGCTACCTTTATTTAGCACCGACTGCATGCCTGGAAACGTGCTTTCATTCGTTATTCTTTACCAGTTGTCACAACAGCCCCCTGAGGTAGGTGGTGTCATTCGGGTGGCTCAGGGCAGGCCAGGTCACTTAGCTGCTAGTGGGGCCCAGATGTTAACCTAGTCTGCCTGAGTGCACAACTCACTACCTCTGATAGGGCTCTGTCTGTGGCCCCTGTCTACTCGGCGTTTCAGGGTGAATCATGTTGGTCGTGCGGTATGGAGCTGTTACACAGATAATAATACCACCTAGTACCTGAGTGGTGCACACGGCTCTGGGAACCTGTGTTTCACATGGAAGGGTCCCAGACAGGGACGAGCAGGGGACAGTGCCATGCCTGCCCATTGTCCCGTAACCACGTCCAGATCCTGTAAAACCACACAAACTGCTGTGGTTGTGTAAGCATGACTCTGCATTGCTCTTGATTATTTTTAGGTAACTGCAAAACTCCTTTCTTTTCAAGAAAATGTTATTAGTTTTGTTCTGAATGCTATTTCAGTACCTTCCATATGTGGAAGTAAATCCAATGACTACATGCTCGTATCCCTCAAATAGTCATTATAATTAAAAAACAAACAGAAACAAGACTTTAAAAAAGTGTATAGGTTGTGTTTGTATTTTCCCATTTACAGGTTTTTCAGAAAATTATTAGCTGGAGTTTGACTCTTTAGAATTTGTCTACAAATTTCTTACCGGTCTGAACAAAATGATATTTTACCACTCTCAGTAGTGTTATTCATCAGTTCAGAGTTCAGCTATGAGTTTAGGAAAAGAGAAAGAGGTCCACTGGGAAATAAATTTGGCTTGCATTTACTTTACGTTCCTTGTTAATAAATAAAGGGACATTCTACTTGATTTTCACTAATTGAATCAAGCACACCAACGACAATAGCATGTCTTCCTGTTTTCATCGACTTCCTCCCCTTCCGCTCGAACAGGTGCACGTCCAGAGGCTGTTGCTGGCTGTCACTGCCCTGTCTGTCCCCGTTCTCTTCTTGGGAAAACCACTGTTTCTGTTATGGCTCCAAAACAGACGCAGCTGCTTTGGGATTAGCAGGGTAAGCGTGAGTTTGGACGCATGTTTGTAAATGGGGAGCAAAGTCTGTTTTTAGTTATAAAAGGGTTGGTAAAGAAAACACCTCACAGAAGGTCCCACCCAGTCTCTTGTTTAGATGCCAGAGCTTCCTTTCTTTAGAATTTTGGTATTGCCTGTTTTGTGGAAGCTTTCGGCAAAGAGCCTGCTGTGTCTGAGCACGTGGAAACAGGTCCTGCTGTCATGAACACATCTTAGGGGTTTGAGCTAAATCCTTCCATACGGCTTGTCAGAGTTAGAGCATTTTCCTCCTCATTCTTGCCTCTCGATTTTTATTCTTTCAAGTTTTTAAGTTTAAATACTATCACTAAATTATAGGAAATGTGTAAAATATAGAAAATAGTGCCCTAAAGTTCTACCACTCACTTATAACCTGTGTAACCATTTGGTTAAATTTTTTTTTTAGACTTGTGTGTTTTCTTGTGTGTCTAGTTCCTCATTTTATTTTTTTTAATGGTGGTAAAATACACATAACATAAATTTACATCTTAACCATTTTTAAGTGCACAGTTCAGTGGCACTAAGTACATTCACGCTGTTGTGCAGCCATCACCACCATCCGTCCCCAGAGCTCTCTTCATCTTCCCAAACAGAACCTCTGTCCCCATTAAACACTCACTCCCTAGCCCCACTTCCCCAGCCCCTGGCGATCTCCTCTACTTTCCGTCTATGAATTTAGGAATGTGATTCCTCTAGGTACCTCATATAAGTGGAATCATACATTATTTGTCCTGCCATGCCTGGCTTCTTTCTCTTAGCGTGCCCTCCAGGTCCATCCATGTTGTAGCTGGTGTCAGAATTTCCTTCCTTTTTAACTGAATAATATTCCACTGCATAGATACGCCTCACTTGGTGTATCAGTTCATCCATGAGCGGACAGTAGGATTGTTTCGACCTTTTGGCTATTGTAAATAATGCTAGTATGAGCACGGTCATGTAAATATCTGTTTGAGTCCTTGCCTTCAATTCTTTTGCGCATATACCCAGGAATGGAATTGCTGGGTCACATGGTAATTCTTTTTTATATATATATATATATATATATATATATATATATATATATTCCCCCCCTACCCCCCACTTCTTTCTTTATTTATTTTTTAGCTGAACCACCCTGCCACCTTTTGGCAGCTCAGCGGCAGCTCAGCTTGGGCCAGGACTCAAACCGCTGTTGCTCAGAGCTCACACTCGAGCGAGCTCTTAACCAACTGAGCCACTCGGCAGGCCCCTGTGTTTAGTATTTTGAGGAACCGCCAGACCCCACTCCACAGCAGCTGCCCCGTTTTACACTCCCACCAACAGTGCACAGGGGTTCCAATTTCTCCACACCCTAACTAGCACTTGTTATTTCCTGGTTCCTTTTTAGTGATAGTTATCCTAGTGGGGATGAAGTATGCGTTTTCACTTAAAGAACTTTTTTATTCCCGAAGAGCGGAAGTGTTAAGAGAAATGAAGGGGCCCTAACTTTGGTGCTGTCACAGCCTTTGCTCTTAGAGGCACTGACTGTGTTCTTTCGGTTGTTATTAGAGTGGTTACACGCTTGTGAGGAAGGATAGTGAGGAAGAAGTGTCTCTGCTGGGAAGCCAAGACGTAGAAGAGGGACCGAACCAAATGGAAGATGGATGTCGAGAAATGACATGTGAAGAGGTAATATTTTCAATTAGCTACTGATAAAATTAGATAAATAACCAAGCCTTCATAGAGATGATCATCATGATAAGAACAATAATAATAATCTTACAAGAAAAACGACACAGGCAACTCCATAGAGTATAATGGAATTTATTATAGGGAAATTTACTTACAGGAAGGATGGGTTGGTGTGGAGGAGTCAACCGAGCAATTCTGCACAGATTATTCTTTGCTATTTAATAGACCCCTGTTACGGTGCTTTTTTATAGTATAAGTCAGGTACTGATGATTGACAAGAGAAAGGGACAAAGAATGCAGCACGCGTTGGGGGTCACACCTGGTGGTCCTGTGATGGATGATATAATTACTGCCATCACCAGTCTGATATTTTTCTCAGTTGTCATTGCTATTCTGGCCATTAAAGACAAAACTATTTGTGACTACACTATGGAACACATCAACTAGAAGGTTTTGATGTGCTTGCTAGGGACAGTGAGGTTGGTCAAAGGTCACAGCATGAAAGAAACCTGGGACACTAACTCCATTAGTTTCGTTCACATCCACATCTGTACAGGTGTTGAACACGCAGTGGGTATACAGATATCGAATTATAATGTTGTACACCTGAAATTTATGTAATACTATGAACCAGTGTTACCTCTAAATTTAACTAAAAAAATTAAAACAAAACCACCGTTACTCAAATCTTTCCAAAAGCTGTTTTGGTCTTAAAATTATCATCATAACATAAGGGTTTTGGTTGCACATTTTGTTGTTTGTTTTCCAATGGGATTTATGGTGTTAACATTGTCAGCTATGATGGTAACTTCAGGTGCCACGGGTGTTGCTTTCAGAAGATTCTCATCTCAGTCAGAACTTTTCCATAGTTGCAAGAAAGAGATGGGTTCACACTGGTTTCAGGGGGAATCCATGGACTCATGTCAGGACAGGAGCAGAGCTGGCCTCAGGATGATGGGTTTCTGGACCTCCACTTCCAAGAAGCCTGGGTTTGTTTTTCTTTGCAAGTTTGCTTCATATTCTGAAGCCAGGTGGCCCCATGATGTTGGAACCATGACCACCACTAGCCCTGGGCCTTTTCTGCAGTTTTTCAGTCAGAGAGAAAAGCACTCTTACCAGCTCGTCGCTGTGAGGAAAAATTCCAAGAAAGTACTGTGATCGGCCTGGCTACGGTCACTTCAACAACAGATTACCCCTCACAGTTCTGGAGGCTGGAAGTCCCAGATCACAGTGTTGGCGGGGCTGGTTTCTCCCGAGACGGTTCTCCTTGCTTGTAGATGGCCGCCTTCTCACTGTGGCCTCACGTATTCCTGGTGCCTCGTCTTATAAGGACACCAGTCATATTGGATTAGGGCCCCCACACTTATGATCTCTTTCAACCTTAATTACCTCCTAAAGGCCTTGTCTCCAAATAGTCCCATTAGGGGTTTGGGCTTCAACATGGGAACTTCGGGGGAAGCACAGTTCAGCCATAACAACTATGGCTAGGGGTACAGGGTTAGTCGTCCCCCCCCCCAAGAAGAGAGGCGCAGTCCTGGGCAGACAACAGAGCATGTCTGCCACTCCCAGTCTGCTGCTGCTTCTCGGAAGCATGTCTGGCTCTCCAATAAGGACAAAATTTCTTACAGTCATCATTTGTAATCATTATGTAGTTTAGTGTTTTAATTTGGGACGATTAATAATTCCTAGGATCATAAAAAAACAAAAAGCAGAGCCAGAAAGAACGTGAGAGCCACCTTGCCCAGTGTTCTGCAGCCTTCTCAGCCCTAGGGACCCCTTTTATAACTGTCCCTTGTTGGACTGGTATTTAGAATGCGCTTATCTGTTAACCATGCTCATTTATTAATAGTCTTCTAACCTTGTGCTTGGGAAATGTCTGTTTCTCACTAGATGTTTTGTAGTTACTAAGACAGGCTTGGGAATCTCACGGGGCTGCCTAAGGGTTTGTGGCATCACAGTTCTGGTCCAGCACCTCAGTTTATAAATGAGAAACTGAGGCACAGGGTTGGGGTTGATGAACTCCGTAGGTCATAGCTCACACCCTGTGACTCACTGCTCCTTACACTCCAGCGTCTTCTTGCCAGTATTCTAGAAGCCAGTTCTTTCATCATAATCCTGAAAGTGGACCAGACATGTAAGTTGTGGCAGTATGTGTGTAATGTACTGAGTCTAACCCATGTTTGTGGGGTCTCTCTTGCAGTTTAATTTTGGAGAAATATTAATGACCCAGGTAATTCATTCCATCGAATACTGTCTGGGCTGCATCTCCAACACCGCATCATACCTGAGGCTCTGGGCACTCAGCCTGGCTCATGCACGTAAGTGTCACTTAGCCTTGCAGCTCCCAAACTACTGACATCACGGCCAACCTCGGGACGTTTAGATGTGTGAGGGAAACACAGCGCTGTCTTTCAGATGCGCTGTGAGCTGCACTGTGAAGTTGTTTGCACTAAGCACTTAATGCATGCATCTCCGGGGTAGCTCTGGTGGCCTGGGGTGCTGTGAGAAAATGACCAGACGTGGGCTTTGAGGACTGGGGAGGCTGGGGAACCTCTGCCATAGACAATCACTGTCTCTGTCATTACCATTATTGTTCTTGTCATTACTGTCACTTTATTCAATCCTGTCTTACCAAGTATGACTGTCCATTTATGTCATGCAGCCCTAAAACCATGCTGACTAATTGTTTTGATGACAGGCAGCCCTCCCTTTGCGTAGTTCTGATAATGCAGCATTTCAGTTATCACAGCTTAGTTAAATTACATGGGTCTCACACGACACAGTTCAGATTTCACTTGCCGCGGGGTAAAAATAAAGTACAAGCTTCCCTGCAAGCTCTCTAGCCCACAGATGAATATGTAAACAACACACGCTCATTTGCGATCAGTGACCAATCATCTCAGTCCTTTCAATGTCTGTTGGCGACTGATCAGTCCCTGTGCCTCTGTTCTGTTTCTGCACAGAGGGCAAAGCACGTTGTGGTGTTGCCTCCTTTGGGCCAGTGGTAAACCCTTGTAACATTTTATAAAAATGGATAATCGGACAAGGAGATTGGCCAACAAAGGTGAAAGGGCAGTGGAGAAGCAAAAAGTGGTGGCGCTGTACGTGAGATGTGACTGGAATGTGAATGATGGTCGAGAAGAACTAAAAAAAAACAACACATATATGCAGAGGGTGCCAAAAAAAATGTATACACATATTAAGAAAGGAAAGCTCTATTAAAATTGTAATACTTAATATACGAGGTCGGACAATTAAGTGTGTGAACTCATCCTAGAAAAGTGCTACATACCTCATTGCTGAATATCACTACGGTCACCTTCAAAGCACTCCCCTTTGAAAGCTTTGCACCGACACCAGCGCCTAGTCCACCCTTCAAAGCAATTTTGAAACTCTTTTTCTGGAATGGCCATCAGAGCTGTCATCATATTACCCTTGATGTTCTGAATGCCATCAAAATGTCTTCCTTTCAGTATTCCCTTTATCTTTGGGTAAAGAAAGAAGTCATTGGGGGCCAGATCAGCTGAGTAGGGAGGGTATTCCAATACAGTTATTTTTTCCTGGCTAAAAACTCCCTCACAAGACAGTGCCGTGTGAGCTGGTACATTGTCATGATGCAAGAGCCATGAATTGTTGGCGAAAAGCTCAGGTCATCTAACTTTTTCACTCAGCCTTTTCAGCACTTACAAATAGTAAACTTGGTTAACTGTTTGTCCAGTTGGTACAAATTCATAATGAATAACCCCTCTGATACCAAAAGGGTTAGCAACATTGTTACAACAAGTTTGCAAACTTACTTGCTGGACCTGTGTATACTATAGTATAGGTGGGTTTATTTTTATGGGTGGCAGTTCAGAATTGTCAGAAGGAAACCCAGTCTAGCTAACTGAAGTGACTCACTGAGTGTAAACAGAAGTTAACTGTGCCATCTGACTCCTTTGCAGAGTTGTCTGACGTCCTGTGGGCTATGCTGATGCGTGTGGGCCTCCGGGTAGACACGACTTTCGGAGTCTTGCTACTGCTCCCGGTTATCGCCGTCTTTGCAGGTCTGACAGTCTTCATCCTTCTGATCATGGAAGGGCTTTCTGCATTTCTTCATGCCATACGCCTCCATTGGTGAGCTTGAAATTTAGCTTTGGAACTATTTTTAAAAACCTAACCTTTCCCCCCAAATGTGTGTGTGTGTGTGTGTGTGTGTGTGTGTGTGTGTGTGCCCCCTACAAAAATCTGCTTAATTTAGGCTAGTTCTTCCCTTCCTACCATTGGGTTCTGTGTTCCGATCCCGAGTTATAATTGTAGTTTGTTTCTGAACGGTTAGCACTGACAAGTAAAAGCAAGTTTATACTTGCTGAATAATTATGTGTTTTTCATCCTCTCAGTTACTTTGGGTTTGACATTGCTTTATCTTATAAAATACTTTGTACGTGTTTGTTACTATTTCACAGTATGTATCAGACTACTTGTATGTGTACCCAGTTACCAAGGCAGAGAGAGGCTGTTAACACTGGGGTGTGTCTAGTGTGTGAGGTGGCGTGATGTGTTAGCATTTCTTTACACGCTGAGAAAGCCACCATGGGGCGGGGTGTGTGTGTGCATTTTATCTTGGTACAAATATCTGTGCCAAGAGCTTGTATGGAATGAAGCAACTTCAGCACAGGAACTGTTTTTGGGTTTGTTTGTTTTTTGTTAAACTTATAAATGTTGTTTTAAGAAACGTAGGCAATGTTACTTACAGTCTTTCATTAATTTTTTTTTTTTTAGGGTAGAATTTCAGAACAAATTCTACGTTGGTGCAGGCACCAAATTTGTTCCTTTCTCGTTCAGACTGCTTTCGTCGAAGTTCACCGATGACGTGGCATGATCACATTGCCGTATCCAACAAGCTTTCAGATTTGTGGAGAATTATGTTATAGAATTTCACTTATGTCAGATTTACAATAGGAAAAATTCCATCCTCATTGATTGCCTTATGATATAGCCAAATAATTCTGTAAGATATACCTCCTTCCTCATGTTAAATATTTTGTAAAGTTTACCAATTTCAGATATATAAACTTATTTCAGTTTTTATGATGAGCAGATATATAAGTTAATGCCAAACGTTATGTTTAAGTTGCTTTTTAAAAATAAGCTTGGGGGAGAGAAGCCAATCTTGAATGACTAATTGAAAAGGGTCTTAGACACTTGATTCCTTTTCATCTTATTAAAAAAAAAAAAGAAAAAAGAGTTACTCTATTGCCTGAAGTTGTCAGATAATATTTTCCAACAGCTGAAGTATGGTTTGAAAAAAAATAATGATGGATAATCAAAAGATTCACATTTATTGTTTGATTGAAGGTATGAAAACATTTTTTTCCTGTCTGGTACCTAGAATTACAAGTAGGAGATGGTTTCTACAATTTTGTCTTGTTTTAATAATTGGGGAAGATAACATACAACAAATGATTACCCCACGAGTATATTTTTTTAAAGACTCCTATCCTGTTATCCTTACATAAAAACAATTATGCTAATTGATTGTTTGGAAAGAAACTGTATACTGAGCCTTAAAACTGAGTGTGACCGTAGAAGGTCCAATGTGGATATGATTTGAACTTAAGTGACCAGCTTGGCCGATGTTACTGAGCCAAAAGGGGTTTATACTGAGTGAAGGAAAGGTAAAAAGTAGTATTTTCTATATTTTTATAACAAAATGTAAATTAAGATATTTTACCATAAAGAGATTGCACCTATCCTTGAGAACAGTATAATTATAATTTTTACTTCCAGACTAATTGTAAATAAAGGTCTGATAAAGGCGTTTAGAGTTAAACGTTCACTCTTGAGATCAGTTGAAAACTAGTTCAAACTAGTTCTTAGCCATTAATTTATAGACTTTAGTTTAAATTCACCTACTCACTTGACATTTAGTTTTGAATAAATTTGAGTCAGTTCTCTTGAACATTTTGACAGTTCTTTTTGTAAATTATGTTCATTTTCATATTCTACTATAATCGATTTTAGATCATTATTTTCAAAAAGAAATCTGCAGTATTTTCACTGTTTCACATTTTGAGTAACGCATGAAAAGGCTCGTTTGTCACCATTACTCCTTCACTCTGACTAGTGGTAGAGAGTTTGGAATTTTCTTTATAAGCTAAGGCTGTTGTAGCGCTGAATTTAAACCTATCGTTTCAGGTAATTTCAAGGCCTGTCTGCTGAGAGGCGTGAACTGAACATCATGACATAACTGACTCTAACATTAAACCTTTTTAATTGTAGAGAATAGTCTGCACTGTTCCCCCATCAGATGTTACCCGAAGCTAGTTTGGAATTACTGGGTTTTTTTCCATCATTAAAATAAGACATAAAACAATGCTGAAGAAACTTAAAAATGATTCTGCTTTCAAAGTTAAGTTTCCCCAGGAAAGGGTAATGTTGGACACTTTTTTTTTTTGGTGAATAATGCCGTCCAGGTTTCAAACTTGTCCCTCACAAGTTGTCACTTTCACTACTTTACTCCAAGGCTCTGTTGTAATAAAATGGGAACTAATTCATCCCCAGGAAATCCACAGTTTCCGGACACTATTAACTGATTAGTAAACAAGAGACACACAGTACCTGGTGGAATACTTCACGGCTCCCACTGCTTTGTCAGGAGGGCCCCTTTTAAAGTTTAATTAACACCTCTTATCAGGGAGCGAAGAGTCATTTTTTACTTGAAACTTATGTAGAATGTAATTATGTAAAAAAACAAATTAATAGTCCTAACTTTTGTTAAAGAACTCTCTAGAAATATAGTTTGATGGTGTCTCTTAGGCACAAGGGGAAATTTTATTTCTTTATAAAGCTGTTTGTTCCAATGTCATGTTACGTGAGCCGCTGTTTTGTTTTGTTTCTAAGCTATTTAGTAAAACTATTATGTATACAATTTTTAAGGCAGACCTTTATTCTCTTGATAGCAAATATCCAGAGGGAAAATGGTCATTTGTCTGGATGATGCTAAATATCTTATTTTCCTAAAGATAAATGTCATGACAGCCACGTTTTCCAGTTTTCATTCAGGTGTTCATTCTCGGTGTTAATGAAGTCCTAAAATAAAAACCCAGGGGGTTTCCCTCAGTAAAATAGAATTTGATGTCATCCTGCAAGGGTGACATAATCATGTGGTGACATAACCATGAACAGTTAAGGAGTGCCAAGGTGTTCCCAGGGGTCATGGAGAGCCCTGTGCACTTTCCATCTTTGTGGAGACGACTTTGAAAAGACTCACCTTTCACTCAGTGCTGCTCTGACCTCAATTCTGGAATGGCTATTTTTATAACAACATTCTGGTCTCAATTTTCAACCTGTAATAGTTTAGTAAGGCATAGAATATCTATAGCATAGGTAGCTCTTATGGACCTTTTAGGACCTTGTTCATTTTGGAAAACAAAAAATAACTTCAATAACTTGTTCTGCAGTCTGCATTTGAAACACAGTAAAATCTTGATTAAAATTTGAAAGCCAGGTTTGCTTGCATGCCATCTGGTATACCTCCAGCAAGAGCACTGAGATATTTAAGTTAAGATGATGAGAATAAGGCAGTTCAGAGTAATCATTTTCCAACAACCAGGCCATTGATGCTGAGCTTTGGTTTAGAAGTTTAAGAAATACTTAGAACATTCCACTTGTTTCTTAATGGGAAAAGCTGACAAGAAGGCTAGGTTCTTAGGGGCAGCCTAGAAATCTAGGGGCTCAACTCTGTGACTGGAAGCGAAAGTAAAGAAGTGAAAGCTCTCCAAATGCATGAAAGGACAAATTTGCATCTTCCTATCAGTATTGAACTTTTTACTAATGAAAAATAAATATATATTTCTAAAACCTGAGTGTTTTGCTTTATTCTGCCTTGTCTTGACTGGAACGCCAAAGCACTCGGCCTTCTCTGTGATCCTGCAGCCCCCAAGGAACCTGTCCCCTCTGGGACTTCCCTTCGCAAGGTATTTGCTCTGCCGACGCCCCTTGACCAGTACTGGCTAGGGGTTCAGGCTGTAGTCCTGTCTGGCTTCCAGCTCTGCCTCTGCCACCTCCGAGATACTGTGATCTTGTCCCATCACCTTTTACCTTGGTTTACTTAGCGGCAAAAAAGGTCAGGACTCTGGCACGGGGCGTGGTGAGAGTCACAGGACAACACTCCGGGGACACCGAGAGGTCCCCGCCCCCCGTCGGCGACAACTCCTGGCCTTTGTCTGCATCCCTAGGGGCTGCGAGCGCGGGGACAGGTGCCGGCACTTCCGGGCCGCGCGCGCGGCGGCCGTTGCCGGGGCCGCCGTTGCTAGGGGCGCCGTTGCCACGGGCTCTAGCCCGCAGGCGCTCGGCTCCCCGGGCGCGACGCGACGCGACGCGGCGCTGCGCGGCGCCATGGACGACCTGCGGGTGCTGTGGATGCGCGACCGCGTGTACGGGGCCTTGGGCCTCACAGACCCTCAGCTCTTCGAGGAGCTGCTGTCCCGCGACGACGGCGAGGTCGAGGACCTCATCCTGCACTTCCTCAACCGGACCAGCGACGAGGAGGGCGCCTCCACGCTCTTCTTCTTCCGCACCGTGGTGCCCGAGGAGGTGCTGGTGGAGACCGGTGAGCCCGCGGCCGCCGCCGCCCCCCCGCCGCCCCCGGCCGGCCTCGGCCTCCACCCGGCAGGTCCGCCCGAGCTCTGGGTGAGCCTGGCGGCGCCCCGCGGCCCCCACAGCCCACTTGGAAAGTCAGCCCTTGAACGAGTCGTCACAGCAAACGCTTCTTCAGCGCTTACTCTGCCCCAGGGACGGTTCCAAACGCTGACATCAACTCCTTAATGCGACGAAGTTGGAAACATGGTTACCCCATTTTACAGACGGGCCAGCTGTGGCGCAGAGAGGCTTAAGTAACCCCCGCGTAGGCCACACAGGCAGCAAAGGTCAAGAGTAGGAGCCACTGACCAGTGACGCGCCACAGACGGGAGAGAAGTGGCCCGGGGGCTGGGAGGGACACTTCGTCCTCGCTCTCCTCGACAGCGGCAGGGTCTGCACGGGTGGAGAAGAGCAGCCCCTTTCTATGGTCCGAGGTTCCTGCCCACGTGCTATTGTAAAGTGATGCCCAAACAAGGTTTTAAACATTGCAGTAGATTTTAAATGATTGTGTTTAACAAATTAGCATTTAAAAAAAAAAAAAGAAGAAGAATGGCAGTGACTGGATGCCCAGAACCCTCTGTGGAGGTGGCTGGCCCAGAGCCGGGGACACGGAGAGGGTCTGGGAGTGGGGGTGGCGGCAGCATGGGGCTAGATGACCAGACAGGACAGAGGGCAGGGGACAGACACTCAGGGACATGTTGGGGTAGGAGACTGAGCCACATGCGAAGTTCTCTCCCAGCAGGAGCACCGGCATCTGTGGGGATGTCACGGACCGAGGTTTGTGTGGTGGTTCCATCAGTGTCACCTTGCTGTGCTGGTCTCCGGGCTTCAGGAGACTTCTGTGTCTCCTGCAGGGCCTTCCATGGGCTGGGATGGTGGTGCCAGGCAGACCTTTTTTTTTTTTTTTTTTTAGAGGTACTAGGTACATACATTTATTTTAAATACTCTTTGCACAAAATAATACACGTATTCGTTGTAGAAAAATCCAAAACCACAAATAAACCACACTAACAAATTGCTACTGGCACCTAGAGAGATGACCACAGTAACATTTTGGAACCTAACCTCCCTGCCTTTCATTTAACACCCCGCCCCAGGCAGACCTTTGAGCCTGGACATTACAGTATAACAGGACCTTGAATTTAGGCACTTGCATTACCACCAAGTGAAATTATGGATACAAACATACACTAACAGGATTGACTATTTAATGTGGACCAAATTTCAGTAACCCTTTAAAACTATATATACCAAAGGGCCGGCTGAGTAGCTCAGTTGGTTAAGAGCTCGCTCAAAGGTTTGAGCTCTGAGCAACAGCGGTTTGAGTCCAGCCTGAGCTGAGC